TAATAATTAGAATAGTCATACTTCGAGTGATTTAAAAGTTCAAGTTGTGTGTTGTTTATATTGTGATAATTTGTCAAAGTTGGGTGCAGAGTGTCTTCCATTTAAACAACTGAAGCAGCAAGGAATGAAAAATGCGGCATTTGAAATGTTTTGTTTCGTGAGATAGAACAATAGACACTTCTTTTATTTGGATCTGAGAAAATTGAAAACTGAGATGCTCAAGAGAGCGGCGAAGAGCAGAGAACATTGGAATTTGCGCGAGCGTGAGAACGCCTCCCGACTGCCAGAGCCACAAGAAACCGGTTTGTTGTATGAGCCACGAACTGAGCTATAGATTGAGCTGAACATTCAGTTGGTTTTGGTTGAGGAACTGTGACGGAACAGAGCGCATAACCAAGATAGTTTGACGAAGTATTTGTCTGTTTATATATTTACCTGTTCGGGGGAAATGCGAAAATCGCAGGGTGTGTCGTTGGGCCCGGACAGACGCCTGGGCTTGGACGCCTCAGAGACGTATTCAACGTCGAGCTCCTCGCTCAGCAGCTCGTTCAGCGATGGCAGCGATCTGGTCAACTGGGAGGAGTACGTGGCCGAAGACGGCAGCCTGTTCTATGCCGAATATGTGCCCAGTGTCAAGCTGAATGTGGCGGAGCGACGCGGCGAGCTGCTGCGCCGTTCATTGCGCCTGGGAAAGAAAACAACGCGCCGACAGCAGCAGAATAGAGGCCAACAGGGCAAGCACAATGGCAACCAATACAGCGGCGGCGGGGGGCAGCAGCAGCAGCAGCAGGCACAGACCGAGCCAGAGAATGATGCCAGCAACGGGTTCCGATTCGCAGACATCAAGAGTTCGCACGCCGATGCCAGCAATCAGAAGCAATTGGAGCTGGTTATAACGGCAACGGATCGCTTCCGCTTTGGCCGTCGCTCCACCGCCGTCGAGTCCATACTGGGCTTTCGTGTGCTGCCCTTTCCCGACCAGCCCGAGTGCCTGATGGTGGACAGTTTTGTGCACGACATAAGCGCCATGCAGCATAACATAAAGCGCGGCGATTGGTTCAAGTCCCTGAATGGCATCGAGCTGTATGCCAGCAATGTGGACGAGCTGTTGCAGCAGTTCCTGGAGCCCACCCAGGTGTGTCTGGGCTTTCAAGGCGCCAGCCTTGCCAGTCCCGCTGCCAGCACAGACGAGGCCAGCGGCCAGGCTAATCAAATGCCGCAAGTGCGCAAGCTGGTCAGCTTTGCCATGTTTGCGGATCAGTTCGAGCAGCTGCTGCCGCCCGCTGTGACCGTGCCGGACACATTGACGCCCTTTGGCATGCTGCTGTTGCCGCCGGAATGCTATCAGCATGATCAGCACAAGGATTCGCTCTACTACTACCCAGAGTCGGCGTTGACCAATTTCCTGTACAAGGCACGCGGCAGCTTCCTGACGCTCTGCTCCGTGCTCAACGAGCTGCAGACGCAGCCGTTGACATCGCGCCTGCTGGTCGAGCAGGTGCCCTACTATGTGAACTATCGCAGCCTGAACGGCTTCCTGGTGCTTTTCGCCTATGCGGCACGTTTGTACAGCGCGGCCGAATCGAGCCTGAGGTCGGATGAGCTTATCGGCTACATTAGATTCTCGCTGCCAGGACTGAGTCTGGATAACTTTTCCACTGCCAACGATAGCTCCAACGGTCTGCGCCAGTTTCTGCGTCACTTTTGTGGCATTCAACGCTCGCGACTGCTGGCCCAGCCGCGGGGCGAGCTGCAGTTCGAGCAGCTGCTGAAGCAGTCGAGGAGCTTGCCGCTGCCCAAGGAGGCGCAATTGCGCATATTTGATGCCTTGAGCGAGATGGAGGCCATGGATTATCGTAACTGGAACGATGAGCCTTTGACCACGCATCGCGAGTTCTTCATCTACGGCTGCGCCCTGTACTACGACAGTTTCCTGCTGGCCAGCCTGCTGCCCGCCGAGGTGCGCTTCAATGTGGAGCTCTTCCTGCGCTGTCGCGGCATATTTGACTTTATTGGAGCCGCGCCCGCTGTTCGCGTGCGTGAGCTGTACGTGTGGGAGGAGATTGTGCTGGCCAATGCGACGGGTCGGTATTTTCTAACGGTCTGCTCGCGCAGCCATCTCATCCTGACGGTCATCCTCAAGATGTACGTTGATGCGCCCGAAATGGAGGCCTTTACCGCGGTGCCGCCATCCTTGTTCTACATCGAGGAGATACAGGAGACATTGGATCACCTGATCCAGTGCGGCATTGAATCATTGGCCAAATTCTGGTCCATATCCAATAAGCGCCCGGAAGTGCTTGATCAGCAGAAGCTCGAACAGTCCGGCGAGGAGCAGGAGGCCAGCCGCAAACTGGAGTCGTTCCTCAGGCAGAAACCCAACACCTCACACTCGTCCGCCGGCAACGATGAGGAGGCACAGCTGTGCTCATCCCTGGGCGGCTCCTCCATACACAGTCTGACGCCCAGCGAGGACGAAATGTCGCGCCGGCGTCTGACGCCCGCCGATGACTCGGACAGCGGCTCGGACTGGGAGAACTTTGCTGAGCAGCATCCGCTGCACTACGGCCTCAATCTGAACGCGGAGACCCAAAGCCAGATAACCACATCCCTCTGGAAGGAGATCAACAATGTGCTGCCCGTGAAAATATCCGCCGGCTGGAAGAATTCTGTGCTGCACTACGTTTACGTTGACCTCTCAAATGGCGTCTTGCTCTGCCCGTTCACAACCAGCTCGGAGAGCTTTCCATACCTAAGTGAGATACGCAAAGGCTGTCATATGATTCACCTGGTGCTGGAACGCTCGAAGCATCATCGCCGCCAAATGGTGGAGCCGCCCAGATCCGCGCTGACACATGCTAGCCATGATATAACCATTGTTAAGGAACACGGCATTACCATGGAAATTGCCAATCCTGCCAAGGAGCAGGCTGCCAGGCGCTTCGTTGTGGTCGGCCGACTCTTTCAATCGCCAGCCAAGGAAGTGTATGTGTGCCACTTGCCGGAGGTGCCACAAAATATGGTCGAAATGGCCTTTCGCTTGTCCTTCTTCTCCATGGGATAGTCGATGTTCATTTTAACCAGTTAATAGTATTATAGAAATTGAGTCCCGCTAAATTGACGAGATGGGGAAACATGAAAAGCTAAAATCTAATAATCAAGTGAATTTTATTAACGCTTAAAAATGAATTGGAAGACAGTCGTATAATTCATCATCAATCAATCACTCGGGATTAACATTTATGTTAATATAAAGTTCCACTCTCTTTCTGGAAAGTTAAGCTATAATAATTTCAATGGATTTTAATAATGCTTGAAAATTAGTTGAAAGTCAGTCGTATAATTCATCATCAATCAATCAATCAATCAGTTGGGAATTAAATTTTTATTTATGTAAAGTTCCAATCTCTTTTCGGCGATGTGGAAAAAAAAAACATAATAATTCAAAAGAATTTTAATTTAATTTGAAGATAGTCGTTTAATTCATTATAAATCAATCAATCAATCAATCAGTCGGAGTTTAAAGTAAGACTCTCCCTTCTTTCCATTATTTTATATATAAACAATTGTGGCTCCTTTGTGCGTTTTTTAATTTATGATACGAAAGTTTCTGCGTTTTTCATTCATATTTTTGATCGCAAGGAAAAACATTGGCACTAAATTTATATTTAGATAAACGTACGCACCGGAATATGCGACACGCGCCCTAGTCGCATATTTATAAACATAAATTCATAAATATATATATACATAAATATAGATGTGTGTGTACAAATACAATGTCAACGTTTCATTCTGCAAAAGCTGCCCGCTCGATAGGCTCATCCGTCCGTCAGTCAGTTGTCAATGCGGCCTCCCAGACAGCGGAACACCCAGGGTCTGGTATATTTCCGACGGAGAAAAGGGCTTACATCATTGTTAGCTGGAGATGCCGAAGTGGTTGCTGTGCGTGGCCTGCGTTCTTCTGGCCACGGTACTCGCCCTGGACGAGGTGGACAATAATAGCCTTAATGCCAACGAGACTGAAAGTTCGCCGGATGCGGGAACGGATGCCAAATTGCCCAGCGAGGTGCAAAGAGCCGTGTGTACCGTCAATGCTGGCGAGGTCAGAGCATCCGCAGAAGCCGTCACCACCAAGACCTTGAAGGGTGTCTGCGGATCGGGTAAGGTCCATGCCCAGCTGGAATACTGCATGTCCCATAATGTACTGCCCGTTTAGATGAATTGAATCTGGCTTTTCGCAATCTGGAGGAGAAACTGTTTGGGGAATTGCGTGAAATCAAGGAGCTGCTGGTGAAGTTGAGCGAGCTGCGGGCACAAACAAGCAGCAACTCGAGTCCATTGACATCAGTTCCCTCAACGAAGCCAACTGCCATAAAAAGAATTAAGTTTGAGCAGATCACCATGAAGCCCATCCCGGAGAAGCAGCCGATGCTTAAGCAATTGGAAAACACACCGGAGCGCGAGGAGGAAATTGGCAAGTTTAACAATACAATGCTGGCGGATCAGGATTTTCAGTTGTTCACCTACTATTGGAAGCTGGAGAACTTTACGGACCACGTTTCAAATGCGTCGACCGCAACCGTCAAGAGTCCAATGTTTAGCATTAGAGGCGAGTACTTAGATGGATAATAATCTCTGGAGTCTAATCTCTATTTACCAACCAGGCAGGACACTTCAATTGAAGTGCACATTTCAGCATTTGCATCGCGATATGATAAATTTGCAGCTGGCATTGGCCTATCCGGCGCATGATCCCGGACAGGGCAAGGAAAACAATATAATGCTGGATATGGGCGGACAATGGAAGCAGTTAAAATGGGCGGATCGTGTCGCGTTTAAGCATAAAATTTCACTATTGGATCAGAATCAGAGCCATCGACGCACACAGGACCTCAGCTCACAGGAGCTGACCAAACTCGATATGGGATTTTCCATACCGAATAGTGCGATTTTGGGCAGCAATTATGTAAGGCACAATTCGGTTCTAATACAAATTATTTTATATTTGTGAGAGGTTTACATTTTATTCAAATTAAACCAAAAAAAGCAACCATAAACCCAGACAGACACTACCCGATTAGAAACTTAAGACTACCTTAGAGCTTGCTGCGTGCGCCCTTGGCCTTGATGTCCAAGAAGGGCATCGCAATGGGATACAGCTCTTTGCAGGATTTGAATGCCACAATATCGTTAATTGTTGTATGACGTTCGGAGCTGGTCACCGGGCTTTCATCGTCCTCCTCCGTGCTGGGAGCATTCGGATCTTTCAGTGTCGAGACAATGTGCACGGATAAAACTCTTCGCTCTTCGCCATCTTTTGCTATGAATTTCTGTAAATTCAAACAAATTAGCCATACACATAATTGGAAATTGTAAGAGAAGCGGGTCGCACCTTGAAGTAGTCCACAAAATCGGCTTTCGTAATTTTGCGCAGTATTGCAACTTCGGCCTCCTCGCGTTCGAAGTGATACGTTTGCATGGCAATTTCACCGTAAAAGAGACTAAACTGCTGGAATATCGTTTTGGGCTTCTCCAGCTTTTTGACAATCAACGCTTCCTTATGGCGCGCAAACTCATCCAACGGCATGTCCTCAATGGTTTGCTAAAGATGCAAATGTTGAAAAAATATGGCTCCCATTTCTCTCAACATCTCCTTACCAAATAGGTCTGCAAGAAGTTCTCGATGCGATCTTCGACAAACGCGGGATGCTTCGCAGACTGCACAATAATGCGAATACCATTGGCGCCGTTCACTTTGCGCACGCCACTGAAGACAATGTAGCCTAGCTGCTCCTTTGTGCGAAGGCAATCGTAGCAGGGCTCGGAGAGCACTTGCGACACCAGATTGACCATAATATTGGTAAGATCCGTTTGGGCGCCACACTGCATATAGAGCTGTGTGCAGGAGCTCTTGTGATACTCATTTTCCTTTTCAAACAGATAACTATCACCTGCTCCACGTAAAGCAAATGCAATATGCATTAGAAATTTTCAATTTGTATATGAAAGTGAGTGCTTACTTACCCGGTACCAACTTGTACTCGCGCTTTTTTAGCATTTGGCGCGCTAATATTGGCAACTTTGTAGCGTTTGTTTCCTCTAATCGCTTATTGACGCGACCAGCGATGTCCGTTGCCTGTTGCTTGGTAACGTTGCCAAAAATGAAGCACTCCGTATGCAGTCGCTGGAAGAACTCCTTGGCAAAGTTCAACACACGGTCATAGGAAACAACTAAAATGTGTAAACAGGCGATGATTTGATTACGGAATGGATAACTTTCCAATAACTCACGTTCCATAGCATCTAATAGTTCCACGTTTGCCCAGGCGTTCTCGGTGAGTAGCAGGGCTAGATAATAAATGGAATGCTGATAGGGTTGTTCTGCCTTGAAATTCTTTAATGATCGTATGTACTCCTCCTTGAGTATGTCGAAACGCATCTCATCTATGCTGAAGTCAAACAAGTGATCCAACAGCTTCTCAAGCAGAACAACCTGCTTGTCATTGAAGCCACGTATGGTAAACTAAAAATGGATTTAATTTTTATAGCTGTGCATTTAATTTAATCTTTTTCACTTACATCGATGCCGCCTGGCTTGGTGGTAACGCTCAGCTTAAGGCTAGCCAGCTCTGCGTCATATAAATACTCATTGAGCTGATCCTTTAGCAGCATAACCATCATGTGGTTCAGATTGCAATTCAAGGGATCTAAATAGGCAATAGGATTAGACATATCGAAGGTCATGCATGCTTTGGGCTTGTTGAATTGATTGTCCTGTTTGTGCCACACGCGCAGAATGGGCGTATCCAGTATGATTATGGGATGCTTGGGGGCATCACTGGGCACATCGGCAATTTCAAAATTGCTCGGTATAAAACTGTTTGGCAGTGCCAGCTTTAGATTCTCATTAACTTCGCAACTCTCCCATGCCTATAAGTGATTTGAAATTAATATCAATGATAAGTTTGCTAAGGGCTTAACATACACAAATTGTCTTCTGAGGTATACACTCCAAGCCATATTTCGTTTTATAATACGGCTCCGTTTGATTGGTAGACTGCTCGAAGCTCTGGCTAACCAGAGAAATGCGACTTTTGCTGGGCACCAGTTCGTCTAAGAGCTTGCAAACCAATTCCGGACGCCACTCGTTGCTCATATATGGTGCAATGAGCACCTCTTCTAGTGGGAATATTTGCATGGATGATACTGCATGGGTAACCAAATTCTCGGGCTGCTCTTTCTCTTTGAAACGGAAGCGCATTTCGTTTAGCTTAACACATTCATCAAAAATCCATTTCTTGGGACCCTCTTTACGCAACATGCACAAATACTGAAATATTATGTTCACAATGTCATCAACATGCTCCAAGCCCTCTTGTGTTAGATCCACAACAATCTCAAAGAAACCAAAGCCATTCTGTGTGTTCTGATGGCCGGCCATTAGACTGCAAAAAATCAACATCGTTAGCTACGTATTGGTTAACCTCGACGCACTTACTCATTACACCAGCCAAGCCTGCGTAGCTCGGACAATATGCTGCCTTTGCCCTCGTGTCCAATAAGATGCGTCAAATAATTGTCGGGCTGCAGTTAATATTTTTTTTAGTAAAACAGTTTACCTTACCAATTTCAATATACTTACCCCGGATTTGTAGTACTGTGTCAGATCGTCGGTCGTAAAGCTAATCGTTAATGAACGTATGTCCTTAATGGGCACTATCATTAACTTCTGCCCGTACTGTTCCTCTCCGTAGGGATGCCTTGGCCACTCTGGCACCTTAACATTCTTATTTTCTATTTCTGAGAACTTTTCCATTACCATACTTTCAAGTTGATCTAACGATTCTGTCGAATTTAAATTACAAATATTCAAGATTAATTTGGTTTCACAAATATTGCTACAATGCCAACCTTTTCCAATAACAGCAAGGCACATGATGTTCGCTGAGTACCAATATTTGTGAAATTTTAACAACTCCTCACGCACATCAATGCCCTTGGACTTGGGTATTTCGGAGAGTGTGGCCTTGTTGCCGCTTCCGAACTTGCTGTAGGCATGATCCGACTTGGCCAAGTGCCGATGCACTTGCTTGATCCGCCACAGATCGCTAGATAAATTCTTTTCATGCTCCGAATTAACCTGCAACGATTGCATTTAATGAACGTACAATATGGTATTACTGATATTCCACATACTGCGTTGATTTCTCGCTCGGTTGCGCTGGGCGTGAACAGGGGCGCAATAAAGAATTGCGCGAAACGATCCAGCGCACCGTCTAGCTTGTCGGGGGCAACGTGAAAGTGATATTTTGTCATGAGCGGGTACGTGGCAGCATTGCTGCTACCGCCGCTCTGGGACAGGTACGTGGTATAGCCGTTTTCGTGCGGATACTTCTCCGTGCCCAGAAAGAGCATGTGCTCGCAAAAGTGCGCCAAGCCAGGCAGGTTCTCTGGGTCTGACATGTGACTGCAATAAAAATCAAGTGACGATTAATTATGCATATTTATGCAGAATACCTAGCAATACCTAGGCGCATCTTTGGACTCTTACCCAACCTGCACGGAAAGTGCAGCCGCCGAAACATCAGTGGTTGGATCCGATATTAGTAATACTTTTAGGCCGTTTTCCAACTGCAGGCCACGATAATCGCGCGTGTCCTGTTGCGATTTTTCAATATTGTTTATGCTGGGTAAAATAAATGTAATGTTATTATGTTTATTTTTCGGAAGGTTTTTGATAATTTATATGCACCGCATTATTGGCTCCAGCTGATCCAATTTCTTGGGCTGCGCCTTTTGGTGGGTTGCGGTCTCCGTTAAGGTCATTTTCCGGCTTGATGTATTTGAAAGCGTTCTATATCCGGATGAATTGTTAATACAGTTCCCTCTGCTGTTGATACAACAAACAAGTTTTATTATGTTAATTAATTTGATTGTTTTTAAGCGTACTGTCGATGTAGAACAGCTGTTATGACTTCTGCAAAAATCGATTTGCGGCTGGAAAAAGTAAGACACGTTCGCGGGACAAACATAGAAACGATGTTGCTTTTTCTGCAGAAATTGTTGACGCGTATAAGAATAAAAATCAATTTTAAGAATAAGTCTAATTTAAAAATATTTTTTCTTAGCCTCTAGACTTTTACCAATCCAAAATATTTGCAGATGATTTAGTTTCGCAACAACACCAACAATTCAAAACATGTGTTTCAGGGTTGCCACGCTTGAACACATCGTATAAACAATACTTGATAGTTATGTGAGATGGTTTTGATTATTTTTCAAGGGACCGGTTGTAAAAAATAAAATGAAATAATTGGAAAAGCCACGGTGGCATTAGTTTTTCAATTATTTCTTTAAAAAAAAAACAACTAAGACTATACTATGTACGATATACTTTTGAAAATTAACAGCTAAATCGATACAACTATGATAAAATCAGATCATGTACAAAAATTAATCTTGTCTTGTGCTTAATGTTTGTAAGTCTGGCAACAGCTGAAACTTTTTGATCCGACTCAACACTGGCAATTGCACTTATCGACAAAAACATATCGACTGCGGCGCACGATTGTTGTAACAGTTGTTGTAACTGCATTTTATTATTTAACAATTAATAATAATCACATGCGCATGCCTTGTGTATGTGATGCCAAAAGTTGAAATATAATAAAGTCGGATAGTTGGCAATTGCTGTGCAGAGAAATGCAAGCGTACGCAGTTAGTGTATTTATTTGTATTTGTATTGGTGCAAATATAAATTGCGAATTGTTGTGAATTCCGTCTGTGTGCGTGTATGATAAGTGCAACACGCAAATAAAGAACTGGGAGAGCATAGGACGAATAATACAAGAAAAGCAGCAACTTTAAAGGTATCTATTTCCTATAAGTTGTTCTCATTCAAGAATTCATGTGCACATATATAAAAGTTTATTAAAAACATCAGAGGTGATTGTTATTAAAAAAAAAAAAACAAAAAACAGTCGAATCGTTTATTGTGAAATTGATCTAAAATTCAATTATTGAATATGTAAATTAATACGCACGTATATCTTTTTATGCGTATAAATTTATGTATATTTTGGGAATATGCGCCTCATGCATAAAATTTCGTTGATTTTATTTGAAAATGTCGCTGACGTCGCTCCGACCCGAGTCTGAGTCTGGGTCCGAGTCGGTGGCCAGTAGGCGGCACCGCATTACAACGGAATGAGAAAATCAATAAGCTTAGCAATGGGGCATCTTAGGTGCCGGTCGTTCCTTCGAAGGAGCTCTAATTAATTTGATTGTGGTCTGCTTAATGCATAGCAATTACATTAGCAGCAAATAACATATATTTATACATGTGTTGAGATAAAGTCGTTGACAGAAACTGTTTGAAAGTATATTACAATTTGTATATAGACCAAAATTACAAAAAACTGCAAAGCTTGTGGTGCATTTTCTCAATTTAAGGTAGTGCATTCTTTAAATAATAGTCTCATTTCAAATATGCCAAAAAAAACGAATTTTGTGAGCAAGAGTAACTAAAGAATTTGAACATTTAAGCTATGAAACTGGTCCATACTTAAAAGAAATATATGTACGCAATATATATACTTGCATACATATAAATATACATATCTACAAATACATACATACATAGTACGGTACATTGTGCGTCTCGAGTGCATCCAAAATTAAACGGTATACGAGCAAAACGGCACGTTCAACATGAAAGAAAACAAAAGAGAACAGGTTTTATCTGTGCCGAAGAATAGATACCCTACAGCCATATGACATGTGGCATTTGCGCTATATATCTAAAGTTATTTAAATTTCTGGTCTAATTTATATACATATGTAAAAGCTACGATAAAAATTCTGAACTTAATCAAATATAAAGTGTTATATAGCAGAAATAATATAAGGTATTTTCCTTAACACGGATATATATACAGTAAATATGTTACTAAGCTGATTTTTACTGAGAAAAGTTTTATATCGAATTACTTAAATTTTTAAATCGAATCCTGAGTTCAAAGGTTTTGGTTTTTGATTTGATTCGATTTGATTTGCCTTGTTACAGGGTATAATTTTTGTGCGATTTTCGCTCGAAATTTGATTGAAGATATTTTTATTTCAGTTTCAATTGAGCTCAATTAGACTCTAAAAATGCTTCCCGCAGTATTTTTAACAACGCAATGGGATTGCTTGTGGGCTTGTTGTCGTTTTCCATACTTTTACTTTCATTATCCAGTGTCTGGACAGACTACGCATATCATTGGCAGCACTTGCGTCAATTTGATACTTAAGGAAGAGGAAAACGCATTCGCTAATTCATTTATTTGTTTAACTTCGCATGGTTCTAATCCTGCTCATACTGAAGGTGCATGCCGAAAATGGACAACGAGCAGCCACATCAGGAGTTGGTCAAGTGCGTGCTGGTTGGTGACACTGCCGTGGGAAAGACGCGCCTGATCTGTGCGAGGGCTTGCAATAAGCATGTGTCGCTATCGCAGCTGCTATCCACGCACGTGCCGACCGTGTGGGCGATCGATCAGTATCGCATTTACAAAGACGCAAGTGACAATTTGTCGACAGCAAATCCTGTGCCCTAATAACACACCGCTACAATTAAATGCATTGCAGGTTCTTGAACGCTCTTGGGAAGTTGTGGACGGGGTCAATGTCTCCTTGCGTTTGTGGGACACCTTCGGGGATCATGACAAGGATCGTCGCTTTGCCTACGGCAGGTGAGTTAGCGTCTCAGACTAAACGTTGGCTTATTAATTATGGCTTATTCATTTGTTCCAGATCTGATGTAGTACTCTTGTGTTTCTCCATTGCGAGCCCGATCTCGTTGCGCAATTGCAAAGTCATGTGGTATCCGGAAATACGTCGTTTCTGTCCAGATGTGCCCGTCGTTCTAGTCGGCTGTAAAAATGACCTGCGTTATATGTATCGCGATGAGAACTATTTGTCCTACTTTGGCGAAAAGGGCACCTTTGTACGGTGCGTTGAAGTTATGAATTAGTTTAGTTGGATAAATGCATTCTAAATTGCTTTCTTTTTATATTCGCAGAGCCGCCTTGAAGAGCGATTTGGTCATGCCGGATGAAGCGCGCGCCGTTGCAAAGGAACTGGGCGTTAGCTATTATGAGACCAGCGTCTTCACGTACTTTGGCGTCAATGAGGTGTTTGAAAATGCGATTCGATCTTCGCTTATTGCGCGCCGACAGCAGCGCTTTTGGATGACAAACCTGAAAAAGGTGCAAAAGCCCTTGCTGCAGGCACCATTCCGACCACCCAAGCCACCACCACCCGAGGTTACCGTCATGGTCGGCCATTATCGCCAGGATATCTACAATATGTTTCTTTCGCAAGCCTATGCCGACCTTGTTCTGGTGGTCGGCGGAACCAAGTTTGCGGTTCACAGATTTATGCTTGCCGCGGCATCTGGCATTTTCCAACGCATCCTCAGCACCGAATTGACAGACATGGGTGGCCGAAGCAGCAGCGAGTCGAGCATGGTCAGCTCAACGTTTGGAGAGGCGACCATAGCCGACTTCAACGACGACACAGAATATCTCATACGCTACGAATCACGCACACAACGGTAAGTTATCAGCTCAACAGGTTTTTCCGGTATATTTCTTACGCTTTCAACAATTCTCTTTAAATAGCATGTGGGAACATTTAAAGCGACGCTCCAGCTATCAAGCTTTACCATTGGTGGAGTCAAAACGCTCCGGTGATTTACATAAGGAGCTGCATCATCCAGTGCTGCAGAGCCTACGCCTAGTGCAGATGGAGAACCAACGCGGCGTCAGCTCTATCCAAACGATTGTTACTCTCAGCAAACTCGTCTCGCCCCAGGCCCTGCACCAATGCCTAAGATTCATTTATACAGGAACCATTGACAAGGATTGCACTAATCTGCAGGTAATGCAAACCAGGTCTTCTAGTCGTCGTGAGCTAAGTTTAAATTTATATTCTGCAGGAAATAAGAGAAGCTGCCGATTTATTAGAACTGCCCCAATTAACCATGTTACTTTCCAAGCCACAAAGTGTCATCGAGAGTCCCAGTGATGAACCAAATCCCCACATTTGTCTTGTGAGTTGCCTTAGCTAGTTTTTGTAAACATAACCGTTACTCATCATCTCTATATTTTCAGCGTATAAAGGAGAGTATGGAAAGGCATTGCATTGGAGACGGCTGCTTCAGCGATGTTACCTTTGAGCTGGACGACGGTTTGATGAAGGTGTGCATATATCGCAGCCATGTGGCACAAGTGCAATAAGTATTTAACAGCTCTGAGCAATATATTTGCTAAAAAGAAATTTATAACCTTTCTTGAAGTTGGTAATCACGATATTTTATTAATTATGAATGTTAGTAGGTTATTTAATTATTTAAAAAATGTGTTCCTTTTTCGACTGTCGGTCAGTTATGTATATGTATGTATTTTTAATAACAATCGTTTAGTATAGTATTTTTAACTTTAATCGCTTTTTTGTATTCATTTTCTAACTCAATCATTTACAGGCACATCGGGCTGTTTTAGTGGGTCGCTGCGATGTTATGCGCGCCATGCTCCTGGGCGACTTTCGCGAGGCACATTCTAATGTGGTAAGCCTATTGAATTGACACCAATTGAACATATAAAGGATACAGATGTGGTTTTGTTTTTCAGATTGTTTTCCCTGGCGTTACTATTTATACATTCCATAAGCTGCTGTGCTATTTGTACACAGATCAAATTCCGCCCATCTCAGCGGTTAAATGCCTCAATTTGTTGGAATTGGCCAACCGTTTGTGCCTGCCGCGCCTTATCAATCTGATTGAATGTCGCGTTATTGAAGATCTCACAATTATTTCACAAAACGAAACCAATGAAACGGTCGATCATTGCCTAAAGTTGCTGGAGCCAGTCAAGGTCTGTGGTTTCTAATACACCGTGCAGCGTGGTTTGAAATCATTTAAATATTTTTGTCGATGCTTATAGTTGCACAATGCCCATCAATTGGCCGAATGGTGTATGTCGTATCTGTGCGTCAATTACAACGTTATCTGTAAGTTTTCACTTAAGGGCTTGAAAGCACTGCATCAGGATAATCAGGAGTATTTACGTGAGCATCGGTGGCCACCAGTTTGGTATCTGAAGGATTACGATTACTATCAGCGCTGCATCAATGAGCTGAACAAGGAGCTAAAGCTAAAAAGCACTCGGCGAGATTTCCCTAGCGATGACGAAGGCTGCCTGTGCTTTTCCGGAGGTAAGTGTCATCATCATCCACCACTCACACATGCATATGTATACACCAGACTAGCAGCCGAGGCTTGGCAACGGCCTGCAACGTGATGACCAGAGTCGGAGGTGCCTTCTAATTCTTAGCATTCCTTTAATTATTGCCATTGAGATAAGTATGTAGCCAGACAAAGGAAATGGCCCGGTATAATCCAACTAAATGTTGTGTTTTGAGTGTACTTGGTTTGTATTTATTGTATACCCGATAATATATGTTATATATATCGGTTTCATTGAACACACTGTCCAAACCATCATCACAATATTAACGTGCAATATTTGGACAAAGTGTTCTCTTGCTGGCTGCTAGGTAAATCAAAGCGGAACGGTGTCGTCAGCGCCAGTGGACCCAATGGAGAGAGCAACGGAACAACGGCCGAGAATCAAATATTCAACAGCTCGGCCAACTCAATGAACCACATCGACCTGGAGGCTGACATTGATCTGAATCTCTGACACCCAGCCCTGGGACAGGGCAGGTATGTTATCCTTAGCTACTTTCAAATTAACCTGTATAATGTCTACATATATCTGCTTCAGGTCACTGCGATTTATTGTGATTCTGCCCGTCCTGATTTGTTTCATCTGTACAATTTTGAGTATTTTGATACTTTTCCAAATCCACACATAACGATCCCCGTGGGCAACGGGTTGGTGGCGTCTGCTTTTGGTATTTGAGCTCCGCACAGAAACACATAAGCATTCATTCAATTGCTTTTCTTATATGCTTCAAATATGCCTAACTATAGTGCAATATACATACGCATATGTACATATGTAGTATGTACATATCGAGCCAGTATGTACGATTATGTTTTATTTGTGCGCGCACTTTAAATGCAGAAATAATGATGGAACTGTATGATAAACCAAATCATGTGTATACTTATACTTATGTATTTAAATTTTAAATTCCAGTTTAGGGAAACATTTGTCTAGCCATAGCTTTTAAGCAACATAATATGACCTAAGGACGCATTTTGTACAAAATGATATAGAGTAAAGCCATTATGAATATAAAATATTTAGAAAACTAGAACATATTAAATTTATTAAGCAAACACAAAAATATATAGTACATATGTAAGTTGAATAGTTTTTACAAAGATGCTAATGTTTTTTGGCTAGCCTGAGAGATGGTGCCGTCCTCAACCTCCAGTTCATCCAACATGGCAAGTAACTGCTCATCGTCAATTACAATCTCAGGCTTATTATTATTTTTACAGACATTTATTGGTTTTGCCGCTTCCTTTTCGCCCATCAGATTGCTTAGCTCGATTTCCAACTCTTCCTCATCGTGGCTTGTGACAACTTCTGCCGTGTTACTTGACATAACATCTTGGATCTCCCGATGTTGATCCAGAGTCTCCCGCACATCGGCCAGAACCTCATCGACGTTATCATACTTGAGACCCGAATCGTTAAGAACCTTCTGCAAGGTTTTGGTTCCAATTTTGTATGCATCAAGCACCACGCCATTGTTTTGTGCTTCCTCCACATTTGAGAGCAGCGTTTCTATGTTGTGGAGCGCCAGACTGCGACGCTCTGTGGATTTTTGGAAAAACATTTGTTAAATATTTTAATGCATATGGCCTGTTTGACGCACCGTGATTTTTTTCCAACAAACGCCGCTTGCGCAGGTAAGTTTTGGCTAATTGCCTTTTGTTTTCTTTGACATATTGACGAGCTTTATCGTCGTTAACTTTAATCTCTTCCTCGAGCGACTCCAACTGTTTCATTAGGCTGGCCTGCGTCATCTCCAGGTTATGCACGGCAAGATCTGCCTCGCTTATAATCAGACTTTCATTCTCGTCAGCTGTAACGAAACAAAAAGTTTTTATGAAATCTTTAGCACATGCTTTTAGTAATTACTTGCCTGGAATCTTGATTAGATGAACGCGCTGCGTTTTCTTTTCTATTTTAAATTCTAACGCCACTTGCCGGCGCGCCTGTAGTGTAAGAAGACATAAATCCATAAAATCCTCATGAATGCGCACTTGACACGATTTGCAAAGCGTCTTAAAGGCTTCAAGGTGCAGCAATTTTCCACGGTTCTTGTCCAATACTTTGGTTTCCATTTCGCTGCAGATGATCTGGTTGACAAATGCGTATAGTTAGTATAGATTATAAACAATTGGAATCAAAGCTTACTCGTAAAGCATCCAAGTGAATCCATTCCACAAAAGACTCTGCCAGGGCATCCTTGGCGATTATGAGATGCTTCAGTTTTAGCCAGCTGCGCGATAGAGGGCGCTTCACAAAACTGGTAAGGAACCAGCCGCTCCAGCTGTTGAGCGGATCGTATTCATATTCGGTGCGTAGACGAATCTGTTTTTTTTGTGCCATTTCGGCTATTACAACGTCCAAGCAGGCAGGTATTTGTTCGCCACGCATGAACTGCAATTGCAGTTCTCGCAAACTGAAATTGGCCTTGCCTAAATATGTACAGTACTGATTTATAAGATCCATCCAGAATATCATCTTGCTGTCATATGCTTCAATGTCCCAGTGACGCGTATGAAAGTTCGCAAAGAGCAACCTGATTTTGTCTTTGTCCCGCCAAACTGGCGGAAACTTAAATGCCTCGTTATTTGCGTCCATTACATCATTTCTTAAACTCATTGTTTCCAAATTATAAAAATCATAAAAGAATACGCCAGTTAGAAACAAGCACACGCTTCAATTTTGTTTGTATAAAATAGCAAGCACAAATGCACAATTGTACTAACTCCTTGTTACTTTATTTGTGGCTGTTTTGATTTCTTCATGTTGTTATTGTTTTGTTTATAGTTTTTCGTAGTTATTTCGCAAAAATGCTCAAACTAATAGTAATCGACAGTAGCGCTTAATATATATTCATCGATAGCATATGCGCATATAACTTATCGATGTTTTGTCAGAAACCCATCTCTAATCTGGACCAGAAAACAAAGCAAACAGCTGTTCTGAATTAATGCAAAGAAGAAGATAACGTGCAAGGCCACTAGATTTAGATTTGTATAGTAATTGTTGTAAAGTTTTAATTACAAAGTGCGTACTAAAGTTATCAGAATCAAACTATATTCGAATTCAGAACTCAATTTGCCATTAACAGTTGGAGGCGCTCAGCTTTCAGGCGGCAAAACAGATTGTAAACAAAGCGAAAACATATTTTTGTGATTCGGTTTCCAATGCCAATGCCAACTTGAGAAGCGTAACGTGCTCAGTCGACACACATCCACGACAAGGAACCATCTTGTACAGAGACACCGCCAATGTGAGCACAAGCCTGCTCCGTTGCCATCGAAGTTCTTCCAAAATCCATTTTCCATTCCTGCCTTGTTTAACTATCAACAACGGCTGCAGGTGGCGGCTGACTCACGTTTTCAGTAGCTAAACTTGGGATATACGAAGAACGCGCCATTGCCGGTGTTTGATTATTGATTGCGACGTATTGTGTCTTAACTTGAACATGCAGGATGATGAAATTGTTTTCTGCCACCAGCTGGGGAGAGGTGAGTGTAAATTAAATGAATCTCATGTTGATAAATAGAAAAACCTGCTGCACAGCTTCAATCTTATTGTACACTGAAACACAAAAGTTTTGAAGTGTATCAAAGCAGCGACGTGCATTTGTTTGTGTCCTCTTTCAAAGTAAAATACATACATATGTACCTATCCACAGACATACATACATAGGTACATACGTATGCATATAAGTCTTGCTTTGACGTTTCTGATTTGGGCGCCGCTCTTTTTATTTTTATTGGTCTTTCTTTTGTTGCGCTCATTCTCTTGCTCACGCAGCAGCATACATGCATATACTAAGTACTTTTGGAGTACACGAGTCAAAAATTGCTTTTACAGTAATTTATACAAAATGCTTGCAAAATAAAGTTTGAATTAGAAACAAGCATTTGCATAACAATCAGAGCTGCAAGCCGCACTTGATGCTGTTAATGGCATACAAAAGTGATCTTACTTGACCATTGACCGTCTTGCATTCAGTTCGAGCTCATGTCAAGGGTATTGTTAGGTTGTGCTCGTAGTAAAGTTCAACTTTTGATCGTTGATTTTGTTTTATTTTTGAAATTTGCTTTCGCAATGCTTAAGTTCGGCTTTGCTTTGCGATGTCTCCTATTAATATTCATATACACACATACATATGTATACGTGTGTGCATGCATATGTATGTGTTTTGAATTTTGTGCAAGCGCGCTTCTGACGTAGACGCCAGCTCGGCTGTTGCTGTTGTGGCGGTTACCGCGGCTACTGCGGCCGCTGTCGGCGTTGCCGCATCGTTTTTTTAACGAAGTGACAATGAAATTTCATTCAAACACGTTTCACGCCTTCGAGCGGTCAGTCAAACGGATTGCGCCCGACGGATGCCCGAACCCCGACGCGCGCTCTATACTCAAAACAAAACAGCGAACAGCGAAATCAAAGCTGATCGCTTTTGAGATCATTTACCGTGCTAGCTGGCTGGCTGGCAGCAATGTAAATACAAATAAGCAGTTAATGCTCGACGGCTGCTGGCGAGAATAACTACTATGCTCGGCGCGAATTGGAGACAAGACTCGTTGAGGTATTGATTACACATGCGACGCATTTAAAATGAAAGTGCACGCGCGCGACTCGAAATATTCGTTCAACTTCAAAATATTCAAATTACATAACGACAAGAAATCAACCACACATGCCTCGCTGGCTTCGACCGCCAATCCGTCAACACAAATGATCTCCACTAAGAAAAATTCATGGCGCGCTTCGTGGCGCGCCGCCATTGGAGTCGGTAACAAAGCCAAATCCATCAGCAACTCCGGCAACTCTAACAACAACAGCAACAACAACAATAGTAATAATAATAATAATAACGTAAATGAGGGCAACTCGCAGTCATCGTCGACGAACGATAATTGTTTAATTGAAACATGCAATCAGCCCAAAATGAATCCCGCCAAACACATCCCTAACATTGATGATTTAATGTGTAAGTAATCCGCCATCCAAAGTCGAAACAACATCAAGCATCTGATCCATATCAAAGCTCAATTTTATGTGTTGTACCCAAAGTTGATAAGAACGTCGGCAGATAACAGAGCAGAAGAAAAATCAATTTTGAATCAAGACAGCAACAAATTGGAATTTTTTGTTTGTCTAACAACTAATAAGTGTGCAAGGCACATATACTTTATAAATAAGGAAATCCGAGCTCTTTGAGAAATAGGACAAAATCGGTTAGTTTATGTGCCACCAATTCGTTCAATATGGCAACCTTGCTTTCGTTAAGATGATAATAGAGAAATGAAAGCAGAGCTGTTTCACTCTCTCTCTCTCTCTCTCTATCTGTTGCTCTCTCACGCAATGCAGATAAAAGAAAGCTTCTGCTCTGCTCTCTTTAAGCAAGCAGCTGATATAGCGATTTAACGGTGAAAACGTATAGGATTTTTACAAATTTTGTTCTGGGTTTGTTTATTAATTTTCATGTGTACATACACATAAATGTCTATGTATGTATATGTAAGTTAGTTAAATTGTGATTAGATAGCAGAGTGTGGTTGATTTTGTGACTTGCCGCCGCTTATTGTAACCAATTCAGAGGCCAGCGGTCATTTTAGAAATTCTTAACAGTCGATAACTACAGAGAGTCTAAAGGGTAGATAAGCAGGCATCGATATCGCTCGCTCTCTCGCTCTCCCTCTCTCTCTCTCTCTCTTTCTGGTCGCCCTGAGCGTGTCGCACATGTTTCGCAGTTAGATTTGCCAATATTCATCTACTTATAATATATAATCTAGCAGTTGCCCCTCGAAGTTAATAACGTGTTGCTGCTGTTCACCCGTTAAAATAAAACAAAATGTTTTGGCTCTTAATGGGCACGCGCTAGACATACCCATTACAACCGTGAAACAGTGTATATACGCTATTACAATTACCCTCGCGCAATGACAGAGACTCTGGATTTTACGTCGATCTTTGATCTCATCATTCAAAGCGGTACGTGCCCGACCGACGCAGCCACAAAGAAAGCACAAGAGAGCGACAGAGTAACAGAAAGAGAGCGAGAGAGAGAGAAAGAAATGGACATCTTAAGCACATGTTGTGAAAATTGAAATCTGTTCAACTGATACTAGAACAATCTCAAGAAGCACTCAATATTATTAATTATTGGTGTACACGGTTATAATTAAAACAATGTCAAGTGTGCTAGAGTCAAAGTCAACCGGACAGAGACTATATATGTATATATAGCTCTTGCATGGACAATCGGTCAGAAAGCAAGGTCCGGCATGAATAAGTAGGGCCTTAAAAGATATCTCGGCAATTCGAATTTTTTTTATTATTTAAACAATGTTTTTGGGGCTAAGATCGAAAGAGTTTATCGTACAAGGCAAATTAAGCAAAATTTGTATTTAGTTGAAACAGTTTGATAAGATTAGATTACTTCATGGAAGACGCAGATCCAATGAATTCCTCGTGTTTAATATCTTCAATAACCGGATTTTGTTCAATATGTGTCTTAAATATGTTTTAACTTAATGCAAAGCAAAAACTACAGCTGAAAATGTGATTGTTATTATCGAAATTTGACACAAACCTTACGAATTTGTTTCGGAGTGCTGCAATCGAAATTGAATTAGACACAAAACCAGCCAAATCATAATGTAAATAATAATGCAGCCACGTAAATCTGCACGGGTCTATGTGCTAGTCAATCAAAGGTCCCCGACCCTGTTGCGATTATGCCATCAGAACAGGGTCCTTATATGTACATGCTGTATACCGTTCTACCCGCTATCAATAGGTATTTTATCTATACGAATTGTCGCTAAATGTGAATTTGGGATTGATTTATTGCAGCGATGCCATGGTTTGGCATGGATATCGGCGGGACACTCACAAAATTGGTCTACTTTGAGCCAAAGGACATAACGCCCGACGAGCAGGATTGCGAGGCTGGCATTTTACGCAACATCCGACGATATTTGACCAGAAACTCTGCGTATGGCAAAACCGGCCATCGTGACACGCACTTGCAGGTGAGTTCACATCAATAGATCTACCTGTCTATAACTATATAATATATTGTGTAACGACTTTGATTTGTTTTACAACGCGTGACTTGTTTTATTCCATTTATTTATTTTATTTTTTTTTTTGTTTCCTTCACAATCATTGGCGATAACGTACCGAAAAATGAAATCGTTTGCATTAGCCTAAACGTGAACATTATCTGCGAAAAATTGCGCGTCCAATCGGTAGAGTTCATTGGGTTCATAGCCAGGTCGAATGATTCGTTTGCTGATTTCGTGTTACTTTTTAGTATATTGCATCGATCCGTAAACTGGCCGTGAACCCAGCGATATTTAAGGCATTTCTTGAATTATGCATTATCCAAACTCTCAGAAATGTCAGACTTACAGAAGCATACGAATATGTCATTAGTTGAAAGTTAACTGGAATGAAAGTACGCTAAATAGGCATTCGAATAGCTGGATTTAGCTCTAAAAAGGCCAAATTGTCAACACTGTCCGGAACCTGAATCGTATGCACATCGACATCGTTGACGACAAGTTTACATAGAGGAGCATTCATTGACTTTTGACTTCCTGTTGTCCGGTTTTTTTTTCTTTATTTTTGTTATATTTTAAATGGTTATCGGCTTATTTGCGTCTCTAATTACGCGAATTTGTGTTTAAACTTTGACTAGACAATTTGTTGTTCACGTGCGCTTTTATTTTAATAATCAAGTGTTTTAATGAGCAGCATATTTTGTGCGCTTGGTTTTTCACATATGCAAGCATATTGGAATTTATTTTTCTCTCACACTCTCATTTCAGATGGACAATGTTGAGATCAGAAAGCGTCGGGGTTCTCTGCATTTTATACGCTTCCAGACGACAGATATGGGCAACTTTCTGTCACTGGCCAAGCAGAAGGGCATGGCCGAGCTGGTAACAACGGTTTGTGCCACTGGCGGTGGGGCTTTTAAGTTTGAAAAGGATTTTCGGGATCAGGTGAACATGAAACTGGCCAAGTTCGATGAGCTGGACACGCTCATCAAGGGCATACTCTTCGCCGATATGCACAATTTTACTGAATGCTATTACTATGAGAATGCGCGAGAAATTGTGTAAGTTCCGGACCCAGCCATTGCGCCAGATGCTCCGACTTGACCGCAAATACCTTCTCTTATTCTATGCTCTGCAGTAAAAGCGAGAAGCGGGCCTTTAATTTCTCGCAGCCGTTTCCTTTTATCCTGGTGAATGTCGGTTCAGGTGTTTCAATACTGGCAGTATATGGGCCGGACAACTATAAACGCATTTCGGGCACAAGGTAAGCGATCTCTGTGTTCCAATTATGATCATCAACTAACTGTTTGTCTTCCGTTTAGCTTGGGCGGTGGAACATTCCTGGGTTTGTGTTGCCTGCTTACCGGCTGCACGACATTTGAGGAAGCCATACAATTGGCCACAAAGGGTGACAATCGGAAGGTGGACAAACTGGTCAAGGACATCTACGGCGGTGACTATAATCGGTTTGGCTTGCCCGGCGATTTAGTGGCTTCCAGGTAACAAATAGATTACAAATCATCTTATGCGTAATATTTACCTTTCGGCCTTGCTTGTAGCTTTGGCCAGATGCATCTAAACGACAAACGCTGCTCGGTATCTAGAGAGGATCTGGCGAATGCCACGCTCGTCACCATTACCAACAACATAGGCTCCATAGCACGAATGTGTGCACTAAACGAGAAGATCGATAGGGTGAGTAATGTGCCAAAAAGTTGCCTAGTTCTTAACTAAACGCTTACCTTTCCCCCTGCTTAGGTCGTTTTTGTAGGCAACTTTTTACGCGTTAATCCCATTTCAATGAAATTACTGGCGTACGCTATGGAATTCTGGTCGAATGGCACCATGAAGGGCCTGTTCCTGGAACATGAAGGCTACTTTGGAGCTTTGGGCTGCCTGCTGCAGTTCAACGGCGAACTGGCAGCGGCGCTTAGCGAGAGCCTGGATCATTCACAGCCGCCAAGCGCGAACACAACGCCAACACAACCAACTGACGCGGAGACGTCCACAGAATGCCCAGCCGCAGCGGACAAGCCAAATGACAGCACAACCAGATAGTCGTTCCCTTAAAGTGAATATCAAACTGTATCATAGTGGTTGTGCATCTACAACAAACGGAAGAAGGCAACAGAGGGAATGACAAATAGATGCAGTGGGTGCATTTTCTCGCTATTAACAATATTTTTTCTCTTGGATTAAGTTTACACAATTTTAGAGGATGCACAAATTGTAATTGTATGAAATAAAAAAAAAAAAAAAAACAAAAAGAACGGATAAAGTGCCTGTTAAAAAACGCAACAAAATTAAGGCTTCAAAATATGCTGCTAAATAACTTGTATGATATGTGAACACAACTTGATGCCAAATATCAGCACATTTCAGTTGTTATTCTTGGATGCAGATAGCTCGGTAACTTTGTTTCCAAATCCATATATAAGTAAGCACACATAGATATATTAAAGTATTACCATTTATTTGAACGCATCAACTGATAACTCTTAAAGTATTTAAATTTTATATGGCATATACAACATGTATTTGTGTGCGATATGAAATTGATATATTTTCAGAGCGGCTCATTTTTAGCAGCCAGCCTCGGTTGCAATTCAAATATTGCTCACATAACACAATAAACAGCAAGCGATAATAAATACGCATAACAACATTTGCACTATTACATTTAAGTTTTTATCTTACACATCGATTATATGAAAGTTATTTGTATGTTTTCAATGGATCTTTAAAGGCTTCTTTTTGTTTAGCATAAGTTTGTGGTCTATTAATATAAGATTTTACCTTGTCGACTATTTCAATAAGCTGGCCAATGCAATTTGTTAACCGAAATCTTATTTCGTTTGGAAACAAGCCGCAAGGCAAATGCAAATAAATATATCATCATAATAATAATGGGTATAAAAATAAATAATCAAGTGCTTAACAATTTAAGAGTACAATTCAGAGGAAGCCTGCTCGCGCAAACACAAATTAATCTGCGGTCCATTCAACAAATAGAAGGTACTTTTTAATGATCTTTCTTTTTGAGATCCAAACAATGTCTCTACATAAAAACTACTTAATTTATTTGTGAGTTCAAGCAATTAATTACAAATTTTGTTGTTCGTTTATCTTAGGCTTTCATGAAAATGACTGTAATCTCTTTGGACACCATAGTTGGTTGTGAAATCAAGTACTTGCAAGTTGTGATCCGTGGCAATAAACATATATTGGCTGTCACAAGCAAGACTATATACGGGCGAACTTCTATAGTTCTGTCGTGCCGTGGCGCGTCCCGGAAAATACAATTGTATGTATTTGCCGGGCACACGAATGTCATAAAGGTTGACGCGGCTATGGTACTTGGCACCGCAGAGCACCGCATAGAGTCCATCGTACTCCAGACAGTAGATGGACGAGTCAAACGGATCCTCCCAAACGGCAACATCACGATCTGTGCGTCGGTCAAACATGCGGAATGTGGTATCAAAGTTGGCGGTAAATAATACATGTTCATCTTTGATTTTTAGATCGTAAATCGAAATGGTGTTCGAGTTGAGCACTTGTTCCTCGCCGCTGTAAGACTTGGGCATATAATAATGGAAGATTGCATGTTTAAAACGCGACTTTACCTGTCCACATTGATGGCGCGCAGCGCCTTGCGTCCGGTATCTGTGTAGAGACCACCATAGAGCCACTGGGCATCATCGCTGAGCTTCATGGACTTAAAGGAATGCTGCAGCTGCATGAATAGATCGAAATGGGTGAGTCCAAATTCCGTTGAACGCTTCCATAGCTTGCAGCAGGTGTCCGTGCTGGTGGCATACACCTCGTTAACAAAGTCCACAGAGAACATGTATTCCTTGGCATGATGCATTGCCTGCTCCGTGATGCCATCCGTATCGCTAACGAAGCATGCGCCGCACACGCGTCCAGCAAAAATGGTGTCCTGCTTCTTAACAAAATCGGATATATCCGACAAGGTGGGTGTAGTTATTTCCACTTCATAGCGTCGCTGCAGTGCCTCGGGACCAGCCCGACGATACTTGCGCAAATAGTTTGCATGCGTTATATACAAGGCGTCCGAATCCAGCCAAAGCTTGGATGAAAACATCTGCGCATGATGGTAATAATGACGTTCCATGTAGACACCTCGCAGCCAGTTTCTGGCAACCTGTAGACGCCGAAAGTACGTCAGCTGTATTCTATTCCTATTCAAAAGAAAAAGCGCAATAAGCAAACGAAATGTGGCATGAAAAAAGTATGCTACCTTTTCTCGACACTTGGCCTGTTTCGGTGTCCGCATAGCAGCAAATCCTTTGTCATAGCATAGAATATGTTTTGCTCGATGACGGCGTTAAAATAGTTGCTCGTTTCACACAGAATGACTAGCTCGCGTTCCGACAAATATTTAAAAATTCGCAAAAGACAGTCGATGTTTAGGTCGGTAATCTTCATTTTGATGGATTTTGTTGAATAAATCGGTTTCCTTAGGATTTATTAACGTTTGGAGATGCGAAGCGTTTATTACATAACTACGTTTGGGGATACAGATGGCTACTTTCCCTTCTATGGACATCATACGAACGAAAATATCTTGAAAAACACGGAACTTATATTTATTGAAAAACCACCTTCCTTTTGACACCAACCTCCGCTGTCTTCTTCTTACCTATAAATAACAGCAGCAACCCACACATTAACATTTGCTGTTACTAACTGCGAAATTAGCTATTCGATACTTGTGTTCGATATATCGATAGCTTGATTTTAACAGACCAAGCCACATTCAAATTTCAGTAATTCAAAACGGTCGATAAATTTTCGGCGAGCTTTTTTGTCGTTTTTTTGTTTTTAAATTTTATTTTATTTTCTAAATGTCAGCAAAGAAACGAGTGCTGTCTATGCACATCAATGCGATTAGAGTTATTTAGGACACTCTTTCTCTAATTAGTGACAGAACTTTACAGAAATAATTACGCTAAATACCAAAAATAAAACACATTCCATTGTCTTCATGCTTGCCATTAACTAAGAAGGCTTCGTTGCAAAACTCGCATTCGTTGCTTTTCATTGAGAAATAGAAAAAAATGTTCAAATTGCTCTATAGAAATGGAAAACATATCAATTTAGTTAGATCTTTAAAATTTATTAAGTACGACTACCTTGGGGAAATTTATGAAATAATTAAATTATTTTATTACTTGCTTGCAAATTCTAAAACTGACGTGGAACATTGAAAAGAGCTTGAATTATCATTTCTTTTCGACAAATTTGTCACATACAATATGTATTTATCTGCCAAATAGAAAAGCATAATCAAAATGTTCTAGAAGTACGACCACACCTAATTAAAATTGTTCCAGCATGCCAAGTTCGAGAGAGTCGGGAAGTCACATTGTCTGGCGCCTACGTTGCGCTCAGCAGGTTTAACGTTCTTACGAAATTCTCTCACCAATTTTATAATGATACGATACGATGACTAAAGTAGAAGTAGGCGAAGCTACGTAGAACTTGTCACGTCGGCAAATACATGCGTTGGTTATTGCGTCGCGAATAAAATAGTTAGTAAACACATTTTCGGCATGTGGTTAGGCTTTATCGTTGGCGAATTTAATTAATGAAACCTAAATATGCTATTGTTACCGTCTTCCCCAACTAAGTTTCCAGACAAATATTTAAGCTATTTCGTAGATACGTAAATATGAGCTGTTGCTTGGCTTTAATATGAAATATCTAAAGTAAACATTTTGCTGCTTATATTCTCTTTACCTAAAAGCATAAGCAGCAAATTTTTAAAATATCATATGTATATGTATTTCATCTGTTGCTCCAAGTGCAAATAAATTAGTACCAGGGCTGCAGCACAACAAAAATATTGGTTCGGCTTGCAGCTGGAACCAGCTCATTGAGGTTCAGTTCATTAACCTAGTTCCACATTCATAAAGCCGGGCTTTAGTTCTTGCCCCGATTCAATTTTTAATTCTGTTTTGCCCGTGTTGCTGAAAATATTGTTAAGCCATAAATATTTTCAAACAAACGTTGCGGGCTAGATTTTAGCTCTACCCAAAATTGGCATCTCTAGTTAGATAAATGCAATTATTTGGATCAGCTTTATTTTTACCTTAAAACTGAGGCTTTTTTTAAGTTATTTTTTTCTTTTTTACCAACTCTTTTGAAGTTCCGCTCATGGTGTTAAATTATTTCTGATTTCGAACCGGTTCCTCCGCAAATCGGTTGACATTCCCGATAAGTTAACGTTTATATAAACGTATATGTTTTACCTTGCGATTGGACTCTATATCATGTGAGGCCCAAAGTTGAGGAATTTTTCTGATTCTGGCATTGAAAATGCAATCTCATGTCAGGCAACAGCTGATAACGCTTATCAAGAGATAAACTCTTCCCACGTGCTTGACGTTCGGCCAATGTACACATTTATCAGAGCAATAAAGCACAAAGAAATACCACAATTTTATCGAGGGTGACTAGCAGATATCCTGTACACAAATTTCAAAAAAAAAAAAGTCTGGAATCGAATCAAATTTTAAATAAGTAAAAGATCACATTCGTTTTTTAAAGTGAGATCAAAGTTTAATGTTTTATTCGTTTCATAATTTTCACTTTTTATGCTATTTTTCTTTTTTTGTTTCTTTTCATAATATGCAAAACTTTAAAAAAAATTTAAATAATAAATAACAATTTGCATTCATTGCCATTTGTAAACATTGAAAATAATGCTTTCTATCAATTGATAAGATCAACAATTTACAGCAAAATATTAATTTATGTATTGTACATAAGTTGCTTTTAGGAAGAATCAATTGCAGTTGCAGTTGCAGTTGCAGTCGCAGTCGGAGTTGCAGCTGCTGTTACGAGGATTCGGCGGATGCGGATTGTAACGCGTGAAAGGATTCTTCATTTAGAACGAGCTAATTCGTTTCATTTGGAAGGCAGTGAGTTATTTTTTTTAATTGTATATGTTTACGTGTAAGGTGTGAGCGAGGCTACAAAGTCTTTTTTGTGTGCGAGTTTTGGAGGCTGAATCGCCACCTGAATCGAGGAAGGATGATGACGTGGAGAGCGCGGCCGCCTTAGCCTCGGCTATCGTCGTAGAGAGCAGGTAATGCGCCTCGGGGCGGGAGGTGAAGCATTGAATCCGAAAGCGAGTTAACGCCTCAAGATCACGCGCCAGCGTATACGAGAAAGCGAGCTTTCAGTGGCTTTGTGTCCGGCTCTGTCTCGGACATTGGTCAGCCCATGTCCTCGTCGGCGTCCGCATCAGGCTCGACGGGCAGCGAACTGGAGACGCTAGTCTGGGCCATTTGCAGCGTACTGTGCGTATAGTCTAGCGGCTCCACGCCAATATCCTCGTACTCGTGCTCCCGTTTATCACCCAGCTGACATAGGTCGCTCATGTCTCCCTCCTCCATGTGCTCGTGCTCATCCTGATCGACATCAACGTCCCAGTCGTCGGCAATTTGCACATTGACGGGCAGGTACAAGTGGAACGGCCGCTGTTCCTTCAGCCAAGGCGTCAGGAATATGTGTGTCGCCGTCATGCGCTCCGTGTAGTTCTTCCGCAGCAGCGAGAGCATCAGCCAGCGCACGGACTTGGATAACGACATGGGTATTTGGACATTGCCGTGTCTGATTACCGTTATCAGATTGCAGTTGGCCTTCTCGTAGAACGGATACTGACCCACAAGCATGGTGTACAGTATGACGCCCAAGGACCACATGTCCGCCGGCTTGCCCTGGTACGTCGGCTGCGGGCAGAGGAGCTCCGGTGCAGTGTACAGGGGGCAGCCGATCTTGTCGCTCAGCGTATCATCATCACCGTCGAGTATCATCGAGCCCTCCAGCGATTCATACTGCAGTTTAGTTCTGTAATCAAAACGAAAAAGAAGACAAAAAATCAATTTTAAGTGAATGCTTATCGCATATTATTTATTGTGTCTGCAATCGCAGGCAGCCAGATGCAGAGTTGCATAACGTTCAAAAATTGATGGTGTTGCCATTTAGTAGCGCATTACAACAGACACACACAACACACACAAATCGATTGGCATTGCGTTGGCGTTGATGGCGTTGCCAGCCTTAGTGAGCCAAACTTTGACGTGAACGTATCTATGTAATTGACAATTTAACATAAAGACAAGCCGTGCACCCATCTCTGACAAAGCAGGCGACCCCAAACACCCAAGAGCGGTGACACCATGTTGACATTGGCCTACATTTGCATGCAAAAAAGCTTGAGAGAGAAACAGAGCGAGAGAGCGCGCTCTCATTTAAGCCAGCCTACTTCCAAGTGACGCAGCGTTGTGGCAACTCCACCTACGGCTTCAAAGCTTCTTGCGCAGAGACAACAATGGCAACAGCTAACAAACATTGGAAATCAAAAGCCAAAAGATAATTAAGTGAGCGCCAAGAAAAAAATCAACATTATTTTTTCTTCGATTGTGCCATGAAACAAACAAAAATACATGCATACATATGCATATATATATACACACGAGCTCAAAAACCTCGAACTGACCCTGAGCAAAAAGTGAGCAACAAAAAATTATACTGAGCGCGCCTCTTGCTGCCGTCAAACAAAAATTACAATACGCCACCATCAGCAGCAGCAGCAGAGAAATACGATCCATGGAGAGTAAGCGAAAGAGAGAGAGAGAGGTGGCGAGTGAGAGCAACACGTAGTTTAGTTGTTACAACAAGCGACCTTGTTCGCTCATAGGAGAGGGGCGAACATTGCGCAGCCTATTCATTTGAAGAGCGTACACGATTGCTGCCTCTCTCTCTCTCTCTACCGCTCTTTTTCAGTCTTACGCGCTGTACAAATAATGCGAACGTTGTCGCTTTTTGAAATTAACAAATTGTATTTTCCGAAAAGATACTCGCACACTCAATTAGCCAGAGGAGAGGTGAGCTTGGTGAGGAGGACGGCGGCGTTAATACGTGCTGCTAATTTAAATGCTATTTAAATATCTATGCGCCAACCAAAAATAATAATACATAAACATATACACACAGAAGATCAGAGTCAGGGACGACGCAGCACAATTTGACCTTACAGCCGAATGGGTGCGTCTGTGTGCGTGTGTGTGTGTGTGTATGTATAAGTGAATATTTTTCATTTAATACACGGCTGCCAATCGAAGGTGAGTATGATTTATATTCATTTATCTTTATATTTTAACAATCACATTTATTTTAACACACATTCTTGCAAATAAGTACATTCAACCCAAAATATATAGCATCATTTTGGTACATGCATATGTATGTATGTATGTATGTATGTGTACATTCATATGTACACACAAAATGCTGTTTTAAATGTTTGTTGAGATAATTAAAATTGAGTCAAGAACCTATAATATGCAAAGAAATATGCCTGTTAAGTGAATAATACAGATGTATGTATATACTAGTATACAAAATCTGTTTATCTGGGAAAAATATTTATTCACGTACATACATATATATAAGTATGATTGTAGAAGACTTTTATCTAGACACAAAACTCTTACTCATGCAGAATCATGATGTATTCTGTGGAATACATTGATAGTACATATTTGATTGTTTACGAATGCATTTCATATTTATCAGCTGTTGTGAATTCTTGCACGATTTTATTAGAGACTCATTTTTTGAATTCCTAAATTACAGAGTATTCAAAATTAATACGTATGCATGTTTGTATGTATGTAAAAACAAGTTGGCAACACGAATAGCGGAAAACGCCGATGCAATAAATTTGCTAATTGCATTGGCAATGGAAACGTGAAAACAATACTAACGCAGAAAGTTCAAAAACATTCAACAAGTATTGCTTCATTCGTAAGAACTACACACACACACACACACACACATAAACCCAACACATACTAAGAGAAACCGTATTGCGACTGTGTGTCTCTCACAATCAACAGGTACAGCAGAGACAGCGAGGTACGAAAAAAGAAAAGTTTTTCCGTTCGCCACGAGTCAAGATTAAGAATATATACATTTGTATGTATAAACATACACACGTCTGACGTATGTACAATTGTAAAAAAAAAAAAAACAAAAATGAATTATTTTGCAAGCACACAGACAAATTTGAAGGTGAGCCTAACATTTCGACGTGTACTGTACTCACGTATAAGTACTCACAGCCACACACATACAAACAAGTAAATGAGTACAAAGTAGGAACCTCGCTGCGAGCACTTTGTACGCTCCAGATATACATACATACATACATGCATATGTACACAGTTGTTGTTGTTGTTGTAGCTTTTACTGTATTATCAGTGTTTCGTGTGTACAGTATTGACCAAAATATTGAATACGCAAAACCGTTTTTCATAAAAGAACGCAATATTCTATTTGGAGCCGATGTATTTCATCAGCTACAGTAATTTCCCATAGCTGACTGTATAAATACACACACATTCATATATGTATGTACACATACAGGCGTATTGTCGCTGCTGTTGATCTATTGGTTTTTTTTTTTATTTTTTATTATTGCAACACTTCTTAAATGTTCAATGTTACCCACAACTGGCCGACACCGAACACAACAGCAACAACAGCGACAACGTCGGCCAATAACAAGAGCAACAATTGTGGCACCAATAACACCAACACACAAGCAAAACAAAAAAAAACAACAACTGTTGCTCATAACGAGTTTTTATCGAATTGCAAAATAAAGATATGCAACCAGTACAGCGAGCAAATGTGTGCGAGGTGTGAGAGTGTGTGTGTGAGTTGATGTTGCCGTTGTTGTTGTTGGTGGGCAATATGCGGGTGCCGGGGTAGGGTCACCACCAATCGATTACGAAAGCCATCAACACATGTACATACACACATACATACATACATACATATTTATGTATGTACCGTAAATATGCTAGAATTGGAACTACTCGCATATGTTCATAAATGAACTTTATACAGTGGTGTCGCTCAGCGAACTCCAAGTGGATGCTATATACACATACGAGTCGCACAGTGTTGCCAGCTTTAGAAAAGCTAAATAATAAACTAGTTCTAGCAGCAAAAGTGGGTAAAAGAAAGCTAACTTTAAACGATTTCGTAGTTAATTACTTTTCATTAATGAAGAAACGTATCATTTGCAAGAAATATAAATATTCACAATCCATTATGACTATATGTATATACTTAAGGATTTGCCTTGAATTATGCTGCACGATTTTTTTATATATTATATTAATATGAGAACTTCCGCTGGGGGCAAATATCAAATTTTTCGAAACCTTTAAAACTTACGTAATCTTCAATTCGTAAATTTAACTATAGTCGTTTTATGGTACTCTAATCTAAGCACTAAACCAGCTTATTTTTCCAAATAATTAATACTTAATTTTGTAGGTTTCTATTAGTAAACAATTTTTAAATAATATTTGAAACATTTTGTAAAAAATTAGATAATCTGACTTAAACAGACGGACTTGTTGTTACATATTTCGAGACAAAGCTAAAATCTCCTCTGTAAGGGTATAAAAAACTAACTAAACTTTATCGATTATTCGGCTTCGCAATCGTTATCGATTTCGTATTCAGTGCGTTACATAATTCATGACAAAAGTAGATGGCCCTCGCGAAGGGTATACGAATTATATTTGTATGGCCGAATGGATACAGATACTAACCTCGCCTCGTCAATGAAGTAGAAACGCTTCAGCTTGAGGTCGCGCAGGATGATCCCGTTGCGATGGCACACCTGCACCGTCTGGCAGATCTGATGGAATATGGCTCGTGCCTCCGGCTCACAGAGACGCTTCTCGTGACGGATGTACGTGTGGAGGTTCTCGTAGACGCGCTGCTGGCTCTGCTGGACGGGTGCAATGATGATGTAGGTGCGGTTCTTGGAGAGGGGCACCAGATCGTGCACGCCCCGGATCAGTGTGTGGCCGTAGATGGTGCTGCGGCAGAGCTGCTCGTCCTGCTCCAGCTGAAAGTAGGCGCGTTGCACCTTGTGCAGCGGCTCGTTGATGATCTTGCAGAGAAACTGCTCCCCGGTGAAGACGTCCACGCATTGCAGATTCGACGACGTCAGATCGATGAGATGGCGATAGGAGGCGGGCGTCTTGGCCGCTGCCGCGGCTGAGATGTGACTAGGCTGGGCACTTATCAGATAACGGTTCTTGATCACCTTCACGGGCTGCTCGCCGCCAACTCCGAACGGGTTCATGCTGCCACCATGCAGGTTCGTCTGCTCCGCAAAGCTCAAAGCGTGCAGCTCACAGACGCCGCCGGGCGTGCGCAGCAGCTTCTCTCGAATTGTGCGCAACATTTGCGCGTTCGGGAACTCTTTTGTCGGCGTTGACATTGCGTACGGGTAGGCGTGGCTGGAGGTGGGCGTTGATGCGGCTGATGTAAACACAGTTAATGCGGGCGTCAGGCGCTGCTCTCTGCCAGCGGACGAAGCGTCGCTGTTGTTGTTCCTCCTGTTGCTGTTGTTGTTGTTGTTGTTGTTGCTGCTGCTCTCAGCAGATGGCGAGAGAGCCGTTGGCAGCGTATAGTTGACTATTTTGTTACCTTCCACTGCACTCGTATTGCTGCTGCTATCCATTTTGTGGCTTGTTGCTGCTGTTGTTGTTGTTGTTGTTGTGGTTCCAAATGTTATTTATGCACTGCTTGCCAGCTCACAATTATCACAGTTTTTGCTTTTAACTCGCTTACTAACTGTTGTTTTGACTTTAGCTCACGATTGGCATTTTCATTGTCTTTTCTTTGAGTTGTGTACGTTTTGTATGTTGTATATGTGTGTATACGTGTGTGTGTGCGTGTGTGAGTTTCTGTTTCTGTTTGTATGTGTGTGCGTGCCTGTGTGTACGAGTAATATTTTTTATTGATGGCTCTGGCGACCTTTCCATATTTCAATATTTATTTGTTGGCTGGCTCGAGGTCCGTGTTTGTTAAAACAAACAATGAAAAACAATTTTATTCAATTCTCTTCCGATATATTTCGGTTGCACATCGGCAAAAAGCGCAGACGTGTAAAATAATTGCCCTGAAGACGGTTTGCCGATGTGCAACCGAAATATATCGGAAGAGAATTGAATAAAATTGTTTTTCATTGTTTGTTTTAACAAACACGGACCTCGAGCCAGCCAACAAATAAATATTGTAATATTTTTTATTTTCGAATCTTTGTGCTGACTTCAATTTCACTTGGTTGACGCAATACAGCACATCGGTTGCGAAATATTTTTAATAAACGAATATTATTTCGCGTTTGTTGTTGCTGTTGTCGATTTTAAAACAAATCGAACGATACTAAAATTCACTCACTCGTACACGCGAAAAGGAACGAAACGCGCCCGACTGTCTGCTCTGCTCTCCGAAATGTAAATGGTTCCATTTTTCATTTTCGTTTCGCTTATGTACGCTACGCGTGGCTACGGGCCGAAAGGTTGTCAGCTTCAGCGAGAGATAAGGAAGCCAGACCGCGTGACGTCACTCACTCAACTACATCAACTGTTCTTGTGTATGTTATCAGAGAACACGTATAACTTTTAGAAATTGCTCGTTTTATTGGTACAACTACACAAATATTTGTTTTGTTTATAGAACGATTTTAAACGAACTTTTATGTATATTGATAATGGCATTCGTTTACGTTGTTATTACTAAATTCAATAGACAATGGCAAATATAATTAGGTATTTTATTATATTTTTAATTCTTTACAATATTTATTATATATTTCGCTGTTTTTCGTGTGTATTTACGCTGTGATGTCAGTTAATACAGCTTCCATACTCTTGTTTCAAAACGACGCATGTACATGCTCAACGAACAACCTTCTTCAGTTGATAAGCATTAACGTTAATGGAACGACTGGAATGGAAACATTACCAGGGCTCCATTTGCCACACTTGCATTGGTATGTGTGAGAAAGTTTGCTCTAGTGCGACGTTATTTTCGAAAACAATTGCGTGGAACGTTGAAATATCAGCGTTTGCCTTCGCATTGCACGCCTGTACGTTTACGTTTACAATTAAATGTATACGGAAATTCCACTTTGAGAATGAAACGTTGATTTTGAATGCCATATGCTAGCGTCTTATTTCTTTTCAATGCTTTAAAACTACCCCTATGCTAAAAATGTGTGTGCATACATACAAACGTATGTGTACATACATACATACTCATACAGTGAATGCCGAAAGACGCTTACTGTATCAGCTAGAGCGATCTTCACGTATTGAGCACACACATTTGTATGTATCTAGACAGTAAATCAGTACACCTTTCATTTGCATGCCATGATTCACTTTCACTAAAGATGATATATATTAACGAAATCATGTTATGATCTCCTATCGATATGAATTAATACATATCGATGTTATAGTGTACATGCCTATGCATGTGACAGTGATATGCTTGTATGTATGTATGTATGTATACTTGCAGAAATGGCTGCAACAATTATTCGATGTGCGCGGCGCAGTTTATGATTTCGGTGAGCAGCTGCAACTCGAAAATAAAGATCATTGGCCTACACAGGAATTATGCCAGAGCACAGCAGATCGCACACATGCACATGTACGCAACGCATATTTCGATCTGTATGTATGCAGGTAAAGACAACTACAACTACAGGTAGATTTCCATTTCCCGGACTCCGCGTCTGCATCATCAACCCCTAAATTGTGAGGGATGGCTGTACGTCGTCCAAGGATGTTGCAGCTGTTGCAAGGTGATTTCCAAGTATACATACATACATATGTACAAACATTCGTACAAACATGCAACCGAAGAACATTCATCTGTCGATACGAGCACGAGGTGCGCCCTAAAAGTTTGCACATTTGCGTCTCTTGTCACGTAAGTTTAACCTAAAAATACTAGGAAATGGGAGAAGAGTACGTTAGAGTACTTACTGCTAAAGACGCACGCTTTTTTATAAGCTACTTATTTTTTTATACATATTAAGGTGTTCAAAACGGTTGAACTACACCTCGCATACTTATTGTTTGTACATTTTGAATTCATCGCATCGCATCGCATCGCATTTGATACTTCTGCTTCATAAGGTTGCGTTTTTGAACAGCCGGCATCCATCCTATCACCTTGTGCTGCTTCAATACACGAATCTCGCAGAGCGAAACTTGTCAATGGCATTGGTACAGGCGCGTAGTCATGAATATGGTTTTTAGGGGCCAACGCATAGCCGGAAGACCTCTAAAGAGCAACATGAAAATCTGTTTCACTATCAAAATAATTCACTCTTTCAAATAGTCAATTACAGCGGTCAATATTCATATCATGTAATTTTGTATTACACATTGCGAAATCCAATCTGCATACACACATACACGCATACATACATATATCGCATGGAAGAAGCTGCAGCATACATTTGCTTGCACACACACATGCATATATGTACATATATTAAAAAGCATACACATGTGTGCACGCGGCGAGCGTTAATTTTTGAATTTGAATTCAAAATACTGATACGTTAAGCTCAGTGCCAACGGACTTTTTGGCTTACGAAATAGCGCCGAGTTGTTGTCTCTGCTTCTGTATAAGCGCCGTTTTGCCGCTCCATCAAAAAGTCATGCGTTCGAAACCCGTTTTTGACTGTTGAAGATATTCTAGCAGCAGATTTTGTTGTTGCCAAGCTCGTAAGCTCTCGCACGAAACACTTTTTCACTCTCCATCTCAGGCCTTGGGCTCGTATGATACGCACAGACACAAAGGCACACACACACACATACACATTCATATGGCTGCGTGCTCGTTTATGTGAATGTATTTCATACATTGTATGCGTCATCACGGCTGCGTCATCAAAATGCGAACTTGTTTATGCTGATGACGCGGTGGCGCCCTCTACCCACATCTCCCCACACCACGCCCCACTGCCCATGGAACTTTATTTCGATAGATAATTACAAATGAACGCCGCGACATTCCTTGCGCTCAAATTTGCCAGTCACACGTTGCAATCTACATGATATGGCTCTTCGTAATCTACACCGTGCACATGCACTTGGCCCCAAAAGGGCATATTTCCATTTTACATCGTGTTACGAAATAAGAAAGTGTTTGAGAATTTTTCGTATGATGTTTTTCAAGCATGAGCAAAATTCACAGATATATATTTAAATGTCCTTAAAACTTGCCAAAGAAAATCCATAAACGTTTTTGATTTTCATAAATATTTCATATTGTGTATATATATATAGATTTTTACATATGTATATGAAACAATTCAAATATACTTGAATATACATTTTTAATATGTTTAAATTATTATTTGTGTAACTCATGTACACAATGAATAAGCTTGTACATCAATAAATATAAGAGAATATAAGAGTATAAGAGTAGGTAGACACTTTGACAGTTTTGTGGTAGTACATAACGGGACTCTGAGAGGTACTCGTTTTCTTTAACAATTGTTGCAGATCGGGATCTATCGTCGACTAGGGGATACTCTGATTAAACATACATAAATTACTTTTATTTGTGTTCTTCTGACATACATACATATTAGTTTCAACGAGCGATAAATATTTGTAATTATATTTCAATACTTTGATCGATGTCAATTGAATAATAGCCAAGGATGTTTCGTCACAGACCGTTGTGCTTTGCTAAATACAGATGATATAATAATGTCCCCAGCAATTGGTTTAATTTGGACTATCCGCATTTTCGTCGGTTTCGTCATCAACAATGGGTTTCTTATCGTTCGGTTTCCGGCGTCCCAGGAAACGTTCCAGCACGGTATGCTTTGCGGGATTCTTCGAACCCTTGAAGGATCCCCAGTTCAGCTTACCTGCCTCCGATGAGGTCATCAGAATGGAGTACGAGGAACAGGCTTCGCCCTCTTTGCTATGGCCCATGCCATACAGGAAATAGACGACCATGCCAATCGATACCCAGACAAAGAAACGCACCCAGGTCAACGCGTCCAGGTGCACCATCAGCATTATGTTGCTGAAGATGCCCAGCGCTGGCACGAACGGCACCAGTGGCACCTTGAAGTTCAGGCCTCGCGTATTCTGATTATGCACCGCCATGATGGCGACACAGGTGCTGGCAGCAAAGATGATGAAACCATATACCAGCAATGCCCACCAGGTGCCTGTGTACAGCTGCGCCCAGGACACCTTCAGCTCCAGACAGATGGCAAAGCTCAGCACAACGAACAGCAACACCGCGCCGGATACCACAGAACCGGGCGCAAAGCGACCCAGCAGCGGATCCAGCCAGCGGAACTGTGGCTTAAGGCGACCCGCAAGGGCGCCCTCGATGAGATCGCTTGTGGGCGAAGCTGTGCCAATGCTAGACTGTGAATCGGCGTCCTCGTCGTTCTCGTCATCGGGCGTATCGGGCGCATAAACTGGATTCGGAGTACCCACATGTGGGAGTGGTCGATAGCGCAGAATTATGACGCTGGCGGAGACAATGGTATAGGCCAGCAGAGTGCCAATTGACATGAATTCCACCAGCTTGGCCAGGTCGAACACCAATGCCAGGGCAGCGCTCAGCAGCCCGGAGACGATCAGATTCAACAGCGGCACTTGGGTGCTCGCGTTAATGCGACCGAAGCAGCTAAAGAGCAAACCGTCCGATGCCATGGCGTACATGCAGCGGGGCAGAGCATAGAGGGAGCCCAGCAGCGTGGTGGTCATGCCGCAGAGGGCGCCGATCGAGATGATGTACTTGGCCCAGGGCAGATGCAGCTGCCCAAAGGCCTCCGGCAGCGAGGCAGCCGGATTAATGTCACTGATGGGTATCATGAGCGTCAGTGCGGCGCTCACCAGTATATAGCCGAGCGTGACAACGCACAGGGACAGGACGGTGGCAATGGGTATGGATACGGCCGGGTTTTTGGCCTCTTCGCCCGCCGTGGCTATCGAATCGAAGCCAACGAATGCATAGAAACAGGTCGCAGCGCCGGCAATCACGCCGCCAAAGCCAAACGGCAGAAATCCGCCCTGGGCCTCGGACCAGTTGTCGGTGTCCGCATACCAGAAGCCGACGCCGATGACCACCATCATGACGCCAATGTTGACCAGGGTCAGAATGCTGTTGAAGACGGCGGTCGCCTTGACGCCGCTGCCCAATGCCGCCGCATAGACAATGCACACGAGAAAGGCCAGCACATCCGGATACTGGGCCAGGCCAGGCTCATGTATGCCGCCCATCACCGCCAGCGTCGTGTTGGCTATCCAGCCGCCCAACATTGAGTCGACATAGCCGCTCCAGGCGCGCGCCACCGATGCGGCGCCCAACATATGCTCCAGCAGTATATTCCAGCCAATGACAAATGCCCAAAACTCACCGATCGATATATAGGTGTAGACATATGCCGATCCGGCCTTGGGCACGCGAGTGCCAAACTCCGCGTAGCATAGCGCCGCCAACATGGAGACGAATCCGGCGAGCACAAACGACAAAATGATGCCAGGTCCAGCCATTTCCTTGGCCACAGTTCCGGTCAGGACATAGATGCCCGCACCCACCATATGTCCAATTCCTGTAAGTACAAAAAATATATATATATATACATATTTATGTATATTAATTGAGAATATATTCTTGTAGGTATACCCAATAGTGCGATATCGAAGGTGGTCAGGCATCGCTTCAAGGGCGTCTCCATGACATCAGCGGGCACGGGCTTGGTGCGATTCATCTTTGTGCATAGTCCGGACATGATGTGCCCCAAAATGGCACGCCTTGAGCTGGGCATATTTCTAAAGGATATTCGGTACAGTATTTCCCTATTGCCACAAAAATCCCAGGACAACCATATGCCACATAATCAAAATCGGTAACTTTACAAAAAAAAATCACCACTCTCTTCTCCAATAATTGTTTATGCTTTTTCTTGATTATGGTTTATTCAATTGTTGCCCCTTTTTTTTTGTTTAAAAGTTATTTGTTCCTTTGATATTCTGTTTTACAACTTTTTTTCCGGCTACTCTCAGCGTTTCACTTGTTGTACACGAACAGCTGTGGCAATATCGATTTTTCCTCAAGGCCCCCCAATACTACTCCAGTGGCTCGTACACCCACAACATTTTCAGCGTTGCCAACACTGCCTGCGGAAAACCATTTGGAACAGTGTTAAAAGCTTTTTCTGTCAGTGGATTTTTCAAATGTCAAGAAGTCTGCTTCAGCTGAAAGTCCTGTTTGTTTGACTTTGAATTCGTTTTCTCTATTTTATATACTTTAAAAGAGAGCTTGTCCTTGTCCTCGTATTAATGGGTGGACATTCGACCAAAAACTATAAAAAATTGAAACCTTGAAACTGACACATTTCATTTAACTTATATTAAAATGCAAGCCCTGGTATTTGTTGTCAATGTCTAATTTTGTAACTTTAAAATATTCAGAAATTTTATCTTTCCTGAAATGTAGTTTTTTTTGGTAATATTTAGTCCCCGTTGGATAAAAAGGAGATACCTAGATGACTTCACATCCTTGTACAATTATATCAAAGAGGTAGGTCGTTTCAGCCTTAAGTAATGCATCTAAACAGCAAGATCAAGTTACTAATATGTATTTTTTCCCTAGCAGCAGTTCTTCGGACTAAACGAACGTTCCCTTTATAAGCAGAAGCTACGCATGCATCACATATTGCATTTGATGCAGATTACTGAAGGACTTTATACGAGTTCCTTGGAATCATGGTCCCTTACAGTATGGAGTGCAAGTAAGTATTAACGCTATTCTGCTAAGCACAATATTTCGATTATAAAATTAAAAGCACATTTTTGATTTCAGAGCCAAACCACTTCAAATAAGATGTTATACAAACCTTTGTAACTCTTGTCAAATTTGGTCTTTATTTTGAATTGGATGCTAATCCACAGTCGGAAACGAGTCCATAAGGTAAGTCGTCTACAATAGGAATAGGACATCTCAAATGAACTAATCACAATACTTTCTAAAAACCGTGTAAATGAGGTCCGATTATCCACGATCCTTTTTTGAAGGATTATTACAAAAATTATGTGTTGCACTCTCAATATAGTTATAGAATACGGAATTTACCTAAAATCGGTCGCTGTTTAGTAAATCCATAAGTATATAAACAGCAAAAGTTCAAGCAAATCCAACTAGACTATATTCTGAATGGGGAAATAATTCCCAAAATGTTCTACGCACTGTCATAAATTCAAATGATCCTCAAAGTATGCTTTAGATTTGTCAGTTTCAAAATCCATTGCATACTTTAGGGCATGATATTTATGCAGTTAAAAAAACGCCTTTTCAACAAAAGCAGAGTTGAGAGTATAATAATAATGTTTTGTTTGAGCTTCAAAAAATCCTTCCTTTTTTTTGGTATAATTAAAAATGAATTACTTTCGTACGCTTAATTTATATCGAACTTTCGCAAAAAAGTTATTGAAGAAGAAAATTGTTTCAAGCTGCCTTTTTTATTTTTGTCTGTTTAAACATGCAATATATGATTTAAGGCACACAGCCCCAGTCTGTTGAGTTATTGTTGTGAATAAGTATAATTTATGTTTTTGTAGCATAGTATGCCAGACCAAGCAACATGATTTGGTGTTCCCCGAAACGGGTTATCAGCTTGTTTAATATATTTACTTGGTTTTCCAGGGCCTGGCGTCTCACACAGAAAGCATTTCCGTTGCTCAAGGTCGCGTTCCCAGTGCTAAGTGGCAGGAATTTCGGATGTCATGTTCGCAACGCCCCAGTGCCAAACATTTGGATTGGTTTCCTTGAGTTTTTAGACCCTCTGCAGGCACATGTTGTGGATGGCCTTCGAGGAACGACAAAATATATTGAAAATACTCAAGTATTGGGCGTATTTTTACGACTTCATTTGTGGTTAGTTGTTTTTTATTTATTTTATTTTTTGACTAGTTATAAATTAGCAAGAAATAATGATAAACAATAATTAAGTATATGTTAATATCTATAATTGAATGTTTGTGCAAATGTCGGCAGTTAGGTCTAGCTGGCATCGGCAATATGCTGTTGGTTTTTTATACGTCCCTCCAACGTCAACGGCAGCAGCAACAAAGCTATACCCATAACGATCCGCAAAGGTACTACAACAGCAATCACCCATCACCAGCACCAGCACCAGCACCATCTAAATCGCCATGACCGCTTGCCGTCTGTCACCAGGCACGAAGCGGACGCTGGGCATCCAAAAAAGTATGACTACGAGCATTAATACCTGTTCGGGATGATCGGGCCCGCAATGACTATAGTTGCATGACCAGCTCGGCGTCGATGTCGTTGTCGAAGCCGGCCACGATTTCAGTTACGACAATGACGGATTTTGGCATTTTGGCCCTAAAATACATACTGAGGTGTTAGCCATTTGACGTTGCGGATCTTTCGGCTGGAGTTGTCGCCGCTGCAACGCCTCAGACCGGGGCCGGGTCAAGATGAAGAAGACGCAGAGCGGACAATGTTCGGCTCACGCGACTGCCTGCCGCATAAATATAAATGTAAGACCTCAAATCTGGTTTCGAACAAAGACTCACTCGCATGCCCTTTACAAACTTGTACTCTACAGTTTTCAAATGCATTGTAATTAATATAATAATAATATATTCTACAAATGCTTGGCAGCTACTTGCCAACTCTTGCGAACACTCTATGTTTAGTATAAGTAATCAACTATTGCGTATACTCTATGTCTGAGCAGCTTCTATAATCTTGAATGTTTTAATTTCAAAAGTAATGTATTTTGCCTTGTTTTAGGAATCCTTTGGCCAACTTATTGGACTGACCACACGTATTTGCAGCGATGCTCACTTCTATAAGATATTCGATATACCCATTTGGTAAGTGTATCCGCATGCATGCACGAGGCGTGATCAAAAACTTAACGGACATTTTTGCTAGATGGACTCATGCCATTTAAAAGAAAAAAAACACACACACACACACACACACTTGAAAAAGCGTTGCCACATCGAAGAATAAATATTTTGCCAACGGATATTTTTAAATACTTTTGAAACAAGCCTCGTGAGTATAGAAAAAAAAAATTGTAAAGTAAATAACTCTTTTGTGGCTAGCCGTGCTGCTGTTTTAGCTGCTGCTGCGGCTGCTGCTGCTGCTGCTGCTGCTGCTGCTGCTGCTGTTGTTTTTTGCATTTGCTGCGCCTTTGGATTTTGAAAGCCGTGTTCCAAACGATTTTAGTTAAAACATGCTACGTGCGAGTATATAAACGAAGACGCGTCTTTTCGTGGCTTAGTGCGACAGCGAACTCTTAACCAGCCGGCGATCAAACCAACTCTCCTCCAAAGCACCGACCAGCCAGCAATTCCAGTAAGTTCAATCAAGCGACATTTTTTTGAACAAAATTATATCTATATATATTCTCTGCGGATTTCTAAATAATCGTGACTCTGGTGTTCAGTGCGTTGCGTGGGAGTTTTAAAACTTGTATTTGCAAAAAAATGTGAAATGCAAAAATGTAAATAATGTGACATATAAAGCAATAATTATTGCCTAATTAGTAACTATTAAATATAAACAAGTTTTAAATAGACTTTTCGAATTGTTGAAAAACATTGCCTAAATGTTTGCAAGTTTTCAATCGTGCAGTGTGGAAATAATTGAAATTTTTATAACTTATTGCCAAAAGCAAAGTGATAAAAGCAAGTTAAATGGGTTTTGGAATTATTCGCTGTACTCAAATATCAAATTGGGTCAGAGGTCAAAATAATTGTTTTATATTTTTTCAAGAAATTAGCTTTTATGCTTTCTCAAGTGATCAGCTTTATCTTTATTTCTGATCTAGTCCGAAAACAATTGTCTGCTGAAAAATTATATTTAATACTATTCCATTTATTTTGATCGTAAAACTCACGAAGTCGTCGCCAAGTCTTTAAAATTAATTTGTTTAAATTTATAAAAAAGACATACGATTTATTACTAAAACGGTAGATTTAATTATGGATTAGACGAAGAATCTGTGCAAAGCTTGTAACCACTTAGGCAAGGCCGAATTAAACTGTTCAAAGCGCATTGGAGCCGGAAAAAGGCTTAAACTTAACGAGCGACAGCTTTGAGAGTCATTTATAATCCGAAGATTTATCATTAAAAGGCGCTTGCCTAAAGACTATAAAATATTTAGTGTGTGCTCTTGTCGTTCCTGTCGCAGCCTTGAAGCATTTATTAATGAGGATGCAAGATTCCACACTTCAGATTGCCGCAATCAGCTTATCCGCTGCGATTTGGGATTGAGCAATACACAAATAAAAAATCTGTCCCACTTTGCTTGCCCTAGACTTGAATGACCACCACAATATCGCAAACAAAAAAATCGATGGCTGACACCGAAGCGTACATGCCCTATTTGCTATTTTGTAAAGGGAAATATAAAAATATGGCTGACAGCTTGACTACATGAAACAAAACCTGAAAAAAGACAACCTTACAAAGCAACACACTAATAAGAGTTATATCCATACAAAACTAATGCGAATAAATTTATTTAAAGTCGGTTATTATTGGCTCACCTTTTTTTTTTGTTGATTCGCGAACAGCCGCATTAAATACTGATGATAAACATTTTGTAAGCGCATGTGAACAGATTTGTTGTGCAGAGATTAGCCACAAAAAAAAAAAAAAAACAAGAAAAAAATGAAACAGAAAAAGAAAAAGCAACCAAAACCAACATCAACTTCACTAATTTGACCGTTGTCCAAATCAAGCAATCAATTCCTTCAAACCAAACAGCAAATTGCCGGATTTGATGATCAACTCAATTCAACTTGACATAATTATCTTGATGAAGCCAAAGCATAACGCATAATTATCAAATATTCTTCGGGATTGCATCATTAAGTATACGCCAGATAGTACACGGCAAAGTGTCCAGTTGCAGCGTCCACAGTACACACCCAGTTTGACTGACGGCTGCTGAAAGGTGGGTGCCTGCCTGAGCACATATACACACATACACAGACGCATGCGTGGCTGAGGCGGCGTCAAAAGCCTGTTGGGTAATCACCTGCTTGCCGTGACGAATACCTAGACGAGCACGAATACAACAAGCGCATGTGTGTGAGCGCCTATGTCTGAGGCGCCCAAATGGCAAAAGTTCACGGCAAGATCATCAATGTCCAAGCTATTATTATTTATTTCATTTTGTGGGCAGTCAATAAAAAAATACGCCAAGCATTTGTGCTTGGGCAATGCTATGCAGATGCTGAAGATATGGCACTTATCATTAATGAGAGATTCGAACGGATCTCATTAATTCCAGCTATCAATTGCTACTAGCGCAAATACTTATAACATGTGTATTTACTTTTGCATACATTAACATATTTAAAACAAATTGACTAATATATATATATAGATATATATTTGGTGTATTGTCTAATTTATGAGCAACGGAGTGCTCTCTGTTATTGTCATTTACCTGTTTATGGGCCGCAGCCCGATGACATAAAATCCAAGTAAGATAAAGCACATTTCAATTAACGCCGAACTGCATCAGAGATTTTAACTGCGCACCAAAAGAATAAAAAAAAAAAAACGAATAAAGCAACTCAAAAACCAGTCAATATTTCAAAATTTAAAAAAAAACAAAATTCAAATCTGGCAACAAGTAAAATACTTATACTACACCTGTCAGCAGCAGCGGCAACAATATGCGCAAATTGCGCATTGATAATTCAACATAACAGCGAGAGATAATCATTTAGGGAATCCAAAACGTCGAAGGTCATGCTATGGCTTTATAATCAAATTGAATAAACACCAAATAAATGAATGCTATTCATAAATATACACTAAACTGTCGTTGCTTTGCCGTCTTCAAAAGTTAACTCATCATGCAAATACATTTCTTAAATTCAAACATACAACATTTATGTGCATATATTGCATATTTGGACAGTCCGGCGTGCTTGCCACACGCCCTCTCAAGTTAACACAATTTACTTTTATTAATGACGCCTTTTACCTTATAAATGACATTACATATTTTTCTGAATCTGAGTGCAAACAGGTTTTCAATCGATTTGGTGTCGAGTTTTAACGGTGTTACAGGTAAATTTGAATCTGGATCTGGGACAAATGCAAGTCGGGAGTTAATTGATTAATATGATAACCTACATAGCACCTTTTTGTTATTATAGAGCTGCATGCATATATACCAACTCATAATGTATATTAACTTAAACACCCGATAATTAAATTTAGCACATTTCAAGCAAAGCTAAATTCTTGTTTTCCAACAATTCGTTTTTTAATCTTACCTGTTCAATTTGTAACACAATGCCCCACGAAATTTAATAAGAATATAATCATCTTTAATATTTTGGTTTTTTTGTACAGAAACGAAGGACTTTAAAATTATAATTTTTAATAAATTTAAAACACCTTGGGAGCGATTCGTTCAGTTTTCGAGCGTCCAAGGTATTAATTAAATGCTCTGTGACATTAAAATGGCTTTGGAAATATTTATAGCAAGTTTGTTTCCGTTCGCAGTTTGGCAAAAAAAAAAAACAAATATGTGAATTCCCGAATAAAAATTGATTATTAGAGATTTATTCTTTGCCGCTGATTTGCATATATAATTATGTATTATTACGATATAAAGTATTTAGTTGAACAAAGAAACCGCAGCCTTAGCATATACCCAAATCAATTAAACAAATACAGCAAACAACAACTTTAATTACAACTACGTTTAATTTGCAACAGGTTTTAGATCGAGCGACAATCCACTGAAAATGGTCAAAGCTGGCCACATAATATTTTTGACTCAGCTTTTGGTATGAAATTTGCAAAACACGAAAAAGTATTGAATTTCAACTTATAGCTTATTGCATTTAAAAGGTCATTGCCAGCGGCGCAGATCTGAGAACAGACAACGACTACGTTGACAATGAAGTCAAGCCAGTCGATTTGGCGCTTACGTTTCCCAGGGTATCTCGGAAAACCTCTACATTCAATGGAAATATTGAAAAAATCGACGTAAAATGCGATACGTCGAATGGCATGATTGTAGAAGTGGAATTTTCGGAGATATTCAACGGAGTTATATACAGCCAAGGATACTACAACGATCCAAAATGCAGGTGCGTAATATATGAAGATTATTTATTTTACGTTCAAGAAACAATTCATGCTTTCTCACTTTTCTTTAGATATGTGAACTCTGGCAGTAATGAACGTCGCTTTGTATTCAAAGTGCCGTTCGATGGTTGCGGCAGCAAACCCTCCTGCTCGTTGTGTGCATCTGTGGATAATATTCTAATCATACAGAATGACCAGGATATCCAAGAAAGCTGGGACACAGCACGCAAGATAACGTGCAGTCGCAGCGATGAACAGGAGAAAACCGTTTATTTTCGACCGTTTGTTGTCGATATGCTAGAAGTGATTGAAGTAGAAACGCCCAGCGGTCCAGTTGAATGCTGGATGGAAATAGGAACGGGTCTTCCACCGAATATAAAGCCAATTAATTACACGTTGAAGCTGGGCACGGATATAACATTTACTATTAATGTAAAACAATTGTATCAGACTTGGGATATTAACATTTTACAATGTTATGCTTCTGATCAGCCAGACTTTGAAGCAGGAACTACAAACAAACTGCAGCTATCCGATAAAAATGGATGTTCGCTGAAGAAAAAAGTTTTCGGCGAGTGGAAAAAATTGGAATCACCTCCTGGTGAAACGTTAACATACTACAATACGCTTAAAGCTTTCAAGTTTCCCGACCGATCTCAAGTTTATCTAAAATGCGATATTGAGCTATGTAATGGACCCTGCGAACGATTACTTACTTGTGGTGAGGATATAAAAGAACCTTGTTCGCCTAGCTCAAGCAAGAATTGCGGACAAGATTCCCAAATAACACCGAAGCCCCGATGCTATCCTGGTTCAACAGATCCAAGTTGTCAACCAACAACTTACTTGCCTCCAACCACTGTTCGACCCCCAGTAACACCGACTAAGCCAAGGTGTTATCCAGGCTCAACCGATCCTCGCTGTCCGCAAGAACTAAAGACAACTGCTTCGCCTGACTGCTATCCTGGATCAAGTGATATCCGCTGTCCACAAGAGGCAAAGACCACATCGAAGCCCCGATGCTATCCTGGATCTACAGATCCCGATTGTCAACCAGCCACTTACTTGCCTCCAACCACTGTACGACCACCAGTAACACAGCCTAAGCCAAGGTGTTATCCAGGCTCAACCGATCCTCACTGTCCGCAGGAACCAAAGACAACTGCTTCGCCTGACTGCTATCCTGGATCAAGTGATCTCCGCTGTCCACAAGAGGCAAAGACCACATCGAAGCCCCGATGCTATCCTGGATCTACAGATCCCGATTGTCAACCAGCCACTTACTTGCCTCCAACCACTGTACGACCACCAGTAACACAGCCTAAGCCTAAGTGTTATCCAGGCTCAACCGATCCTCGCTGTCCAAAACAGCCAAAGACGACTGCTTCGCCCAAGTGCTATCCAGGCTCAACCGATCCTCGCTGTCCAAAAGAGCCCACTACAACGACCACAGGTCCCTCATGTTATCCAGGATCAAAGGATCCAGAATGCCTCAACTGTTTCCCAGGATCACCAGATCCAAGGTGCCCCAAAGTGCAAACTACTGAAAAGCCTGGATGTTTTGACGGATCAAGTGATCCAAAATGTCAACCAGCCACTTACCTTCCGCCAATAAAAACGACGAGAGTTCCAGACAATCAGAATACGCCACCAAAACCCTCTTGCTATTCAGGTTCAACCGATCCTCGCTGTCCACAACAACCAAAGACGACTGCTTCGCCCAAGTGCTATCCTGGATCAAGTGATCCTCGTTGTCCTCAAGAGCCCAAGACCACATCGAAGCCCCGTTGCTATCCTGGTTCAACAGATCCCGATTGTCAACCTGCAACTTACCTACCTCCAACTACAGTTCGTCCACCAGTAACACAGACTAAGCCAAGGTGTTATCCAGGCTCAACCGATCCTCGCTGTCCACAACAGCCAAAGACGACTGCTTCGCCCAAATGCTATCCTGGATCAAGTGATCCTCGTTGTCCTCAAGAGCCCAAGACCACATCGAAGCCCCGTTGCTATCCTGGTTCAAAAGATCCCGATTGTCGACCTGCAACTTACCTACCTCCAACTACAGTTCGTCCACCAGTAACACCGACTAAGCCAAGGTGTTATCCCGGCTCAACCGATCCTCGCTGTCCACAACAGCCGAAGACGACTGCTTCGCCCAAGTGTTATTCTGGATCGAGTGACCCTCGTTGTCCACAAGAGCCCAAGACCACATCGAAGCCCCGATGTTATCCTGGTTCAACAGATCCCGATTGTCAACCTGCAACTTACCTACCTCCAACTACAGTTCGTCCACCAGTAACACCGACTAAGCCAAGGTGTTATCCAGGCTCAACCGATCCTCGCTGTCCACAACAGCCAAAGACGACTGCTTCGCCCAAATGCTATCCTGGATCAAGTGATCCTCGTTGTCCTCAAGAGCCCAAGACCACATCGAAGCCCCGTTGCTATCCTGGTTCAAAAGATCCCGATTGTCGACCTGCAACTTACCTACCTCCAACTACAGTTCGTCCACCAGTAACACAGACTAAGCCAAGGTGTTATCCAGGCTCAACCGATCCTCGCTGTCCACAACAACCAAAGACAACTGCTTCGCCCAAGTGCTATCCTGGATCGAGTGATCCTCGTTGTCCTCAAGAGCCCAAGACCACATCGAAGCCCCGTTGCTATCCTGGTTCAACAGATCCCGATTGTCAACCTGCAACTTACCTACCTCCAACTACAGTTCGTCCGCCAGTAACACAGACTAAGCCAAGGTGTTATCCAGGCTCAACCGATCCTCGCTGTCCACAACAACCAAAGACAACTGCTTCGCCCAAGTGCTATCCTGGATCGAGTGATCCTCTTTGTCCTCAAGAGCCCAAGATCACATCGAAGCCCCGTTGCTATCCTGGTTCAACAGATCCCGATTGTCAACTTGCAACTTACCTACCCCCAACTACAGTTCGTCCACCAGTAACACCGACTAAGCCAAGGTGTTATCCAGGGTCAACCGATCCTCGCTGTCCACAACAGCCGAAAACGACTGCTTCGCCCAAATGCTATCCAGGCTCAACCGATCCTCGCTGTCCAAAAGAGCCCACTACAACGACCACGGGTCCATCATGTTATCCAGGATCAAAGGATCCAGAATGCCTCAACTGTTTCCCTGGATCACCAGATCCAAGGTGCCCCAAAGTGCAAACTACTCAAAAGCCTGGATGTTTTGACGGGTCAAGTGATCCAAAATGTCAACCAGCCACTTATCTTCCGCCAATAAAAACGACGAGAGTTCCAGACAATCAGATTACGCCACCAAAGCCCCCTTGCTATCCAGGTTCAACCGATCCTCGCTGTCCACAACAGCCAAAGACGACAGCTTCGCCTAAGTGTTATCCTGGATCAAGTGATCCCCGTTGTCCACAAGAGCCCAAGACCACATCGAAGCCCCGTTGCTATCCTGGTTCAACAGATCCCGATTGTCAACCTGCAACTTACTTACCTCCAACTACAGTTCGTCCATCAGTACCTCCGACTAAGCCAAGGTGTTATCCAGGCTCAACCGATCCTCGCTGTCCACAACAGCCAAAGACGACTGCTTCGCCTAACTGCTATCCTGGATCAAGTGATCCTCGTTGCCCACAGGAACCGAAAACCACATCGAATCCCCGATGCTATCCTGGCTCTACAGATCCCGATTGTCAACCAGCCACTTACTTGCCTCCAACTACAGCTCGTCCACCAGTAACACAGACTAAGCCAAGGTGTTATCCAGGCTCAACCGATCCTCGCTGTCCACAACAATCAAAGACAACTGCTTCGCCCAAGTGCTATCCTGGATCGAGTGATCCTCGTTGTCCTCAAGAGCCCAAGACCACATCGAAGCCCCGTTGCTATCCTGGTTCAACAGATCCCGATTGTCAACCTGCAACTTACTTACCTCCAACTACAGTTCGTCCATCGGTACCTCCGACTAAGCCAAGGTGTTATCTAGGCTCAACCGATCCTCGCTGTCCACAGGAGCCAAAGACGACTGCTTCGCCTAACTGCTATCCTGGATCAAGTGATCCTCGTTGCCCACAGGAACCGAAAACCACATCGAATCCCCAATGCTATCCTGGCTCTACAGATCCCGATTGTCAACCAGCCACTTACTTGCCTCCAACTACGGTTCGACCACCGACACCGACTAAGCCTAGGTGTTATCCAGGCTCCAACGATCCTCGCTGTCCACAGCAGCCAAAGACAACTGCTCTGCCCAAGTGTTATCCTGGATCAAGTGATCCTCGTTGCCCACAGGAACCGAAAACCACATCGAAGCCCCGATGCTATCCTGGCTCTACAGATCCCGATTGTCAACCAGCCACTTACTTGCCTCCAACTACGGTTCGACCACCGACACCGACTAAGCCTAGGTGTTATCCAGGCTCAACCGATCCTCGCTGTCCACAGGAGCCAAAGACGACTGCTTCGTCTAACTGCTATCCTGGATCAAGTGATCCTCGTTGCCCACAGGAACCGAAAACCACATCGAAGCCCCGATGCTATCCTGGCTCTACAGATCCCGATTGTCAACCAGCCACTTACTTGCCTCCAACTACGGTTCGACCACCGACACCGGCCAAGCCAAGGTGTTATCCAGGCTCAACCGATCCTCGCTGTCCACAGGAGCCAAAAACGACTGCTTCGCCCAAGTGTTATCCTGGATCAAGTGACCCTCGTTGTCCACAAGAGCCCAAGACAACTGTTTCGCCCAACTGCTATCCTGGATCGAGTGACCCTCGTTGTCCACAAGAGCCCAAGACCACATCGAAGCCCCGTTGCTATCCTGGTTCAACAGATCCGGATTGTCAACCTGCAACTTACTTGCCTCCAACTACAGTTCGTCCACCAGTTACACCGACTACGCCAAGGTGTTATCCAGGCTCAACCGATCCTCGCTGTCCAAAAGAGCCCACTACAACGACCCCAGGTCCTTCATGTTATCCAGGGTCAAAGGATCCAGAATGCCTCAACTGTTTCCCCGGATCACCAGATCCAAGGTGCCCCAAAGTGCAAACTACTCAAAAGCCTGGATGTTTTGACGGGTCAAGTGATCCAAAATGTCAACCAGCCACTTACCTTCCGCCAATAAAAACGACGAGAGTTCCAAGCAATCAGAATACGCCACCAAAACCCTCTTGCTATCCAGGTTCAACTGATCCTCGCTGTCCACAACAGCCAAAGACGACTGCTTCGCCCAACTGTTATCCTGGATCGAGTGACCCTCGTTGTCCACAAGAGCCCAAGACCACATCGAAGCCCCGTTGCTATCCTGGTTCAACAGATCCCGATTGTCAACCTGCAACTTACTTACCTCCAACTACAGTTCGTCCACCAGTTACACCGACTAAGCCAAGGTGTTATCCAGGCTCAACCGATCCTCGCTGTCCACAACAGCCAAAGACGACTGCTTCGCCCAAGTGTTATCCTGGATCAAGTGACCCTCGTTGTCCACAAGAGCCCAAGACCACTGTTTCGCCCAACTGCTATCCTGGATCGAGTGACCCTCGTTGTCCACAAGAGCCCAAGACCACATCGAAGCCCCGTTGCTATCCTGGTTCAACAGATCCCGATTGTCAACCTGCAACTTACTTACCTCCAACTACAGTTCGTCCATCAGTACCTCCGACTAAGCCAAGGTGTTATCCAGGCTCAACCGATCCTCGCTGTCCGCAGGAGCCAAAAACGACTGCTTCGCCCAAGTGTTATCCTGGATCAAGTGACCCTCGTTGTCCACAAGAGCCCAAGACCACTGTTTCGCCCAACTGCTATCCTGGATCGAGTGACCCTCGTTGTCCACAAGAGCCCAAGACCACATCGAAGCCCCGTTGCTATCCTGGTTCAACAGATCCCGATTGTCAACCTGCAACTTACTTACCTCCAACTACAGTTCGTCCACCAGTTACACCGACTAAGCCAAGGTGTTATCCAGGCTCAACCGATCCTCGCTGTCCACAACAGCCAAAGACGACTGCTTCGCCCAAGTGTTATCCTGGATCAAGTGACCCTCGTTGTCCACAAGAGCCCAAGACCACTGTTTCGCCCAACTGCTATCCTGGATCGAGTGACCCTCGTTGTCCACAAGAGCCCAAGACCACATCGAAGCCCCGTTGCTATCCTGGTTCAACAGATCCCGATTGTCAACCTGCAACTTACTTACCTCCAACTACAGTTCGTCCATCAGTACCTCCGACTAAGCCAAGGTGTTATCCAGGCTCAACCGATCCTCGCTGTCCGCAGGAGCCAAAAACGACTGCTTCGCCCAAGTGTTATCCTGGATCAAGTGACCCTCGTTGTCCACAAGAGCCCAAGACCACTGTTTCGCCCAACTGCTATCCTGGATCGAGTGACCCTCGTTGTCCACAAGAGCCCAAGACCACATCGAAGCCCCGTTGCTATCCTGGTTCAACAGATCCCGATTGTCAACCTGCAACTTACTTGCCTCCAACTACAGTTCGTCCACCAGTAACACCGACTAAGCCAAGGTGTTATCCAGGCTCAACCGATCCTCGCTGTCCACAACAGCCAAAGACGACTGCTTCGCCCAACTGTTATCCTGGATCTACCGATGTTCGTTGCTCCCAAAGCTTAGTGACTTCAACTTTATCGCCCGACACGACTCCTGTTTACTGTTTCCCCGGTTCTGTAGATCCCCGTTGTCCTGACACGTATAAGGGTTCAACGCCCATACCGGCAACGTATTTGCCACCGCTGAGCAATCCAGGCTATGACAGGACAGTTAGGGATGCGAAAAATAAGTTTTTTAATGAGATCAACAAACTAGCAATAACAAACAATAATGTTTTTGAGTTAGACGATGATGAGGACGGCGAGCCCACGCGAATTAAACGCGATGCCGTTAGCGTTAAGAATATAGATCCAATAACAACCGCAGATCAAAGCGAAGATCTTTTATCGAGGAAAATTATGAAGCGCGAATTTACCGATCGACAACCAGATAGGGAAGTAATTTCCTTTACACTCGGCATTCGGACCGCCATCAAGGTGAATTAATGTGGTAAAGTGCCAAAAAGTAGCTCTCGCGCACTTAAATAGTTAATCGCGTAAGCATGTATTATGACTACATATTTATATCTTACTATTAATTTTATTCATTCAAATATACTCGATTGTTAGTTGTAGTACTTGTAAGCTTTCTCAGCGTGTAACGCATGATTTATGTAAATGAATACTTTTAAATCAAACAATAAAATATGTAAGAATTCGATGTATTATATTTTTGTTTGCATGAAATGTTGTCAGGGCAATACTAAATGCAAATTGTAACTATCTGATAAGTACTTAAAGCTTTTTCAATTGTAATAATTGTAAGAAAACATTTTAAAAACATTTTGGGACAAGGAACAAACGTCATTCTGTCACTCGCGCGATTTAGAGGGCAAAAAAAACATTTTTTTTTATGTTGCGAGCTTCAATTTCTTAGTTTTCTAGAGAGGACATTCGTTTTTCGACCATAACTCGACCAATTCCTTGAGGATCTGGAAAGGACACATTTTATTAATCTCGCAGGATTCAGGACTATCGTCTGGTGGGTACATGGGCAAAGACAAAATAGGTAAGTGTCTGGATTAGTTAGTTTTCGTGGTCATTTGCAAAATTTAATGTTTTTGAAATCTTTTGCAGTTCTAGCAGCTGTGTGGATATAGAGAACGGTTGCGCATTACGAAACTCAGGTGCCTGGAGAGCAAGGGGACAGTTTTCTTGAACTTAGACTGGAATAGTGACACACTCGGCTGCTCGCTGCGAAACAAGGTAAGAAAATAAGTTAACAGTCTTTCTGTTCATATAACCTTATTTCATTATTTCAGTTAATTTTGGGGCAACAGTCTTACCTTATTTTAAAGAATCTTCATCTGAGCGTATTTGTTGCACGTCTTCCAATGATCTCCGTTAAGTTTGGTCGCTGTGATACAAGGTAAGAGCATAAGCTTCAGCTTCTTTCAGTTCATATTACAGTATACAATACTTTCAGATGTTTTTGGGACAGCCTCTTCTTCCAACAGCAAATGCAGATATATATTCTACTTTAAAAGCTATATGTCAAGTTTTGTGACTCTAGCTCTTATTGTTTACCAAAACTGCACAAAAAACACGATATCGATATCGATTTCTAACGATTGCTTGGAAACGGGGTAAGTTATCAATTATCGGAAACAAACCCGATCTGCGCAGGCACCTACATCTAAAATTTTAAGGCTCTAGCTCTTATAGCTTCTGTGATCCTTGCGTTCATACATATTAACGGACGGACAGACAGACGGACATGGCTAGATCGACTCTGCTATTGATGCTGATCAAGAATATATATAATATCTAAAATAATATATAAAATAAATCATCGAAAAAGTTTCGATTTTGTCACCGACCTCGATTTTGAAAAAAAAATCGTGATGCAGTTTGGAGTTATGTCGTTTTGGAACGTCATATCTCCGCGCGAAGTTATATCTCCGCGCGAAGTTATGTCGTTTTGGAACGTCATATCTCCGCGCGAAGTTATGTCATTTTGGAAGGTCATATCTCCGCGTGGAGTTATGTCGTTTTGGAACGTCATATCCCCGCGCGAAGTTATGTCGTTTTGGAACGTCATATCTCCGCGCGAAGTTATGTCGTTTTGGAACGTCATATCTCCGCGCGAAGCTATGTCGTTTTGGAACGTCATATCTCCGCGCGAAGCTATGTCGTTTTGGAACGTCATATCTCCGCGCGAAGTTATGTCGTTTTGGAACGTCATATCTCCGCGCGAAGTTATGTCTTTTTGGAAGGTCATATCTCCGCGTGGAGTTATGTCGTTTTGGAACGTCATATCCCCGCGCGAAGTTATGTCGTTTTGGAACGTCATATCTCCGCGCGAAGCTATGTCGTTTTGGAACGTCATATCTCCGCGTGGAGTTATGTCGTTTTGGAACGTCATATCTTCGCGCGAAGTTATATCGTTTTGGAACGTCATATCTCCGCGCGGAGCTATTACCCGAGATATTAAAAAAAGATCATCGAAAAAGTTTCGATTTTCGCACCAACCTCGATTTTGAAAAAAAATCGTGATGATTTGGAAGGTCATATTTGCTTGGTGTTATGTCGTTTTGGAACGTCATATCTCCGCGCGAAGTTATGTCGTTTTGGAACGTCATATCTCCGCGCGAAGTTATTTCTTTTTGGAAGGTCATATCTCCGCGTGGAGTTATGTCGTTTTGGAACGTCATATCTCCGCGCGGAGCTATTACCCGAGATATTAAAAAAAAATCATCGAAAAAGTTTCGATTTTCGCACCAACCTCGATTTTGAAAAAAAATCGTGATGATTTGGAAGGTCATATCTCCGCGCGGAGCTATTACCCGAGATATTAAAAAAAAATCATCGAAAAAGTTTCGATTTTCGCACCAACCTCGATTTTGAAAAAAAAATCGTGATGATTTGGAAGGTCATATTTGCTTGGTGTTATGTCGTTTTGGAACGTCATATCTCCGCGCGAAGTTATGTCGTTTTGGAACGTCATATCTCCGCGCGGAGCTATTACCCGAGATATTAAAAAAAAATCATCGAAAAAGTTTCGATTTTCGCACCAACCTCGATTTTGAAAAAAAAATCGTGATGATTTGGAAGGTCATATCTGCTTGGAGTTATGTCGTTTTGGAACGTCATATCTCCCCGCGAAGTTATGTCGTTTTGGAACGTCATATCTCCGCCGGAAGTTATGTCTTTTTGGAAGGTCATATCTCCGCGTGGAGTTATGTCGGTTTGGAACGTCATATCTCCCCGCGAAGTTATGTCGTTTTGGAACGTCATATCTCCGCGCGAAGTTATGTCGTTTTGGAGCGTCATATCTCCGCGCGGAGCTATTACCCGAGATATTAAAAAAAAATCATCGAAAAAGTTTCGATTTTCGCACCAACCTCGATTTTGAAAAAAAAATCGTGATGATTTGGAAGGTCATATCTGCTTGGAGTTATGTCGTTTTGGAACGTCATATCTCCCCGCGAAGTTATGTCGTTTTGGAACGTCATATCTCCGCCGGAAGTTATGTCTTTTTGGAAGGTCATATCTCCCCGCGAAGTTATGTCGTTTTGGAACGTCATATCTCCGCGCGAAGTTATGTCTTTTTGGAAGGTCATATCTCCGCGTGGAGTTATGTCGTTTTGGAACGTCATATCTCCACGCGGAGCTATTACCCGAGATATTAAAAAAAATCATCGAAAAAGTTTCGATTTTCGCACCAACCTCGATTTTGAAAAAAAAATCGTGATGATTTGGAAGGTCATATCTGCTTGGAGTTATGTCGTTTTGGAACGTCATATCTCCCCGCGAAGTTATGTCGTTTTGGAACGTCATATCTCCGCGCGAAGTTATGTCGTTTTGGAGCGTCATATCTCCGCGTGGAGTTATGTCGTTTTGGAACGTCATATCTCCCCGCGAAGTTATGTCGTTTTGGAACGTCATATCTCCGCGCGAAGTTATGTCGTTTTGGAACGTCATATCTCCGCGCAAAGTTATGTCGTTTTGGAGCGTCATACCTCCGCGCGGAGCTATTACCCGAGATATTAAAAAAAAATCATCGAAAAAGTTTCGATTTTCGCACCAACCTCGATTTTGAAAAAAAAATCGTGATGATTTGGAAGGTCATATCTGCTTGGAGTTATGTCGTTTTGGAACGTCATATCTCCGCGCGAAGTTATGTCGTTTTGGAACGTCATATCTCCGCGCGAAGTTATGTCGTTTTGGAGCGTCATACCTCCGCGCGGAGCTATTACCCGAGATATTAAAAAAAAATCATCGAAAAAGTTTCGATTTTCGCACCAACCTCGATTTTGAAAAAAAAATCGTGATGATTTGGAAGGTCATATCTGCTTGGAGTTATGTCGTTTTGGAACGTCATATCTCCGCGCGAAGTTATGTCGTTTTGGAACGTCATATCTCCGCGCGAAGTTATGTCTTTTTGGAAGGTCATATCTCCGCGTGGAGTTATGTCGTTTTGGAACGTCATATCTCCGCGCGAAGTTATATCTCCGCGTGGAATTTTGTCGTTTTGGAACGTCATATCTCCGCGCGAAGTTATGTCGTTTTGGAACGTCATATTACCCGAGATATTAAAAAAAAATCATCGAAAAAGTTTCGATTTTCGCACCAACCTCGATTTTGAAAAAAAATCGTGATGATTTGGAAGGTCATATCTGCTTGGAGTTATGTCGTTTTGGAACGTCATATCTCCGCGCGAAGTTATGTCTTTTTGGAAGGTCATATCTCCGCGTGGAGTTATGTCGTTTTGGAACGTCATATCTCCGCGCGAAGTTATATCTCCGCGTGGAATTTTGTCGTTTTGGAACGTCATATCTCCGCGCGAAGTTATGTCGTTTTGGAACGTCATATTACCCGAGATATTAAAAAAAAATCATCGAAAAAGTTTCGATTTTCGCACCAACCTCGATTTTGAAAAAAAATCGTGATGATTTGGAAGGTCATATCTGCTTGGAGTTATGTCGTTTTGGAACGTCATATCTCCGCGCGAAGTTATGTCGTTTTGGAACGTCATATCTCCGCGCGGAGCTATTACCCGAGATATTAAAAAAAAATCATCGAAAAAGTTTCGATTTTCGCACCAACCTCGATTTTGAAAAAAATCGTGATGATTTGGAAGGTCATATCTGCTTGGAGTTATGTCGTTTTGGAACGTCATATCTCCGCGCGAAGCTATGTCGTTTTGGAACGTCATATCTCCGCGCGAAGTTATGTCGTTTTGGAACGTCATATCTCCGCGCGGAGCTATTACCCGAGATATTAAAAAAAATCATCGAAAAAGTTTCGATTTTCGCCCCGACGTGGGTTTAAAAAAAATAAACTTTAGGTAACAATATACAATGTACAATATACCCTTTTACCCATTTTGAATGGGTTCAGGGTATAAAAAGGACGAAAGTCGGTAAAGTAGCTGAGGAAAATTCAAAATATACAATTAAAAGAACTAAAGTCCTTCAGACAACCTAAATATGAGTACAATTCTTTTGTAAATCAACAAATCCATAACTTGGTCGTATCCTTGCGGGTCCTGACAAGTCCTGTGTTAGGCAACTCGTAAGGACAAGGACCATAATCTGGCCAAAGGACAACAAAATCGTCCCTGTCGATTCCGAGATATAGCCAAATTTCTAAAAACGACATTTTTAAAATAGCCATATCCTGGCCAAATCGTTAAGGATATCGGAAGTATGTACCGCTTTGAACTCGTGGGATGCAGGACTATCGATTGCCATTCAAGGATTTTCAGAATTCGACAAAAAAAAAGGGGGTTAGTCGCAAAATTGGCCAAAATCGAAAAATTCCAGACTTACTATGCCATTTGAAGGACTATCGGGTTGTCCTTTGGCCAGTAGATAGTCCTCACCCTCCCATTAAAGAATTTACAAGCCAAAGGACGAAAGTCCTTCAGACAACAAAGTTTTAAGGACGATTTTGTTTGAAGATAATAAGCTATAACTCGACTATATCCTTGCGTATCCTGGCGAGTCATATGTGAAAATAATTGCATTGGCCAGGACTATCGACTATCATTAAGATCGTCCTTGTACTTTTGGAGATATTCATATGATTCTAAGATGACCCCATATTTTTTGAATGCAGATCGATGCAGTGGGTCTATACGATCCTAACGCACCATGTCCTTTGAAAATCTACAAGGACATGCTCGAGTTATGGCCTATTTTCCGCTTTTATTTATTTATTTGTATGTTTAATTTAAATGTGCTTTTATCTTTGCAGACTGATAAATTAAGGACTACAATGAGCTCTAAGGACCTTCACGAGTGACAAAGCAGATTTTTCCAGGATCGGACTGTAATTAAGCCAGATATAGTTATTTTAAGTTTCCATAATATAAAATAATAATCAATGTTCGATTTGTATTATTTTAAAAGAAATAATTAAGAAAATAACATTAGAAACAACAATTTTATAAATTTAAACATGAATAAACCAATTATTTCAAACTATTTCCTGTTTTTTTCATTTACAAATTCAAATATTAACGGTCTTTAGAAATACCCGTGAGAGGCGTCTATTGGCAACCGCCGGCTGCCGAGATTTTTCTTAAAATCTGCCAAAATACCAGGCGAACAGAAATGCCCAGAAGGTCGACAAAAACTATTTTTGCGTCCGAAAAATGACGTAGTAAAAAGATGGTAGGGATCGTTTTGTCGTTTTGGAACGTCTTATCTCCGCGCGAAGTTATGTCGTTTTGGAACGTCATATCTCCGCGCGAAGCTATGTCGTTTTGGAACGTCATATCTCCGCGCGAAGTTATGTCGTTTTGGAACGTCATATCTCCGCGCGAAGTTATGTCGTTTTGGAACGTCATATCTCCGCGTGGAGTTATGTCGTTTTGGAACGTCATATCTCCGCGTGGAGTTATGTCGTTTTGGAACGTCATATCTCCGCGCGAAGTTATGTCGTTTTGGAACGTCAGATCTCCGCGGGAAGTTATGTCGTTTTGTAACGTCATATCTCCGCGCGAAGTTATGTCGGTTTGGAACGTCATATCTCCGCGGGGAGTTATGTCGTTTTAGAACGTCATATCTCCGCGCGAAGTTATGTCGTTTTGGAACGTCATATCTCCGCGCGAAGTTATGTCGTTTTGGAACGTCAGATCTCCGCGTGGAGTTAAGTCGTTTTGGAACGTCATATCTCCGCGCGAAGTTATGTCGTTTTGGAACGTCATATCTCCGCGCGAAGTTATGTCGTTTTGGAACGTCATATCTCCGCGTGGAGTTATGTCGTTTTGGAACGTCATATCTCCGCGCGAAGTTATGTCGTTTTGGAACGTCATATCTCCGCGCGAAGTTATGTCGTTTTGGAACGTCATATCTCCGCGCGAAGTTATGTCGTTTTGGAACGTCATATCTCCGCGCGAAGTTATGTCGTTTTGGAACGTCAGATCTCCGCGCGAAGTTATGTCGTTTTGGAACGTCAGATCTCCGCGTGGAGTTATGTCGTTTTGGAACGTCATATCTCCGCGTGGAGTTATGTCGTTTTGGAACGTCATATCTCCGCGCGAAGTTATGTCGTTTTGTAACGTCATATCTCCGCGCGAAGTTATGTCGTTTTGGAACGTCATATCTCCGCGCGAAGTTATGTCGTTTTGGAACGTCAGATCTCCGCGTGGAGTTATGTCGTTTTGGAACGTCATATCTCCGCGCGAAGTTATGTCGTTACGTAGTTAAAAGGGGCACCCTCATCTCCGGGCCAAACTTGCACTAAAATTTCACTCTTGTACCAGGCGAACAGAAATGCCCAGAAGGTCGATGAGTTCTTCGAATAAAAATTTTCGTTGCATAGCCTTAAGGGGCAGAAATGCAACTCAAATAAAATTAGTACTGTTAAGTAACAGATCTAATAACATGAGCGATGTAAGGTGGCTGTAAAACAACAGCTGAAGCTGCAGCTAATGTAAAAGGGGTCCTGAAAGACAAAGCATACATGTTTTTGGACCATTTCTGATCCTTTAGGTTTCCAAGGGCTATATCGATGGTATGGTATAACCAAGGATATGCTAGTCAACTAGAAACCACCCGTTAATGGGGTAACCTGTAAAAAGGAGCATACATATTTCTGGACCCTGTTCTAGCGCATATTGCTGGAACTCGGTCCTTTAGGTGTCCAGGACTGTATCCTTGATATGGAATAATCAAGGATATAAAGGTCAACTAGGTACCATGAATAGCGATCATTTCCTGATTATATCTTGTCTATGAGCGTGACAGACTTGGCTGAAAAGTACAAAAGAAAAATTCTTTAATTATAAATAGATCGGATATAATACGCCCGATTTTGGAAAGATATACATATTCGATTTCGTGAAAGCCTTAAAAATCGACAGAACATTACAAATTTTTATATTTTAGAGCTTACTAATAAGGCCACACTAACTCAGAATAAATTTGAGCAGATCCATGAAAACGGCGCTCAGACAAAAGAGAACGTGAGCGGGCAGGCGAGAACATGACTGTCAGCATTTATTGATTGGACCAATCAGCGATCAGCACCAAATTGAATCGTGAGCGCGTGAGCGTAGGCAGAAAAATGACAGCGAACACCCACACAAACAGGTGAGTGCATACCTCTGGCCCTGGCGCATCTCTGAGCATACACGTGTTTGTGTGTATATAATAGTTAATGCGGCGCATCGATTTCACTCGCATTTTGGTCGCTTGCTGATTTTCTGTGCGCCGGTTTTTTCTAAGTCACTCAAAATGTAGCACTTTGTTAATTTAGTCAATTTAAACATGTTTTTACTAGGAGCTGCTAATCCGGGGGTATCCGAAGGGCATAAGTTAGGAAAATGAGCTCACGCGAATTAAATATGATCGAACCGAATATATAAATGCAATAACCTCCACAGATTACGCGAATATCTTACATCAAGGAACCGTTTGAGTTTACTAAGCCACAACAACTATTGGCTTACGAAACGCCATCTTGGTCAATTAGCCAGTGTGGTAAAGTGCCAAGAAAAAAGTAGCTCTTGCACACTTCAATAGTTTAAGCATGTAAGCGTGCATTGCGACGACATATTTATGTACATATGTATATCTTATTGTTGCATCCGCCATAAACTATTAGCTTTCTGAAATATGAGGTCTTTACATTCTGTTTATCAAAACCGATCTTCGCTATAAACAAGGTTGGCAAGCGTTTCTTTTACTTTTCGCAGCTGCAATAAAAACATATTTGTCTCTTACCTTGTTCTTGTCATTCTAGGAGAATCGAAGAAATCGTACTGCGCCACATCTTTCATCTTAAAGCGTGTTATAAATGAAGGACCTGGTGCTTCTCATTAATTCTTGGCTAGTTTTCGCACAATCGCTAGAAAAACATTTACAACTCAACACTTACTATGAAATTTAATCAATTGTAAGTTATCTAAGCGTGTACCGAATGATTTATGAAAATGAATACTTTTAAATTTAAACTTTATGAATTCGATGTAAGATATGTATATTGGCACAGAGCAGAAATTGACCGCATGGTTGTATTACGCTTTTATGGTATTTTTTAGCTGTTTTCGCAATATTTGTTTGACATCGTTAAAAAATACTAAAGTTAAATTGTAACTGTCTTTCGATCGATACATAAAGCTTTTTACAATGTAATTATTATAAGAAAAAATTTGAAAATATATTGGTATAAGAAACGACCTACATGAACATTAATATTTGTCTTTTTCGCGAAAAAACTTTTCCTTTTGAAAGTATTTATGTGTATTAATATTTACTGCCACTCGCTCGACTTAGAGGGCAAAATACATTTTCATTTACATATATCATCCTGGGATTTATTTATCTACATTGAGCATGTGACCCACAGAGAATTGTAACTGACGGAAGTCATAAAATATAAATTGAAAAACGCATCGCTTACGACTCTGGATAGCGGCAATATGAATTGCTTTCGATCGACTCATGTGGGATCCATTCTTCGTACAAGGGCAAGCGATTCTTAAGAGCTTCAATTTCACGCAAAATTCGCATAACATTGCCGCCAACCAGCTTCTTTATAGCCGCATTGCCCCAAACCCGATCTCGAGCCAACTCGGCCAACAACAACGCATAGCTTTTGGGGGCTCCGCCCAGGCCAATGTGATCCACGCCAGCCACCTTTCGCACATAGTTAATAGCCAGTATCGCCTCGCGCACGCTGATCTGCCGATCACCACAGCGCTCCAGGTTTAGCAGTATCACTCCACCATTTTCTGGCAGAAGGCTGGAATGTTCAAAGTGGACTACAGATCACAGGGAAACAGCGAATTCTAGATTGAAAACTTACCTGAGTACATGATCCGGTATGGAGGCCACATTCGTGCCATTACACATGGAAAGCGGCGTGGCATTCATTAGCAGAACGGGCGCCTTCGCAGTGCGCAGAGCTATTATCATTGCCGTTTCGCTCAGCTGTGATATTTCAATCAACATGCCCAGGCGATTCATTTCGTAAAGCATTGTCTGAAACAAACCAAAAACTAAAACTTTAAACTCTTCTAGTCTCATTCAATGTCGTTGCACCCACCTTTCCGAACTCGTTAAGCGAATTGGTCACATTCTCCTCAATCAGATAATCGCGTCTCCGTATGGCTGCGGCAGCCCAAGGTGTTGTGCATTCCAGGCTGGTAATTGATACGAATCGAGCGCCCAGCAGATAGAGGGAGCGCAAAACCGCGAGACTGGTGCCCAGAGCATGACCACCACCGATGCCCATGAGGACGGCCACCTCGCCTCTGATGTGGGTCTGCTCCATTTCATCCGCGGACTCCACAATATGCATCGAATTCGTGGCAGCTGTGATGCGTTTCGCTTCATCGATGCCCTCGAGAACAAGTTGAACTGCGTCCAGATACTGGGCACCACAGTGAACAGCTATAGGCCAGAGCACGGCACCAATATGGTTTTGCCTTATGTCGGCCATGCCACTGCTGTTCAGCTTGACATCACTGGGTGGTTTCCAGGAGCCCTCAATGAGCGGCGATTCCGTCAGCAGACGTCGAATAAATGCCAAGCGTGCCTCCAGCAACGAGGAGGAGCGCAACTGAAGTGCAAGCGGAATGCCGCCGGCCATGGCAATGCACACTAAGACCAGGCAAACGCCCACCAGAATTTTGCGGCTACGCGAACGTCCAGGACGCTCAACGGACGACTCGCTGCACGAGTCCTTCTTGCAATTGTAGCTCGGTATGCCGCCATTGGAGCAATGCAGCTTTTCATTGCCACCACCAAACTTCGTGATCTCGGCTGGAAGCTCAATGTCCGCTATCTCGGTGAACACAAAACATTGCTGCTTGCAATGCGGCTGATGCTGATGCAGCGGATGCACCTCCATAAAGTCACGATTTGGCATTGCGTTCATTGCATCCTTTCTATTACAATGGATCAAATAATTTGCGAGCTTATTCCAAAACAAACAGCACCACCGCAACAATATTTTCAGGTTTTATTTGGGATGCTCTCTGAACTTCACTTTATTGATTTTCCTTCAATTCATTCGGATTCGCACACGCGCAGGTCCTGCGCACTGCAATCCTTCGTTTGTTTCGACCGTCTGGCAGCATTTCGACGACAATTTTAAAAACATTTCAAATCCGTAGAGAATACTTGACATTTTTTATGCGATTACAAGAAGTTCAGGAAGTCTTTTTAGTAATCGCCGAATTTTCTCCACAACAGAATGGAGAATATATGTAAGATCAAATATCTTATTTAGTTATTTAAATGTAAGAATTAGAAATTAGGCTTCAAATTAATTTTATGTACAACTTATGGAATAAAAAACTAACCTATGGCTTCCAATATTTGATTAGAGCTTTTTATGCGCTGCCAACACAATTTTCATGAGTGCGTGTGGCGGCAGCGTCTCCAGCACGCAGAGCAGCTGAATGTGGTTTGTGATGCAGTTGGAGGCCAATGCTATCTGCACAGCTTGAGCGAAGCGTTCCATGGATTTTATATATGCTGCGTCCTCTTCGGGAACAACCTTTGCCTCAGTCAGACGGGCACAGTACTTTTGCAATGATGTGACAATTTGAATAAGCTCTTGGGAGTGCAAGGATATGGTTGATTCGCCATTGTTGGCCGTTTTAAGTAGCGTGTGCAGTAATGATAAATGCAAGTTACTGTAAGCTTGCCGGTTGGATACCAACGGGGCAAGCACTACCCAACGCAACAAGCCGGCCAGCGGAGTAGCAAACGGCATGGCAATAGCGCCAGCAGGTAAAACAAGTGGCTGCTGCGGTGCCTGGCAGAGCAACGGATTCTCCGTGGTCCATTCTGTTATTGCATCGAGTAGGGCATCCGGCGGGGGTGTCAAAACACCACCGCGCTTCTCATTAAGATACAGATCGGCAACAGCAACCATAAAGTTAGCTGCGAAATGCGGACCCACCATGGGCAGATGTCGTAACTGTTCGGGAGTTTTGCGCGAGAACGAGATAAAATCGCTGACAATATTCTGTGCAACTTCTAGGCTTGGCGACGTTTTGCAGCCAACTTGTTGCATCCATGTGCCTGCCGAGGAGAGCAGTGGAGCCACCGAGCCCGAAACCGCAGTACTGATTAGTCTGGATAACAGCCTAGATCGCTGTGGCGTCAAGTGGCTGCCAAATAGCGAGAGGAATATCGCATTGCGTGTCGCATCCCGGCCTGGCCGCGAGAAGTATTCGATGAGCGCTAGAATCAATTGAAACTCCTGATAAATATTCATCTGACTTATGCCGAGCGTTTGCATTTTGCGCACGTCTCCATCCTTGGTGCGCTCCAGAAAAATGAACTCGGAAATTATTTGCATTGCCAAGTTCTGTTTATTTCGGCTAGCAATGAGGCCCTCTGCAACAAGAAAAACATAACTATAGGAAAATGGTATTAGGGAATTTAGTGTGAGCCAACCTAAACGGGAAAGTGCCTCAACTGCACACATTGGATATTCTAATTTTCGCAAGCTTATTTTACCATCGCCTACAGACGCCATTCCTGCGAAAATGTTTAAAAGCCGACTTCTTAAAAATTGTGTTCGCTTAGTTGCTTTTTACAGTTCAATGTCAATGTTAAATTTATCGCTGTTTCAAACAGCTGATTTTTATACATGCTCATTTATCGATAAGTATCGATACGTAACGCAAAGCGCGGGATTTTCAAACACTGCCACTCTTCGCTTTATGTATTTTATCTGTTTCAAATTATGAAATCAAATTGGAAAAAGACGGCAATATCGTTTATTTTGATCAATGGTAAGAGTTTCTTTTTCCTAATGAATTATTACCAATCAGTTAATGTTTCAAATTTAAATTACATATGTATGTAAATAGCGCTATCTTTATTGCATGTATTGATTATAAAATAAAATTGGGGTTAAAGGCCCTTTTCGTTATATCATTAATTTGGTTAAACGTTGTTAACAACAATCTGTAAACGTTGAAACAAAAGTCTTCTTAACGTGAGATGCGGCTACGGCCTTCAATCTATAAGTAATGAACAATTAAAATGTACCGGGGAGTCCGCATGCTCAATATTCCGATAAAATAGGATGCATACACAACATTACTGAAGGGATTCAGGCTGATTAATTAATTTGAACCAAAAGCAATGGAAATCGTTCGAAATATCGAGGGAGTAGACAAAGTAGTTAAAATGGCAATTATTTGCAAAATGCTTAACCACATTTTGAAACTTGATAAAAACTAAAAGCCAATCGACAATACATAGGCATGTAAATAAATATACATACATATGAGTATGAAGTTTTAAAATATAAAAAAACAAAACAAAAATACTATTGTTTCTTGAAAAGCTTTGAACAGTATCCATACATACGCGCATCGTGCGTCTGCAATTGTGTCCGATTATGTGTGAGACAATGTCAATGTACCTTATTTAAGTTTAATGCTAATTGTAAGTCATGCTGCTCATCCACATTGTTTTGGATAATGGCAGTCTTGTGTTTTCGCCGCCCCGGCAACAAATTGCAACTGGTTGCAGGGGCATGCGCACCACATTTAGATCGACATTGGGAGTTTACTTACAGCTAATTCAGAGTAATCACGTACCTATTTATGTGGATTAACGCATTAGAGGATATTGCATATACAAAAAAACAGAAACGGACGAAACTTAAACAGCGTATAATTGAAAGTTGATTGTGGCAAAAATTCGATTGCAATTGAAATGTATCCATGGCTATATATTCTGGCCTTTGAACAAGAAACCCCAATTTCATACTGCAATCCCCTACTGCGCAGTCACCACATAAATACAACGTTAAGCAAATTGCGGTTTTAGGTCATGTTCCACGAGGACGATGACGAACTGGATGAGCAATCATCACTCTCTGTCGTTGCACTGCTGCCCGTTGGTTTCGGTCCCCAAATGCGCACGGTGGCATCATCGCTAGCGCTGGCCAGTAGGGACGGATAGACTGGATTCCAGGACACGCAGTTAACCGTCTTGGTGTGACCGGCCAGCTTAGCCAGGGGCTCCTCGCGCTTCAAGTGCCAAATGTACACAACCTTGTCCTCGCTGCCGCTCGCCACAAAACTTTCGTTAACGCCGCCAAAGCAAGAATGAATCGCAAAATTGCTTTGCCTTATGCCCTGAAAACGTCGCACTAGACACTTATCCTCGATATCCCAAAGATGCAGGCCCTGATTGGAGACATTTAACAAGGCCAAGCGATCTGCCGAATTGATGCTAAACGTCATAATCGGATGCGGCTCCCGCAGTATATCAAAGTCAGAGCGTGGGTTATCAAAATTATAGCTGCAATTTGATACGGATCAAGAAACGAGGATGACATTGTTGCATATATTTCTACTCACCCTCTTATGCGATAGTGATTATCGGCCGCCAATATGGTTTTGTTATCAGCCCGAAAGGCGACGCTATTAACGCGCACGCCCTCCCAGGAGTCGATTAGAGTGCCGTTCAGATCGCACAGATAAAGCTGTCCCTTTTGACCACCGCAAACAAAATGATTGCCATCACGACTGAATGTGCCGCACGCCAGACTATCATCCGGGGATTGCGAGAACTTGACAACCAGCTTTCCATCGTCCACATTCCAGATGAATAGCTCGTGCGAGTCCTCGGTGCCGCCCACTAGAATAAGCTTTGAGTCCGGACTCCAGCTAACGAAGCTAACGTTTAACTGCGCCTGACCATCGAGCACACGGCGATGTTTGAGCGTCAACTTGTACGGATCTACATCCCAGATGATCACAGTGGAATCTTTGCTGCCCGTGGCCAGCTTGAGGCCGTCGGGCGAGAACTTACAGAACCAGACTTCGTCGCAGTGATCGGTTAGCACCTGTATTGTCTGCATGGGAAAGCCATCTGTGGTGCAACAATGATCGGTCAGCAGGGACACTGTCTGCAGATTTGTCTCCCAGGCCATATCGTGACAGGGGCAGTTCTGGCTCTGCAGCTCAACCGCCTGCTGAAGCAATGTGCGCAGCCGACGCGGCGACATCATCACCGATGGCGGCATAAATGTCTGCAGACGCTCCATCACAAGAGCACGCGATGCTATGCCCTTGCCATCCCATTTGGCGCGCTGGTAGAGGTCTTCATTGGTCGAACACATCATGTAAGAGGATAATTGATGCACACGCGATATGTTGTGCTGTAGTGGAGTCAGTTCGCTGCGCAGCACGTGCAGTGCGTCCAACGGATTGCCATCATCCAAATGCTCCAAGTACTTTTGTTCCAGCAATATGAACTTCATTTCTGTAATTGTGGATGATTTTCCATTATCGATCAATGGCTCCAAGTCCTGCAAATATCAAAATGGTAAATTACAAAATGATATTGATACACGTTTGATAAAATATTGATGGAACTTCAGGCAAACAGGCTGAAGGATGCATTTCCTCCTCCATAAAGACACCATGTCAAATTACGCTTCCCATACGTAGATCAGGTTTATTTCAAGTTAACTTTATCCACTATTGATATTGTTTTTTGGCTCTGCTCTTACCTTCAGATCTGCATCCGCTTTGCTCCAATCGCCCACTAGGACATGCTCCCTGAACTTTGTAGCCGAGGGATGCTCCAAGTAACAGTTCGATTCAACCATTAGAGTCTTCACCGACTTTTCGAGGCCAACGTCGTGCAGATATTGGCCAATGAGCCGTATAATCTCTTGATTCGAATTGTCCAAATGAATGCCGCTGTAGCCACTATTATTTTCCCGATTGTTTTCCCCGTCCACCGCACAATTGTTCGTGCTGCCATTATTGTTGGCCGCAAATCCATTGTGCTTTACATCGTGACCGTTTGTCGTATTATTGCTATGGCCGCTCGAGGGTTGGGCAACCTCATCGGCTGCGCCATCGCCACCTGCACTACCGCTGCCGCCGCCGCCGCCCTCTCGGGTAACATTGTCGCCGCTGGTTGGTAACTCCACAGCGGCGCCAGTACCGTCTGCAGAGCCGGCTGTGGATGATGACAAGGCTGTTGTATTCTGCATATTCATGCCAGAGCCGATGCTATTGTCGCTTTGCCTGTTGCTATTGCTATTGCTATTCTGTGAATGGGTGGTGTCCGTCATGGACGTTGTGGAATTGGGCTGCAATCTATTTGCGTCCGAATTAGTTTTGCGGCTCGGCTGCGAATCACTTCTTCGTTCAGAGGCACTCGGAGTTTGCTGTTGCGCTGCTCTGGACGTAGACGCTGCGTTCGAGTCTGCGGCAGAAACTGAATTGGATCCTCCGGAGCGACGTCCCTTTTTGCGCGGCGGCTGGTCCCCGGCTGAGGCACCAGTTGCAGCAGCCTTTTTGTTCTTTCTATCAATTTTGAGTACTTTTTAGGAACCGCACGGCAACAAGCAGCCACCACTCTTCGTCTGTCCACCCGGCACGTAATTATCCGTATCGGCCTTTTTATTACCTCAATCACCCTCCACTCTGAAGATCAGGATCTTGGGACCGTTGATAACAATGAGCTCCGATCCACTGCCGTGATATGACACTGTTAAAAGAAATGTTTTCTAATATTAAACAAGCTGTAATTATTAATCTTAATTAACATTTGCTACACAGATTTGATTGGCTACAAAGATGTCCGAGGATTCTTGACAATTGTAGAAGAATGCGTATGTATATATGTATATATTTTACTACGCAGCACGCTGAAGGTATTCTTATCTATTTGTGTTTTCAGTTCGAACAAAAGGAAATATGGTATCTATATTAATCTAATCTAACTCAATTAAATGTATCATGATCAGCAACAATCAAGTTATCAAAAACCCTTTGGTAGATAGCTATATACATATACATATACGTATATATATATATATACATATGTACGTATATACCAAACTCTAAAGTTGTATTTTTAATACAATCATTTACAGCATATTTTAGTATTTTATATAATTTTTGTATATTTAATAATAACACGCACACATGCACGTACATATATATAAATTGCACTTGTATTCGTATATCTGTGTCTACATCAATGATGTTCAAAAAATGTACCCCAATCGCATGAAAATTGGTGTACACACATACATGCATACATAGACATAGAGCATGCATTTCTACATGTGTGTAAAAATGCATTTACTACTTGTAATAATACTGGTTCGGGTATATAGAGCCCAACGGCAGCCCGAATGCAATCGGGTTTTAACACAGACACGAACCGAGCATTAGGTAAAGGCAAAGAGTGTGCCAGAAAGGGAACAATTGCATTCAAAACAAAAACAATGTGGAAACAAAGCTGCTGTTGGTGAACACCAATACACTTTCACGTTTAGTTTGCTCTTCCATGGCCGTGTCTGATGTAGTATATATGCATGTACATATGTATTTATTTACGCCATACTTGCAAAAAATGCATGTGTAAATTTTCACTTTTTGGCCACACTCGATTGTCACTACTTTATTATCAATAATATAACATACTAAATGACTGGTTTAATAGGTTTCAATTTCAACAACTTCCTACTCTTTGTGGCACACATACACCAACAGTGTGTGTAAAAACAAAAACGCACTGCCACACATGCATACATATTCAGATTACATATGTATGCATGTATATGTACGTACATAAATACAGCAAACTGCATACATATACAGCTTATCTTATTTCATATCTGCATTTCTCTTTTAACGTTCTGTGAGCAGACATTAGCATTAATTTTGTTTAGTTATTAGTTTTTTACTATGTAAGTATTGCCTTTCAGAATTCACGGTGTACTTCTTTTATGCACTTTCAACTAAAAACAACGACAAATGGTCACACAATAGCAAAAACGAAAAAAAAACGTCGTTTAAGTGTGCCCGTATAATCTAAAGGTCAGATACCAAATTGGTATTTTTAATATGCACCCAAATCCATTACGTCCTAGACAAAACCTTCTTATTTTGCCCATCTTCAAATTCGGATCGTCAAAAACAGTCCAACATTAAACACGGATAAATATTAATAAGGATTTAAGGTTACATATAATCTAGAATTGTCTTTCTAACTATATTTCACATAAAATGTGTATACCTAAGATCATTAACAAGATACATATTTAACGATTTATTAGCAATTACCGCATATACAAGCAAATAAATTTGAATTCATTCAAATTTGGCTCAATCAAACTGACTTCCTTCTATTCGCCAATATACTCGTAATAAAGAACTCTCCAGCTTTGTAGGAGCTTCGCACAAGTGGTCCACTGGCAGTGTAGAGAAAGCCAAGCTCGTTTCCTCGCACTTCCCAATGCTTGAATTTTTCAGGCGTCACATACTCGATAACCTTAAGGTGCCTCTTTGTGGGCTGCATATACTGGCCCAAGGTTAGACATTCGACGCCAGCCTCTCGCAAATCTAACATGGTCTGCTCAACTTCTGCATCCGTTTCGCCCAGGCCCAGCATTATGGAACTTTTGGTTATGAGATTTGGATTAAAGCCCTTGGCTTCGCGCAGTACTTGAAGTGTCTGTCTATAATGAGCGCGACGATCTCGTACGAATGGGGTCAGCTTCTCAACCGTTTCAATATTATGTGCATACACGTCGAGCCCGCAAGTTGCAATTGTCTTCACACACTCCAAATCTCCGCGGAAGTCGGGCACCAGGCACTCTACAAATATATTTGAGTTTCTGAAAAACAAACGGGTTGAGGCCCAGCATTTTAAAGGCTATTAAAAATCGATATTCAACTTTACTTACCGTGCCTTAATTTCACGTACCGTCTCTGCAATATGTTTGGAGCCACCATCCGGCAAGTCTGCAGGTAGAATCCATTAGGAATTGTTTTTAGTACTTGGAGAGTTGAAACATACCATCACGATCCACGGATGTTAAGACTATATAATCCAGGCCCCAAGACGAAATGGCCTTGGCGGTGTTCACAGGTTCGTTCACATCTAAGGGCGGAGGAATACGCGCCGTTTTCACCGAGCAGAATCGACAGCCTCGTGTGCAAGTGTCTCCCATGAGCTGTTGTAATCAATAGAAAGCGTAAGGCTATCAGCAAATGTCAGAGGTCATACCATAATTGTGGCTGTCTGTGTGCCATGCTCGCCGCCGCCCCAGCACTCGCCAATGTTCGGACATCGCGCCTCCTCGCACACAGTGGACAGCTTGAGGTCTCGCAGCTGGGATTTAATCTTAGCATAATTCTTGCCCATAGGAATTGTCGTTTTTAGCCATGGCGGCAGGCGCAAGGTTTGATTCTCTCCTTTTTCACGACGCAACTTGCCGTCGTAATTCTCCCAGTCATCTTTAATACCGTCCGAATTTTGTATAAAATCTTGAAAATTTGGACCTTTAGACAAACGTTCTCGGATTTCTTCCAACTTTTCGACTCGTGCTGATGCTGCTCGCTGCAAAATAAAGCAAACGTCACATTTCACAAATAGATTCCAAATGACAATATTATAATAGGTAAACTATTTTAAAACTACTTGCCACGAAAATAGTTGTCGGTGAATTGAGTTTTCGTAACATAATTATAATTTTTAACGTTTCTGCATATTATTTATTAAAATCTTACGAAATAAATATACGCTAAAGAGCTCACTGGCAATCGATTACTATCGATTAATTTGCGTCTATCGAACTGAACAGCTGGCACTGTATTTGCGGAATAGTCGGAATTGGAATAGTCAGATGCAAATACAATTTAGGTAAATACAATAAGTCCATTTAAAATTGTATTACTCTGTATCTTAGTAAACTAACAGAGCGGCCAAATTCAATCATTTTATCATATTTACGCCTGTATTTTTATTAAAATATCGTTAATAAATGTTCCCTTTATGTATCCTTTTTGACGAGTTTGGCGGCAAATTTAAATATCCATAACATAATTGGATTTAGACATAGTTATGTTTATATTATTGCTAGATCAGGCGTAAATTATTAAAAATGCTTTATTTGTATGTAATTATATACATATGTTAATAATGTAAATACATAAGTATGAATAAGCATATGTACGTAAACATGTACAAATATATTTGAATGATCTTATAATAGTTATATGAAGTGTATAAAAGCGCAAGGTAAATAAAAGAAAGTTCAGCCAATTAAAAACAAGAACTTGTGGACGGAAAATATATACTTTGGTTCAAACATGTGTGTATGTCAAGTGAACCAACATTTGGACATAAGATAGTTATGTAGACTCTATCGATGTAATGAACACTTAAATTTGGAATGTTTTACGGTGGGGTACAAGTAAACCCGTTATTGCTTAAAAGGATACAATTCTGTGTGTACAATTTGCGTATCGTAGTCGTTACTGGCCTAAAGTTATATTAAAATAAAGAACAATAAATTAACCAATATCTAATACATAAATTGGAATATGCATATGATCAAAAAACAAAGTTTTAACGCTACAGCTAAATTTCGTTGCATTACTGTGTCATTGTGCTTCATTGTGCCAATTTGTTTCATATTATTGATGAAGCTCAAATTGAATAGTTCTAAATAAGTCCTAGAAGCGATCCTTGGAAGTGGCGCTATACTCCAGTTCGTTGAGATTTTGTATCTCCTGCAGTTCCTGGAACTTTTCATGGTCACGAATGTGTGCGTAATTGGCCGAAAGACACATCAAATAGTGCACAAGACTGAGTATGACCAACAGCGTAGACAGCGTGGCCAGAATGAACATGACTTCGGCGTTCTCAACGCCGTCCTTGCAGAATGCCTTGATCTCATACTTTTCGCAGACCTTCATGTCCTCAAGCTTGGTGTTTGGCGGAAACATAAAATCTACAAGAGAGCGAAGTTTAATTTGTATGTATTTTTTTAATGTGCCTGAAGTGAGTATATGTTTCGCTTGTCGACTTACGAAATTGTGTCAAATCAATACAGCTTAAAGAGTGCTCCACACTTGAGCACATGTTCCAGAACATGGTGTAAATGAACGTAACTATGACCAAGAAGCATAAAATGAGCGTCCACACGAAGTTAAGCATATACGTAATGCCCATGAGCACGGCGCAGGAGATGCGACCGCCGACGCGTGATCGCCACGCGCGGTAAACTTTATAGCGTGTCGCACCCGTTGCTAGAAAGCCCACAAATAGAATCATAAATCCAAGAGCAGCCATGCCAGCGGCAATTATGACAAATATCATCTGCACAGCCTCGATCCTGAAATACGTATGAATGTTATATTAAAGAAACATTTATTCAACTAACGCACAAGACTCACCATATGAGACGCAGGTGAAACACCTGATCCATCATAATAACCGTCAGCGAAGCACCTCGATACATTGTGCCGCAGAAGATGCCAACGCCGAGCAGGCACATAAGTGTCGCTATGAGCGTTGCATAGGGTATGCGTGCCATACATGACTGACAACACTCGGCTGAAAGGATGGACAATCATTAAAATGAATTTTAAAAAAAATTAATACATATAGAATTATTTTGAAAATTTTAATGAGTTTTATAGTATTTATGTGATCAGAAGTAGTTAAAAAATATTTTAGTTTTCAATTTCGGATCAATGGCAAACTCTTGTTTAAAGAAACAAATATATTACGAACTATAAACATATCAGTTACGCATATTTTTGTAACAGAGTGACGAAGGTGCAAACATACATATGTACATAACATAACACATATATGTATTCATGTATGTACATACACACAAATACAAAGACAAGATAAGAACAAGGTACTGTGATAAAGCGCACGAATCAGAATGTGGACAAATACGAACAATTGTGAGTGAGCCGTTAGGTGCTTTGTAATAAATGTACATATAGATTCACTGTCGTCCTACCTTCGCCACCGCGTTCAGTGTACCTATCCAAGGAGCGGTCCGACTGGTATGCGCTGTGCCGCCGATTCTGATAGGGATTATTATTGTAGGCGCGTGTTAGCACACCGCCATCATCTTCAAAGTTGGTTTCGAGCAGAATCTCTTCGCGTGGATCTCGTATGCGATCGCGATTATTGTTATTCCCTTTACCGGACATATTGCACAGCGGAATATCTATTGAATCGAAGCCTTTTTAGTGGGTACACTTGATATGAACAGCTGCCGAAAATGAACAATGTTTAACGCTCTCTACGCGCGCACTGCATGTTTTTTCAACGAAACTTGCACAAAATCTGAATCACACTCACTTTTCGACGTCACTGAAAACAGTCAGACTGAAGCTTTGCTCCTAGCCTGCGTATGCTACTACTTGTATGTATCTAGTGAGCCCTTCTCACTGAGCGTTAATCGAGATAGCAGCTAGTTCATTTCGACTCCAATTTTGTTCTCATGCTCGTGCTCGCAGCTGACCGCCTCTGTGTGAGAACGAATTTCGTTTTCGTGCTGAGCAAATTATCACTGGTTGTTGTTGCAACTGAGGTGCGGTTGGAGCCAGTTTGTTTGCTCAGCGAGCACCAAGAACCGTTTATCTCACACACGCACACTTTATCAATTTCTCTCTCTGTTCACATTATGGAGAGCAACAGCGCTGTTGTCCAACTGCTATTGGCAATGGTCATTCGAACTCGAAAACATTACAGTCTCTTCTTATTCAATTGAAGTAGTTAATTAAGAGGTCACGTACACTAAATGACACACATACATACACATATGTACACGTGCATATGTAATATGCAATTGGAAAGAATGAAGCTGATCTAGAGATCAGATGAGCACTGACTGTAAAAAATACTTAATGCTTCAAAACATCTTTAACTTCCAAGATACGAGATGGATTATAGTTTAACGCATTTCAATATTTAACAAACTTAGCGACTCAAACAATAATGGGTTTAAAATAGTTTTTAAATAAATAAATTCAATGTAATCACAGTTTTAATAGGAAGACCAAGGTGGAAGTTGCAAGTATATTAAAACTTTTCACATAGAAGTGATTGTTTCTCAGTTGCATAGGGGGGGGACATCAAATACTAAAGGAGCTGAGGACTTTAAAATTCAGAATTGTGGATTCATAGTTACTTAAATTGCTTAATATAGATTTTAACCTCGGCTATGAGCATAATTTTGTGACTATAACAGAGACTTAGAACAAATGATCAAAAAAATGTTAACTTTTGCAAAACTTTTCCCAGTTTTATAGTTTGAAACGTTAAGAAGTTTTACAGGAGAGTGCCATATTAAAGCTCTACGAATCTGCCAAATCGAATGATCTGTGTGCACTCAGAAATGTTAACAAACAAATTATTCCATGTAAGGGATAAAATGAACCAAAAGTGTGTACACACATACATTCAATTATGTATATGCATATGTAAGAGTACAAAATACGGGATATTGCCAGGGCGAGCAGTCTTATTGAAAGCTTGCATACCTTAATCAAGATGCTAACGGAATTATGTCAATTATTACTTAAAAAATGTTTAAAAATTAAAAGTCAAATAAAACTTACGCATTTTGTATGATTATTTTTTTTTTAAATAAAATCAAGAAATATCTATATATTTCACAAGCAGTTTTATGGTATTAAGCAGGAGTGCGCGGGCTTGGTACAATGTTGTTTACGGTTATTTTGTTTACATGTATACGAACATGGTGACTTTAAGTATGTGTGTGTTTGTGTGTGGCTGAATGAATGTGTATGGAGGTGTTTGTACGCACGAACGCAATCAACTCAAACCAGTTTCTGAGCTGTGGGCCAGACTGTGCGCGACTTAACAAAAAGAGGCTTGCCAATCACTAAATAATAATTTGGTTTTATATGTTGCAATTCGTATATGTTCATTCATTTGAATTTTAATATCGACTTTGCTAATTTCCGCGCACACATTTAATAACTGTGCTCGTAAGCTCAGAAATAAAATAAAATAAACTTAAACCAAACTGTTCAGCACTGACAAAAACACTAAACTCGTTTGTATCTACCAAAAATACTAGTGATGTTAAAGCTATATCGATTTTTTTTAGATCTATATCGATAGTTATGCGTACTTATAACTGGCGATATTTTTAAACTAGTGAGCACGTAATTTTGTACGTTTCGTTACAAATGAGTGAAATAAACAATGCATATTAATTATATTATTGAAAATATAGATGCTCTTAGATTTACAGTTTTAGTAGCATGGAGGTTTGTTTTTGTATAGGATCGTAGATAAAACATTTGAAATAGATATACATTTAAGCTCGCCTTTCTATGCGATTTTCATAAATTTTGATTCAGATGTCAATTTAGTTCTATTTTACACTATTTTCATATGAAATTTAACTTTACTTTTTATTAGATGTAGTGAACTCTTAGAAATTAATTAATTTTGAAATTTCCTAACGTCAAATTACAAAAAACAATCGATTCTATTTAAAATATGTTGTTTACATATTGCAAAATCTGTTGTTATATATATACATAGGTCTCCGTCTCGGACGGAAACTGAAAAGGAAAGCAAAGTTTGTACCAATTTTCAGTAATATATAAATATCAAAATATATAGCATCCTGCTATCAATGTAATAGATATAAAATATATTCATATAAAACATGAAAGCTACCTTAAAATACAAAATCAATTTTACTTTTTTCTTAAAAAAAAAATGTATACCATTTAGATTAGCATACGATTGTACCAAGGCGCAGACGCCGTCGACTTGGCGTTCATTGCATTGCAGTCAAACTTTTTGCTACTGATCAGAGGAGCACACCTCAATTTCATCTGCACCTGGGGCAGGTGCGAGAGTCGATCCCTTACCGATAATGGTAGGTCGTCATGGTCAGGAAAGTGGGTAGAGACGCCGTTTGACTGCGTGTATGTGATGCCACCACCTTGCGCCTCAGGTATGACAGAAATGACTGATCCATCAACGAATTGGACTTGCACAATTCCATGGGACAGCTGAAATTGAAATCAAAGCAGTTGTTAATCCCGCTGATTAATCAAACAGATTAAAACCCACCTCTGTGGCAGTGCCGACGCCCGGTACGTTCAGCCGCTTGATGGGAACATTTTGTTGGGCCGCCAACAGCTGGGATCCAATATTATCGCTCCCACTGCGCATCGATGAGATGGTGCTAATGGAAAAGTTGATTGAGCCCTGAAACAGCAAAATGTTATTATATTAGATGGGGATTTTAAGAATCTTCATATTGAATCACCTGTTGCGATTTTGGTGTGGAATACGCAAAATTTGTTGTATCCCGAAGTCCTTCCGGCCGATGTGAGGGCAACACCTCTACAACGGGTCGTCGTCCAATCGTGACGGGAAAACAAGTATTGCTGCCCGTTTGTGCCAGCTCCAGTGCATTGCAAATGCTCAGGCAATGGGCGAAACATTCATTGCTGTGCTCAATCAAACGCTTTGCTTCGGAACTCGACTGATCCAAAAGCTGTACGCCGTGGATATCAAACACTTTGATACCTTCGCTGGGAGATTTGGTCAATTTGGCACCCGAATAGTAGTTCATCTCGAAATCAGTCATATTTTCCATTAGGTGGCATTTCGCCAAGGCACTAAAGTATGTCACCTTCGGCGTTTTGCTCTTTACCAAGCCCACGAATCGCGCAGCGTACACGTACTTCTTCCAGTGCTTGCTGGGCAAATTATCATAGTTGTAAACGTTATCTGTGCCGCTTGAATGGGTTTCCGACGTTTGCTCTTGTATGGGCAGCCCTCTGAAAACAATTAATTATATAGATTATGATACGCTGTGGGTGCTTGTTATCTTACCGCCCAGGATCTGGTTGGTGAATTATGATGCGGCGTCCGTCGCCGGATATGCGGCAGATATCAATGATGCGATCTTCATTCATTTTACTTTTGCTCTTTATAAACTCGATGACTACCTCGCCGTTTGCCACAATGCTCATGATTGCATTTTTTGTCTTGTAACGTGTTGGCTGCAATCGGAGCGTGTTTAATGGGGGCACGGAAATGTGCTCTGTATTGTGCTTTCCAGCTTTTCGAATGACCGGTGCAGGCACAGGCGCTGCTGGCGTCGAGTGTGCCAAAAAATTGGCCTTCTGTGCATTCTGTCCCATCCTCTGCCAGTCCATTTCCGTGCTGTCCAACGTCTCCGCTGAACTCTGTCTGTACGCTGCGTGTGGCGCGTATTTCTGACGGTGATCCTGATAATAACCATATTCTTCCTGGATCTGCGGCATCATCTGCGGTGTGGCCTGTTGTTCAACCGAACGTAGCCGATGTGAGTTCTTTGAATCATCTAGGAATGAAGTGTAATTATAGTATATACGGCTATTAATCTTAGATATTTTGCTTACTGCTGGCAAATGTGACGATGCCGCTGTCTCCGCTGACAATACTTTGACCATAGCCGTCAGATGCGCCATTCGTTGTGTATGATATTGTGCTTCCGCCGGCCTTTACCATGAATGGGTGCCTGAGAACTTGCTCGAGTGAGATGCGTTCATGTGGATTTTTTCTCAACAGCTTATCGATTAAATCGCGCGCCTCATAGGACAGATGGCCCGGAATCGTATAGTCGGACTGCACCACTTTGTTGAGTGTTGACTGTACGGCGTCTGTGTCAAAGGGTGGTCGCCCCACCAGGAGCGTGTAGAGCATACAGCCAACGCTCCAGAGATCCGCTGGCAAGCCGTGTGACTGGTGTGAAACAACCTCAGGTGATATATAGTTTGGAGTGCCGCACATGGTCATGTGCCGCTCATCTGGCCTCTTTAGTTGGGTCGCCAGGCCAAAGTCAGCAATTTTGACGTGCATATCCTTGCTAAGCAGTAAATTTGACATCGATATGTCCCGATGCATGATGTTGTGCGAGTGCAAGTACAACAGACCATCCACCACCTGGCGCAGAATGGAGGCCGCTTCTTGTTCGGTGAATGGACGCTTCATTTGCTGGTTCATATAACGATGCAGTTCACCATTATCGGCCAGTTCCAAAATTAAATACACATAATTGGCGTCCTGAAAAAACGTATACAGCTGCAACACAGAAGGATGCTTCAGGCGGGAATGAATTTCCACTTCTTGCCTAACTCGGTTCGATAATCCCGAGCCCTGTATAAGTTTTTTGTCAATCTGCCCAATTATCAAAAGTTAGTATATATACTATGTTTATAAAGAACATACATATTTACCATTTTTATCGCCACGTTTTGATGCGATCGCAGACATTTTGCTTTGTAAACGCAAGCGAAGCCTCCTTTGCCCAGCAGGTGCTGTACTTCGTACTCCTAAGGAATATAAATGTATTTAAATTATGGTATTATTCATATTTATATTCATATTCATATTTACATCGATTGTTTCTCCATAAGTCCGGAATGGTAGCATAGTTTACTTTGTTTCACTTGCACTTTGCTTTCTTATTTTCATATATAAACAATAACAAGCCGAAAATCATTTAAAAAGAAGAACGCCAACTTGTTGGTGTTGGAAAACACTAAAATTATGTTAAATTAGTCCAAGCGCCCCTAAGCGCACTAAGCATACTGCTTCATTGTTATCGCAGCTATCGATATTTAGAACATTTTCTATCGTTAGCATCAAATCGGAGTAAATAAGGAATACGGATTAAAAATAAATATATATGCTAGGAACAGCGAACGGTTGTGAGTGGTTTTCATTGATTGAGTGTATTAATCAGCAAGTCAATAAGAAATTGACAGAAAACACTACGTTAAAATTGAGTAACTTGCAATTTGGAAATGATTTTCAGAACTCTAGACAGTATCTCTGGCAAACCCTAAAGACATTTGTTTATTGTTATTTCGCATATATTTGTTTCTTATATCAAATGCAGAATGAACCCGAGATAATCGTGCGCTTGACCCACATTAACAGGTGGTTTTCTACATGTACATCAAAAAAATATGTATATTTCTTGTCAGTTCACTTATTTTTTTGTAAACGATTATAACAAAACCGGCTGAGTCGTTAAACATTAGGCAACTTTATTTAAACCCATTTTCCATTTAATTACAAAACTGCAGCATTGATTATACGGCACTCGTTAATCCACAGCATTGCTGTGTCTACGTTCGATTATTGCATTCCTTCAAAATAAACCGAAATATGGTATATGATTTCGTACATGTGTGTTAATAATGCATTTCATGTATAGTTATTTCGTGTAAACGGATTTGCAGTTCGATATATTCTTATTTAAATATGATTTGGAAACCAAATAGATCCATTTGATTTACGCTTTGGGAGATTGGTGTGCTTTTCTTTTGAAATTCATCATTATCATTTATGATTTTACAACTTTAATTATTCAAATTGCACAATTTTGTGTTGAATTATTTTCAGTCTCGCACAGATTTGTTTTTTTTTATTATTAAGTAATTTTTATACACATTTATTCTTATCCGGCTTGATTTATGTATTAAAAAATATAAGCTTTTTAAAATATTTGTATGGGTTTTTTTTTTTTTAGTACACATTTACTTGATAAATTCATCATTAACTTTACAATTTTATTTAAATATACCTAACAAAATAATCATTTATAGCTTTTTACGGACAACATGAGTATGTTGCCAAGCTAATAATAATACTATTACTACTAACTTATTTGTAACTTTGTTATGTATGTATATTCTATGCATGTTTATTATCAGTTTGCATATATATATAAATATATATGTGTTTGTATATAACAATTTATTTAATAGTAAAATGCTAACCTTTAACTGCTTCAAAACCTCGCTTTTATTTTGAATCTTAGCGTTCTTTTCCAATTTGTTGTAAATTAAAATCTAACGTCATAGCTAAAAGCATTAAATAGTCAATTTTTGTAACAAAATAAAAGTTGATGTGAACAAAACTCGATACGGATTGATTAATTATGTTATTTCTCGTGCTCTTTTTTTTATTGCCAATATGTATGTAAGTTATTAGTCTAGAGAATAAAAAAAATTATAAACAAATTATGTTCCAATAGGTTATTTGTTTGAATATATAGCAGTAAATAGTATATACATATTACAATATTATACACCGGTCAATTCGAAATGCCCATTTTGTAGCAATTCATCACTATTTAAATGTTATCTTAGTTTAGTTATTTTGTTTAAGAGATGACTTAAAGAATAGAGTGCTTTGGTAGAGCAGCATGTCAACCCGAACTGATTCTGCCTGCCAACTATTTATATAATTCGTTACAAAACTTAGGTATTAACTTTGCCACCAGGCACACTCCACTTCTCGCTGTTTATAGTCTTCCTCTTCATTAAAATATGAAGCATAGAGTAAATGCTAGGCATCCCCCACCATCGTGGCACCGTGTTGTTGATACTTAGCTGAGCAAATTACACCTGGTGGCAGCGATTCTTGTTGTTCGCGCAGCTGGCGACGCCGTTTCTTGCTCCAAAGCTCATGACAATCCTGCCATGTAGGCAATTGTGGTATTGGCATTCTGTTAAATACGCAAGAAAAAATGGTTTTTGATTTGCTTTCAAGATTAGGTAGATAGTTTATCGGTTGAACTCACTCATCTGGATTGATGTTCTTTAGCCAAGGCGATCTGAGGGCATCTTCTGCCGTAATGCGTTTGTCTGGATCTAGGTCAAGCATTTTATCGAGCAGATCAAGTGCTGATGTTGGCATAAACTCAAAATCTTCACGCAAACGTCGACGATGCGTTTTCTTCTGCTTAAGCGTGTGAAAAAGCGGCAACTTAATAACGTTGGGCCAAACGGCGGGAATCGGGGAACCACATATTTTGGATATAGTTTCCAGTTGCGCCATCTCTGCATTTGCCTGAAATAGCGGGCGCTTCAGGAACAGTTCGCCCAAGATGCAGCCACAAGACCATACGTCTATGGACGGCCCGTAACGCTCCTCGCCAAGCAGCAGCTCCGGTGGGCGATACCAAAGCGTTATGACTTTGTTCGTATAGGGACGCTCACGGTCCTCGGCGTTGTACAATCGGGCTAAGCCAAAGTCTGCCAACTTAACTTTTCCCCTGAAAACACAAACATTAATATTAATAAGAGCAGAGGAATTAAATGAATTCAATGTATGTCGCTTTAAGCATACTTGTTATTCATCAAAATGTTGGAACATTTGATATCCCGATGAAGAAAATTCTTTTTGTGACAGTAATTGAGGCCATCCAATAGCTGTTTCATAATGCACGCATTGTTTTCCTCGTTAAAGTCAACCATGTTAGACTCTAGAAGACCCATGAGATCGTGATCCATGTACTCAAATACCAGATAGAAGGATCCCTTGTCCTTGCGAAACTCAACTGCATCCTGCTTATCCGTCACTATTTCATGTAGGTTCACAATATTGCGATGATTGAGTTGTCTTAATATTTTGATTTCGCGCACAGCCGTTATGGGAAAACCTTCCTTTTCGTGCTCCAAACGCACCTTCTTTAATGCTACCATATCGTTGGTATGATGATCTCGCGCTTTATACACCTGCAATTGATGAAATAAATGCATATATTAGCAATCCGTCTGTAACGAGATTTCTCCATCCCATTACCTGTCCATATGTACCCTCGCCAATCTGTGCAATCACCTCGAACACATCCACACATCGTTCGCCCCAATCTCGCACATTGTTTCGAGAGTCGCGTCGATTGAGTATCACTGGACGTCGACGCGTTGCAGCCTGTGTTGCATTTGAATTGGAGCTCGTATTTATGCTGTTGCTGTTGCCACTGGGCGTATCAAAGTCCTCGGGACTGTCGATGACATCATCGTCGCCGCTCAACTCCTCACTGCCCGGTATAACGGGCGGCATTGGCAAATTCAAAAGGCTCTTATTGACATTGGCATTCAGATTCCTATCATCGGGCGAGAGTTTCTTAATTGATTTCGGTGTTGTTTGCTTGCTTAAATCTGGAGGCGATGGCGTTGGTGCATTTTCTAAATCGGCTGCACTCATGCCCGGTGGCATCGGCAGGGCCGTAAGACTCTTCGGTTTTTGATTGGCGTTTATTTTAATGGGCATGGCCACTGCCTTGGGAGAGGCATCAGTAACATCTGCACTAACAACAGCAGCCGGATTTAGCTGTAGTGCATCATTTTCTCTGTTTGGCATGGGAATGTTGTTGACGTCCAAATCAGGCTTACCACCGCTAACAACTCCGTTTGGCGTCGCACCAGCAGACGATTGTGCTGTCATATACGATGCTGGTCGATTGTCGGCAACGTTGGGCGTATTTCCATCCACCGAGGAACTGTTTTCGTTGACAGTCAAGGCGCCGTTGCTGTTGCTGTTCTCCTCCTGTCGCTCGATTATTTCCTTCAACGCCTTTTGCCGTTTATGGCGATCCTTTACCAACTCGGCGAACAAGCTAGTCTCGCTTATCTTCTTGATATATTCATCGCGCTTATGCTTAAGATCACGGGACGTTGGCGACCGGGAGCTACGACTGCTGCCTGAGCTGGGGGAGCGTTTTCGGCTGCTGTTGCGATGATGCTGATGGGACCTTGGCGATCGGCGATGATGATGCGAGGTCGACGCTAAAGCGGCCGTCGGTGATGGCGGCGATGCCTCATAGTAGCGTGAACTTGGCCGTGGTGAACGCGACGAATAGCGGTCAACGGCAATGCCCATGCCACTGCCAGAACCTCGCTTGGAAGACGACCTCGTTGGCAGCGGCGGGGAAGGCGAATGGGGTGCGCTATATTTGTTGTGCTTATGTCTACTGTTGCTTCTTTGTCGGTACATATTACTGTTGCCTGAAGTGGTCCCTCCTCCGCCCGGCGACAGGCGACTGCGCGATAGGCGGTGCACGCTAGGACTCCTGTTCATATAGGTAAACAGTCACTATATGCTCTCAATTTCAGAAGATAAAAAATTCTTACCGGGACACCCGCCTTGAATAGCGATCTCTGCTGTAGCGTTCATATTTAACAGCATGGTGCCTGCCGTGCTCATATGGACCCACAGACGATGACAAGGATGCATCTCGTCCATCGCTATACTTTCGTCGCTTATGCGGCGGCGTGCTTGGTTGGTGATGATAGCGGTCCAACTCTGAAAAATGGAAAACTTAAAGTTAAGATCCATAACAATACAATAAATGTTTAATAAAAATTAGTCAGCAGTTATTGCCACGGAATATTTAAGCATGTTTCTATTTCGTGCTGGCAGACGGACGGACTAAGAGCTGTTTCAAAATATTCATGTTTATAGACATGTGCATATGTAAGGTCGTAAATCCTCCCAATCCGCAACTATATTAAAATGAGTTAGTGAACAGAAACGATCTCTCTTAGCCATTGTAATACTTTTGTGATCATCACGTATGTTTCTATTTGATCTTATTTTCCCCCATTTTATTTGCTTACATTTTTTTTACTTTATCGGTCAATATCTGCACTTACCTGGTGACATGCGCTTTAGCTTTCGCGCATCGAGACTACTACCCTGCCCACCTATGGATCCACCCCCTGAATAGCGCCCTGCATACGTATTTCCAGAGCGGTGGTGAGCATTCAAATCATCCTTCAGGGGGCTCTGCACATACCGAGAGCTGCGAGAGTCTCGCGCACCAACACCAGCGCCACCAGTGACTGCGTGTGAGTGATTAAGCGACTGTGGAGGAGTGCGTGGAGAGGTGGCATATCGCTGGCTGCTGCCACCAACGCCGACGCGTGCCGGTGGCGAACGATGTCGACTGTTTGAAGTCGTTTTGTTCGTTACTGTTACCTGTAGGCTGCTGCCTAGGGGAGTGCCTGGTGTAGCAACAGCTGCTTCGCCGTAATAGGCGTTGTTGCTATTGGGACGTCGGGCGGGCGGAGTGCCCACTGATATGGGACTGCTTTGACTGTCTTTGTGAGGCGTATATGAAGGCAGCGCAGCGCTGACTGTGCGCTCAGTGCTCTTGGCTCGGTTTGGTGCCGTTGGCGGCGTATACCGACTGTGCCTGTCCAGCAAATTATTAAGATTGCTGTCCGATAAGGAGTCAATGCTAGAGTATGACTTCGCTCGCTTCTTCTTGCGCTTCTTGGATTTCTTTTTTGACTTATGCTTGTGCTTATCCTTCTTCAGCTTTTTGCGTTTCTGCCGTTTCATTTCCGCTTCCAGCTCATCGGTATCGATGGTATCGCTTGACATGTACAACTCACGGTCCCACTGCAGGTGCTCCTCCTTTGAACTTTTGACTGGCGTCAGTGTGACTTCGGCACGATGATGATTTAGTTTCTCATTGACAGAGGCTATGCTAAGCCTACTGCCGCTGCTGGGAACAACTGAAACTTGCCTTGATCTCGATCCAACTGCAAGAATCGACGTCATGTCGTCCTCTTCAGTGCGTCTTTTCCTACAAAACTCAATATATAAAATATTGTGTAAGCATTTTCTTTTTATAGATAATTACCTATAGTCATTGCTCTTTGTAACGCGCAAAACCCCATCCGAATTTTGCTTTCTTCCTTGACATTCTGGGTTTCTACTTGGAGCTGTTGATATTGGAGCTCTGCCAGTTAACGCCACATCCGAATCAATTTCTCCTGCTTCGGGATCCGAGAAATCCTCCGAACTAACGTCCGAGTATTCCACAAGTGCGCTTGACGCCGCCGATGAGGAATGCATCTTTTCGCACTAGCTTATATATAAGCCGATCTGTACTCAACTGTTGCAGTAGTCCCGGTTTCCTGTTTATTCAACGATTAATTCGTTTATGTTGTGCTCCGTCCTTCGCGGTTTTGAGCACTTTGTGCGGAGACTTACAGCAAAACTCGCAAACACAACCGATGTAGCAGCTGACATTTGATTTGAGACTCTACGTGATCTTAGCCTTGCGGAGTTATAATAAATGTATGTACAATATTGTACATATGTATGCACCAATGCGGTCGGTCTGTTGGTTTGTAATTTTCACTTTTTGCTTATATTATTTACATCGTTGCATATGTGAAAACGGAAACGTCAGATCCACTTTTAGGCAAATCCATTATTAAACGTAAGATCGTAAGCAAAATCAAGTACAACAATAGGAGAAACTCCAGATAATGGTTTATATTGCCGTTGATTATGTTTAAGTCGCTTAAAATGAACAAAAAAGAAATTTGTCACTTGTCATTTTTTAGGTTATATGTTATGTGTGACCAGACATAGTTACGCACAAAATGCTTGCAGATTTTTACCAAAACGCAAACTCTTTAAAACATTAAATTAAAAACTTCGCACTACTCTTTACAATTTTTAACAATATAAATTTTAAATCATATTGTAACACCTTTTATCATTGCAATTGCGTTGATTATAAATTTGTACAAAATACTATAAAATGTAAAAATACTACATGTAGCCGGTCACATTGGTAACATGAATGAGCTGTCATATTCGTTTATAATGCAATTAAAAATCAACGTTTATCATGTTATGGGCTTATATGTGCAAAAAAAGTTGCATACGTATGTTAAGGATAGAATTTTTAAGAATTTTAAAACAAATTAGTTGTGTCCGGAATTTAACAAATAATTGTGGAGCGGCAAGAATGCAGTCACCTCGTATGTGTATGTCAATACATGCACAATATTCATGTACATGTATTTTTATGCATGTATGTATGTGGGTCATTTTATTTGTTCTATAGACTTACCAATTTTCCTTTTATAAGGCCAGCATCAGTTTTCCTGGTTTTTAGTCCTTTTTATTTTACAGTTACTTGTAATACCCGCACTCACTTGTTGTGTTGCGTCTTACATTATTAAATAACACGTTTGCTTGATTTTTAGACCATCGGAGCACACATTACGTGCTTAAAAATACGCGTAGATATTGATTTACTCCGCGATATTTGTTACCAAATTGCAATTATTCATGTTATGATAATAGTAATGCTTTCGCCAGAGTTAATTTTAATTTTGCATAATGGAAATAAGCAAAATAAGCATTTTAAGAATTCTCATAAATTCTGCATGCGACATTGACAGAGCTCGGCCGATAAGTGCAAGTACCAGGGCTGTATATCGATACAAATAATCTAAGAGAGACCAGACTGACTTAATTAATACCAAATATACTTAGCTTATATTTACGATCCATTTAACCACTTATTTAAATGCCTAACTGTCAGTATATATTGGATCATATATCAGACTATAATTTGTTTTTAAAAATTAATAGAATTATAATTAAGATATATGCAACTCCAACTTAAATGCTGCTAAATACCTAACGTACTCCTTAACAGCAAATGCACAAATTACCAATATTATAGTAAGCCAACGGAGACGACTGTTGCTGATACCGACTACGCTGTAAGCCATTATTAAGGAGCAAAGGTGATGACCAGTGACTAGCATATAGTGCAGGTTACGTCCAAAATCGGTCGTGTTACTTCTCCAGACCAATATAGGCAAGAGAAAAAACTTTGAGAAGTTAGAAATGGCCACCACTTTAAGAATAATTAATGTTACTGACGGCAGACCGACTTTGAGCAGCTGACGCATATTAAAAATTGCGGTAATTAAAATCAAGAGTATCGTAATCAAAAGATATTCTGAAAAATAAAAGTTCGATGTATGCAACAATTGATTCAATAATGTTTGTATGCTATATTACCTGCAATGTTTTGTAGCGTGCACATGTAAAAGCCTTTTTCATATAGTGCAGTGTTTGATCCATCTCCTGTGTTTTGTCTACACAACGCAAACGATTCCAAGAGCAGGACAACAAGGGAAATCTTCCAATATAGCTAAAACCGAATTGTAATATCAGTATAAAATATTCAGTATTAACGAGCCGAAGAATAAACCTTAAAGTCTCCATTACAGATCATGTGTCGGAACGCAGCGGAAACCAAAAGAAGAGCATCTATTAGGATAATGAATTCCTCGACCTCTATGTATTTATCTGTTATCTGATGACATTTGTCCTGTTGAAATATTAGCAGCAGCATAAATATAAATATGAAATTTACTGTTGTATGTACTTACACAGTGAGTAGGCTTAACAGTATTACTGTATTTTTTGATCAATTCTCGTGCCGGGTTCCCGCAGCTGACGCAAACGTATTTTTTTTCATTGTCACTAGTCATATTGTTTTTATAAATAATTTTTATAATTCGATTTTCCTAAAACATTTTAGCAAAACAAATATCGGAGCAATCAGCTGATTCGGAAAGTTGAACAAATTCGTTGACATCGATACAAATTTATTCGAGGTCAATAGCTTAGTTTACGAAATTTTAGAATTAAAAAAAAACACAAACAAACAATATTTCAATTGTGATAAATGTAAATTACACATTACAAGCATTTTATATGGAACACTTTTAGATGTCAGACATACTTTTAAAAAATTGTCAAACGCCTAGCTATCGCAAAAAAAAAATCGAATTTAATTTATCAGATTGGTCGATATACCATTAATTTTAGCCCATCCTTAGTTGAAATTTTGTGAGCATCAATTTGCAACAAAAAAAAAATAAAAACGTAAGAAAATCAAGTGTTCCTTTTAGCTCCACACAATAACAGTTACAATAATAGCCATAACGCTTCCTACGCAAGGCAGCCAAAGTGTAGGCGTGCTTGTTCCCGAAGTAGAACAGAAAGGTTCATGTGCATTCATATTCTTAAGTAGATACATATGTATATATACTCATCTATATACATATTAATATATATCAAACAAATAATGAATAAACGTTTACATATGCTTTTAATTCCAAATATTTATAAAATTACTTGTGTGTCTTCATACGTATATTGTATACACAGTGTTGTAATACGCAAAAAAGGAGTTATTGCGACATCTTAATTTTGTTTGCTCTACATATATACATATGTACACACTTGCATGCATACATTTGCATATATATATATACATACATACATACATATATATATATATATATGTATATGTATATCGATAAGTCGAGTTTATCGAGGATATAATCACATTTGCAAACGTTTCAGGTCAGAACGTCTAGTTTGGTCAGATCATCTGTACAAACTCTTGCATGTGCAAAATGAGTTCCGCCAGCGTCGCAGAAGCTCCCATATTAAATGTTGTGCCTGGACGAAGCCAAACAATATGCCGATATTATTTACGAGGCATTTGTCGATTTGGTGACCTTTGTCGCTTCTCCCATGACTTAACTCGAGGCCGACCCGAAGGTGAGCAGCGTGCCCCAAACACAAATACAAACAACGATGCCGACGCAGATGCGGATGCGGATGCTGATGCTGATGCTGATGTATTGCCCAGCACGAGTCGTCGCAATTGGGCAAACGCGCCAATATTTGTGCCCGGCCAGAAGAGCTTTACAGCCCAATGTCTGAACGAGGGGGACGAGGATGAGGTTGCGGCTACAAGCAGCGCCGTTGTGCAGAGTGGAATCTCATGGGCGGAGATTGTCGGTGGTCCGTCCACACATGACATTGACGTTGGAATTAAACATGGTGAGCCGCATTCTTTGGATCAGGTTTGTCCATACGAAAGTCCCTGCCCCTATGGCGAGTATTGTCCCTATCGCATACACCTGGAGCTATGCGAGATGTGCGACCAATACTGCCTGCATCCAACGGACCAAGCTCAGCGTAAGAAACACAATCGCGAGTGTTTACAACAGCATGAACAGGCAATGGAGTTATCCTTTGCGATTGCCCAGTCCAAAGATAAGACGTGCGGCATATGCTTCGACACCATTATGGAGAAAGCCGGACGAGAGAAGCGATTTGGCATTTTGCCCAACTGCAATCATATATTTTGCTTGGAGTGCATCCGTACATGGCGTCAGGCCAAACAGTTTGAACATAAAATTACGCGGTGAGTGCAGCATTCAAATTGTGCTTAATTGTTCCATAATAAATAGCTCAAGATAATAGATAATAATAATTCACACATATCTATTGACATGGCTACATAAAACATGATCATTTTGGTCCTTTGCAAAAGACCGCGTTAATAGTTCTTTTAACTACAATTTTACATTGCCTACTTTCGAGCAGAACATACCTTACAATATTTAAGCCATCCAACTTATTGATTCTCTTGATTTCTGCAGAGCTTGTCCCGAATGTCGCGTGTGTTCCGACTTTGTCTGCCCCAGCGCCTTTTGGGTTGAAACTAAAGAGGAGAAGGATAAGCTGCTTAATGATTATCGTGCAGCACTCGGTGCCAAGGATTGCAAATATTTCAAAAAAGGCGAAGGAAAGTGTCCATTTGGCAACAAGTGCTTTTACAAACACGCCCTGCCCAACGGCGAGATTGTGGATGTTGGTTTGCCAAAGCGAGCTCGAAAATTGCATAGCCAGAATCAGCTTATTGATTTACTTGATGTAAGTAATTTCTTATTTAACTGTTGGCGACTCATTTTGTTACTCTATTGAGATCTTGTCTATTTTGCACCTTAATAATGTAATTTATAATATTAATATCTATTTTGTTATTTAAAATTGTTGAGAGAGTGCATCGTTTGTGCATCGCGCACTCTATTAGATGTGTATCATACTAAAGTTCATATTTTCCGTAGATTTATCTTTGGGAATACGTCGATCGGCGCGATTATCACTGGCTGGAATTGTATTCAAGTGATATTAGCGAAAGCTCCAATTTAACGGATGAAGAATAAGCTTTTCGCGCCAAGAACAATAATATTATCGGAGCAACTATAAGTAACATATGCATAACTAAAAGTTAGAATCAAGAAAAGCAAAAATAACATAAACCTTACAATGCTGATATATATATATATTACTGCATGAGAAAATCAAATGTGTAATTAAAAGTAAGAGATCAATTAAGTACCAAATTTTTGTTTACATACGGAAATAAATATATATATTTTTTGCCCAACTTAACGCAACGAAATCAACAGAACATTTTCCGCAAATGCAAAGAACAGCAACTAAATTGTAAAGAAAAACCAAAAGATGCGGTTAAAACTAAATTTAAGAAATTAATATTGTAAAACACTTATCATTTAAAAATAATATTTTAAAATAAACAAAAAGCAGGATACATTAAACAGTTAATTATTCAAAATAGGTGATATAAAAATGTGTATACACAACTATGCCTTTCAGACTGAATTGTAAACATAAAAAATAAGCAAATTTTTTATGATGTTTTCCACTTACTGTCCTTTAAAGATTACTTATAAATAAGAGATGCGCACACAGGAATATTCAGATGCTCATGCACATACATATGTATACATATTATTAAACATAAAATTGTTTTTTGTCTATCGGAATCTATTGTTTGTATTGTTACGAAACTACTTATTACCTAATTAGATATTAACATATAATTGAACAACAAAAATGCAGCATACATTCTTTGTACTCAACACATATACATAAACTATATTAATTTATTTGATTGTAATGCTCTTTGCAAATTATTGATACATACTTAGGTATTTTATGTTATGTTATTACCTGTTATACCAACAAATTTCATAGAAAACAACCAATTTAAATAAATTAAACTAAACGAAATATTAAGTTTGTATATTCCAAAGCTTAAATTAATCAATTCTTGTTTACGATTATTTATCATTCCGCATAACATTACATTCTAACACTATGTAGACGTCTCGTAATAAAGTTATATTTATTTAATTATGTTTAACAAAGCTTTCAAAACCATCAGAACTACTCACATGTTTTTCATCCTTCAAACTGCGAATCCAGACAAGACTTGATAATAGATCCTTTAGCACGGGAATAACGCCAGCTCCGAGCATTGGACTTAGCTGTAAATCGAAAATTGATGCGCTTACTGCTTCAGCCTTATAATATTGATGTTTTCTAGTATTGCCAATGTATATGTATATACATATGTATGTATGCTAATAGGTAGATCTGATGTGAATCACAAGTGTATTATTAAAACGTAACAAGTAACTGGCTCGAATGTGTTAAGCCTTAACTATTTAAATAATTCTTAGTAAATTCAATATAGAAAAGTAAATAATGATGCAAGATCATTCTTATGTCCAATTGTACTGGTATTAAAGAATATATTGTAAACAAATATTTTACTACAAGCTATGTATTATAGTTTATAATAAGAAACAAAATCTACAAAAAAGGAAGAAAAATCTGGCGATAATTTAAACATTTAAATGAATTTAATGTGTACATTTTGAATGTGACGTCAAAACAAAAATTAACTACTGTTATCTTTCGGATGAGGTTTGTCCCAATTAATTGTTCTTATTTATTGCAAAGGTATAAGAACTATCAATAAAATGAAGCGTTCACAAACCGTTCTAAACACTTTTTTTTTTAAATAATGAATGTTCCACTTTATATCAATATCTATTTAATATTCGTACTTTGTCACATATTTTATTCACTATCCTTTATTTGTACCGTTATATTTTATTGAAGTTGTACTCCTAAGTAGTATTTGTAACATTCAGTTCAATAACAATAAACTGCTGAATCGATAAAAAGGGTTTTAAGGGCCTTATGTTTGCGTTTTGATCTTACGTTACACAGTTTTTATTAAAAAACTTTTCAAATTTGAATGTGTTCATGATTAAAATTAAAAAATTTGGTATTTTACTTACTTTTAGGATGGGCACTCAAAAAATTATCGACTTGTAAACATCACTAACACAGAATTGTTATCGATGTGTTTTTGTCATCTCAGGCGAACACTTATTACCAGCATTGATTTCTAAAAAAGAAAAATTGTGCTTTTAAAAATGTTCCAAAATAGTGCTGCTAAACTTTTGGTGCCTGCGATGCGTGGAGCTATGCAAAGGCGATGCCAATCCGTCGTCTCTGGTCCACCAACGAAACACATATCCACAGCGGTGAGTAATTTTGAAATTCTTGAGGGTTACGTAAACCCAAACTATGTCAAATCCTTACAATTTATTTGATTTCCTTAACATGCACATTTAATCTTTTCCAGGAGAAAGTGATTCTTGGCGGTGGCATGTGCGCTGCGTCCTTGTTTATCCCGGCTTGGGTTCTCTACCACATCCGCGACTACAAGGGTGGAAAGTAAGAGTGGCACATCTGGATGACTTTAAAACCATAAATACCATGTTGCTTGTAAATGTAGATTCAAAGTTACCATAATAAATTTAACTTAACTACACAAAGCGCTAAATAAATATTAACAGTATATTATGTATTGGATTTTAATGACTGCCCGGGGGACAAATTATAGGGCAATGAATTGTAGCTCGTCTGTCTAGAGATATGCTTAACTGACTAGCCAACAAGGACTTTCCCTGTGATAATATATGTATGTTTGTTTTATTAGAAGCATGAACATAATCTGCACATTGTATTAGAGATGTTAGCTCACTTATGATTTCTGTTTAATGCAAATTTAAATATATATATTTATAACGTGGAGATAGGAGTTCACTTCTTTTGTTCATCCTTGCCATCGTTTTTCTTGTCCTTGTCCTTATTGAGAGAACCAACAGCGTCGCGCACTGCCTCCGATTGTGGATCTACACCAGGCAGATTTTCAAGAACGCTCTGCAAAAATGCCGGATCACCAATAACCTCCGAATAGTCCTCATCGACATCCATTGGGGCAGAGGCATCATCAGTTTTGGGACGTTTGGCTTGTTGGGTAACGCTATCATCAGCAGCATCCTGCATAGACATTTGCATGGCAAACGCAATTTGCTCCTCTTCGGTCATATTGGCGAAATCTGGTAAATTATCCTCTGGATTTTCGGTCGACAAAGCTAGTGCACGTTGCAGCATCGCCTCTTCCGAGTTGGAACTGGGAAGAGTTACGGGTGGCGCACCTGTGCCACTCTCTCCGCTAGTTGCTATCGAGGGAGCTGCAGTTTCAGCACCTCCAGCATTGTCGCGACGCTGCTCGCTCTCTTGGCGTTGGCGCTGCTCCTCCATTGAGACGCGCAAGGCAAGAGCCAGTTCCGGATCCTCATTGGGATCAACACCAAATTCGAATACGGCACCACCCAGCCCAGCTGCACCCATACCATCCTCGCCCTGTATTATGGGCGACGACAATAGGGCATCTGACAGAGCCGAGCCTCTGGGAACACTAACTAAATGGGAGCCGGTGCCATCTTTTCCGTTCAGAGCGTTTATAAAAGCCGTCAAGGTTTCAATATTGTTTCCGTGATCGCCAAAGCTTACAATGTCTACGTTAACCTTCTCCTTCTTCAGACGCTTGGCCTGCTTAACAAGCTCCCCTTCTTCGTTGTTTATCGGTGAGCCTACAAAGACAACTATGCGCATTTTATGATTTTTACCTTGACGATGCTTTAACACCAAATGGGCAATACGAATTCCGGTTAGAAGGTTTATTTCGCCCTTTGGCTGAATCAAATGCATCTTTGAGAATATGCGACCCACATCGCTGGTTAGTGTAGCCAGCACTTCGACGGTGCTGCAAGAGATGAAAACGTAAACTAAAATATACAGCAGTAGTTAATAGCACTACAACCGTACTTTGATAGGGTCATTAGACCAACATTATTCTCTGGGTTGGATCTCAGCTTGGTGAGGCAGACAAGGTTGATACCATCTTTTTGTACATTTAAACGGGTGGGAAAGTAGTCACCATTGCGCTGGTAATCACTGTTATCAAAACTGCAAAAGAAAATATATGTAGATGTAATTAGCATAATCATTTAATGGTTTAAATCATTTATTTACCATATCATAGTACTTTCCAGGACCATTTTGTATTTTTGCTTGTCACTTTGCCACTGAACTGTAATTCCTAGCTGCCTGCGCAGGGTTGTTATGTTTCATTGAATAAATCGAGTTGTCGATATGTCGATATTAAAAAAGATGTGTCACTTACGTTACTTCATTTTTTTAAACTAGCACCTATCGAATACGACTTCAAATTTACTTTGTGTTTTAGTTTTCACTGCCAAATGCAAATGAGAAAACATTAAAAAAAAAAATGTGCTAGCAAAGTTACACAAACTTAATTGAAATTGATTTTGAATTTTGCGTTGCTTTTCTGTCAACAGGGACGCGACGGCGAGAGGTTCATGTCAAAAATGAACCAGGTTCATCAAGTTAAAGTTTGGCAGCCCTAGTAACATATGTTTCTGTCCCATGGCTGTCATGTGATATTCATACAGCTAGAAAAAGTGCCTTCTTCGTGATCACTTATTAATAATTTTGTGTTTTCTGTTCAACCAACAAATCTGCTGATTACGGCAGACCTGCAGTATTACTCTTAAGTTATAAAAAGTGCTTAAAAATGGTCGACGCTTATGTTCCCCCTCTTATTATTACCGTCATTTGGGCAGTTATTGGCATCATAGGCCCTTTCCTCGCTCGTGGCCCTAACAGGGGGTAAGTTAATTTAAAGTTATTCAACACAAATAATAATCAAATTTTCTTTTCTATTTAGCGTGACTCAATGCTGTATTATGCTCACTGCTGTTACCTGTTGGCTCTTGTAAGTTGCTTCATTTTGACCATGAGACATGTTGCTACATATGTACACATCTATATATGTACATATGTGCATACATATGTACCCTATGAGAATCCCATTAATTCTTATCGTCTTTTTATGCAGTTGGCTGTGCTGTTACTTGACGCAAATGAACCCATTGATTGGTCCCAAACTATCCATGAACGAAATTATGATCATGGCCCGTGAGTGGGGTAACGAAATCAAAGACACCATGGATGTCGTGGCATAAAAAGGGAAATATAATGTCATTCCTTTTAAATTTGTTATTTTTTCTTCCATTAATATTGTTTTCATCGTACAATTATGTTTATTAATTTCCCTTCAAAGAAAAAACTGTTTAAGTTTGCATTATAATATTTACAAATAAATAATTTCCATATGTATATATGAAGAAACGAAATGAATGTTGTGCTTTTATTAATAATTGTCAAAGGCAAGGCAAGGCCTTCAAAAGAAACTTACAAGCATCCAGCGACATCAGGCAAATGAGTAACAAGAGTTATTTGAAATTATTTTCTTTAGCCTGGGCATATGTAAATGTAAAGATATTGCCCGCGTCGCTCTTTTTGAAGGTTGGTGAGTGACTGATCTTCGAATATTTAAGCAAATAAGCATAAAAAACATAATATATAATACACTTTACGGCAGAAGGGCATGAGAAAGCCCTTTTGCGAGCAATACATCAATATTATTACTTTAAGTTCAATAAAAGTTTATTTATTTAGTAACTACGCAAAACATAAATCACTGAATTGTTTAAAATATATAGTATGTATATATATAATAATAAGTATGTATATTGATGTATGAGTGTATATGATATTATTGAAATATTTATTTACACTTTAGCGCTAATCAAATTTACAATTTGCTTAAATAAAATTCAAAACTTCATTTTGATTTAAAACAAATGAGAGGAAACAGCATTGCATAAAAAGAATGGGAAGAAAGGGTAAAATCAAAAACAAAAGTAAAACAATAAGCGAAACAATGGCAAATCAACTCAAAACTGTGTGACTACATATTTACAGACAATCCCCTCATAATTCGACAACTTTTCACTTAATAACTAACTTCAGATCCATATTTTCAAAATCGAAATCGTGCCAGTTCAGAACAGTTGCCGAACAATTGGGTAGCAATGTTTATGACTTGTCATGAATACGAGGAACGGCGGCTACGACAATTCTAAAGGAATTCATATTTATGTATTTGAAGAGCCTGCGGGTGTAGTAGTTGACGATGCTGGTGGCGGCGGTGCTGCTGCTGCTGCTGGTGGTGGTGCTGTCAAATTGGTTTGAACCGGTGCGGCAGCTGGAGAATAATACGCGGTAGTAGCTGGAGCGTTTGTGCTTAGAGCTAGAACGGGAAACACAACAATTTAAGGCACACGCCTGGCATCGATTATATAATTACTGCTTACATTGGCGCAGTGCCTTTTGAAACTTTTCGTATTCCACATAATGCTTAAGGCGCAGCTCGTCCTCTTCAATCAGCTGCCGTTGGCGCAGCAGCAGCAGTCGCTGATGTTGGTTGGTGCCCAATCGTGTATTGCACAACTGATTAACCAATGAGTCGAGATTATGTTTAATGTCCTGCAAGCAAATGAATTCATTCATTTAGTTAATACGTGTGGTCAACAAATCAACTTGCTTACCGATTGAATATCGCTCGGCAACAGGTGTGGATGAGTGGCTGCCAGGGACACGGGCTCCTCTGCGACTGCAATAGAAATACATCATTTAGATTAAAAAGTTAATTCAAGGCACCAGTGCTGATTTACCTTCAGCAACAGCTGGGTTAAATAGCGGCTGCAGGACATGCTGCATGCCCTGGGCTGTCTGCTGTGCCTGGCCTACCAGCGGCGCCTGTTGCAGTAGCTGACCCGCCGCAGACACTTGAAAATTTTGCTGCTGTTGCTGGTTGTAAAGGGATGTTACAGTTTGTTGTGGCTGCTGCTGCTGCAGATGTGATTGCAGTTGCAAGGTCTGCTGCTGCTGCTGCTGTTGTTGTTGTTGTTGTTGCTGCTGCTGCTGTTGCAGCAGTTGATGCGAGGCATTCATTTGCGTTGGCATTCCGCCCGGCATAGCAGCCAGCTGATGTTGTTGCATTGGCTGCCCAACGCCCACGCCCATGGCCATCACTAGCGGCGATAACTGATGCATTTGGTTGGCCTGCGCCTGCAAATACTGCTGTGGTGCATGCTGTGACGGCGGCTGCTGCTGTGGCTGTGATGTTGGCAACGTAAACTGTTGTGCCGCTTGCTGTTGCTGTTGCAGCATAATTGGCTGCTGCTGTGCCATGAGTTGAGTTGGCTGCTGTGCCTGTTGCTGATGCTGTTGTTGTTGCTGTGGTTGTTGCTGCTGCTGATGCGGCAATTGCTGCAAAGGAACTTGTTGTTGCTGCTGTACAGCATTCACCATTTGCGGCAGAGAATTTAATGGTGCCTGATGACGCTGTGGCATATTTGAGTACATGTGTTGTTGTTGCTGTTGTTGCTGCTGCTGCATTTGAAGATTTGATGGTTGTGCCGTGGCCCCAACTTGGTTTTGGGGCATCATCACGCCAACACCAACGCCTGCCGGTGCATTTTGCTGCTGATAAATCAATTGAATGCCATTAATGGCCATCGGAACGTTCTGTATGGGCGAACTAATGAGCTCTGTGGGTGTGTTGACGGCGGTGCCGTTTTGCACAGAGCCGCTTGCATTATAGTTTTGAGCCTGGCCACCAGCTAGGCCTGCCACCTGCAGATCGATCTTCAGCTGATGTTGCAGCGCTTCTGCTGCCTCTGCGGAAGTCTTTTGCTCCTGCACACGACTAACGCTAAAGCGGGATATTTTCCGGGCATTGACACTGGCCACAGGCTCGTCAGCTGGCTTGGTAGCTGCCGCAGTTGTTGTTACTGGCGTCTGCAATACGGATTTTAAATTTAAAATAATATATATCATCAATCGAAAATGTAAATTGTATCTGGCTTCACCTCCTCTGTGTTATCCGCATTGCGTAGTGCAGCCAATTTTTTCTCCAGATCTGCTATGGAACTCTGGTTGAGCGCACCATTGCTTGGATTTCTGGCCTCGCTAGTTACACTCAAAGTATTTGACAGTTTATCCAGACTTTCCTGTTTCGTCAGCTTCTTATCGGGGCCACCCTCAGCGCTGGCCGTATTTTCGCCGGCCTCGGCATTGACATTGAGGTTCGGTGCGGGCAGTTGCATATCGGAGCCCATGCTGTTGTCAATGGACGTGCGCCGCGAATTGTATACGGAAGAACCGCGGGCCGAGTTCAGCGCTGCAGTGGGTGTATTCTGGCCAAACGAGGCCGCTGAGCCACTGCCGCCTCCCACGCTGTTCGATTTGTTGACCTATGCATTGAAATATATAAGATTGGAGGTGGATTAAAGATAAATGCCCAAGCCAAGAGGCCGCAAGCGCAACACAGAACGGGTTAAAGCTGGCCAAAACGAAAAGCGTTAGTAAATAAGTAAACAAATCATAAAAAAAACACAACATCAATACGCAACAACTACAAATATTACTTTAACCATACGCTAAATCAGTGGACATGTAAGATGAGCTCGCAATTATATCTGTTAATGCCAGCCCAAATTAAATGATGATGTTTAAGCGAATACCCGAAACCAGTGCGGATTGAGATTCTCTTTCTTACTGTCTACATATATATATATATATATTTTATTTATCAGCCGGCTGGATGCAAGAAGAGAGCCGATTTTAATTTTACTACTTGTGAAATTTATCGTGGATTTTACTTTTCTCAAAATATTCCCAACACTCTGGGTTTTATATAGTATAATTAATTCAATTTTCAGAGTGCAAATTAATTGGAATCGTCTTTTTAAAATATATTAGATAACCAATTGAAAACTGTTCATTTTAAGAACATTTTCATTTTCAGAATTTAAGAAAAGTTAAGATAAAGAAGAGAATATGTTATTCTTAAATTCCGTTTTAAATTGGTTTATACGAACAAAAAAAGAATGTAACAAGAGATTAGATTTGTATTCGCATTTGAATCAGTTCTGCAACGAACGTTAGTTAATAAAACTCCCTTTATGCGTAATTATATACAATTATTGGCAATGTGATGTTTGCAATAAACGTAACGAGACGCCAGACTTAAAGACAAATATTAATAACAAAAAACAGAAAGCAGTATTATTATGCGGAAAACGATAGATACACAAATCTACATAATACATATAATATTAAAAGGAAAGATAAACGATATGGAAACGCAGACTACGAGTTACGTGTAACAACATTAACAAAGGTTTTTTTTCTTTTTATTTTTACTACCAACCACTGTGTCTGCCTGGGCCTGCTGCTGAGCGGAGAGCCCTTTCATCGATGCGATTGCCGGCGAGGCTTGATAAGTGCTGGGTCTGTTGCCAATGGAGGCAACCACCGCGGAGGCGAATGCATGCGCATGTGTTATATTCTCGAGTTCGATTTTTAGCTGTTCCAGCGTATTGGCAGCACCCGGTGGCTGCACTGAACCCAGTTGAACGCCACTCTCTTTGGATTTGTCGGCATTGGCATTGGCGCTTAGTTCCGTAGCTTGTTTGGCAGCTTTGCTGGGGGGCATATCGAACGTAATGTTCACTTCGCTTAGGTCATCCAAGCTTCTGGTGTGCTTCAAATCTTCCACAATCTTCAACTGACGATTCAATGGCAAATTCAAGCTTCTCGGTTTCGCTTCGCTCCTTGTTGACTCCAACAACATTTGCACACGGCTTATGGCCAAACTGCGTGCCTTCTGCTCGGATTGCGGTTTGTCCATGCCACCTTCCAGTTGCGGAAATGGCTCATTGCCTGTTGGCGTGATGGCGTTGTCCGGCATGTAATCAATGGACAGCGACGTGTACTCCGATGCGGTGCTGGTTTTGCGCGAGGCCGAACCAGATCCAATTGTCACATCATTGCTATTGTTGCCCGCATCCCTAGAGGTAGTAGAGGAGGACGACATGGTCGAAGCGGTTGTTGGTGGCGTTGCTGTATTCGTTGGCATTTCTAAATTACTTTGGACTGCTGAAGATTCACGTACTCTTGTCTCACCAGCCCCGGTTTGTTCTGTGTTGGTTGCATCGACAGCTCCTCCATTTGCTCCGTTGTTGGCCGATGCATCCGCACCTTGTGCTGATGGCTCGAACATCTTAGTGATGTCGCTCGCGGTTTCATCCCGCTAAAATAATTGTTTCGTTGAAATAATATATAGATATATATATATATATATTTACACATTTACGCCAATTTATCAATTAAGCTAATAATTAACCCTTGCAGACAATTAAACAAAGGGCCGAATCTAGACACATTCAGTTGACATCTAACATATTTTGAGCAGACTTTCATTTTACTAGCTGCAATCGAAATCGGACAAAATTTAACAAAAATGTGCAAATCGAGCTCAGCTCTGATATATATCTGCAAGGGTGTTTAAACTTCGGTTGTCCAAAGATAGAAATTCCTAATTGTTTTGTTTTTGTCGATCAATAACTAAGGTGTATATACGTAGGTGTATATACGTACTTATAAGCAATAAATTTGTATAAAACGAAAATACATTTGAAAGGGGAATACTAAAACAGAGCATGGAAAAATTTCGTCCTGATTTAAATACAATTGACATCAAGGGTTCTTTAATTATACAATTAAATCTCCTACTGTGAATTCGATTTTAAAACAAATACATGTTATCAATTTCGCTTACAAGAATATCAGAAATAACATATTTAAAATAAATACATCTTACAAATTCATTTTATAACAAACGTTTCAAATTCTTTATATGCCAATTGAATGAAATTTTCACTCTTACTCAAAAGCAAAACTTAAGATTGGTAAATTTAATCTAAATATTATTTGTTTCACGGATGTTCTGACATATTTAGTTGCGTGCTTAGTTTCGTATTCAATAGAAAATAAATAGAGTATTTAAAACAGCGTTTGAAATTAAATTTTTGTCAGTTTTGTTGAGCAACTTTTTGAATGCGAAAAATGATAAGCCTATTAAGTAAAGAAACAAGATCGCGTTTAAACTAAGTATATATACATCTATATATATATGAGAATATATAAGCCCTTAACAGTGCACTTAACACTTACAGATCTATGTCTTTGATGTGTTCTAAATGTGGAACGCTGTCGAGTTAGAGACGCGTGACGGACCTGTTTTATTATAAGTAGTAGAGATATATACAACATACAATCAATATGTTAAAAATGTATTTCGATTTCGAGAGTTCGCAATTAGAGAGTCACTCGCATAATTAATAAAGCGTTAATCAGATTTTTTAATAGCCCGCACTACATTTAGTCAATGTTACGAATCCGCAGTGATTGGATTGCAGTTATCCCATGTTGTTGTTGCCTGTAAGGCTTGCGCTCTCCATTGATTCAAATCGATATACAATTTATTTGAGCGCGACATGTTCCACTAAGCTTTGATCCAATGAAATATACAGGCTGTAAATAGACTCCGAGGCCGCGGCCGCATAGCTCCATATGGGGGAACTAGTAAACTTTTAATCGAACACAATACGGAACGCATTTTGTCTTAATTTTTTAAAAAAAAAGTTGCGACGGAAAATATGTCTGTGATTAGCTATAATTTAAAGTACCTTCTCAATGTTGCGGCGATAAGTGGTTGGGATTGGAATTTGGTTTGGATTGTGCTTAACCTGCTCAACAATATCGTTAATCATTTCCACAAACACGGTGCTCTGGCAATTCGACAGTAAATCTTGGGCAATCTGTAAAAATATTGATCATAAATTTTGAAGAATTCTACACGCTGTTATTTGGGATGCCAATTGCTTACCAGTTTGTTGGCAATCTCAACGGGATTGACATCGCTTATGTCAAATTTGAATGTTATAGTTTTCAGCTTGTTCTCCATGTGGCAATTAATGACGCTGCCCTCGTCCACGCTGGTTACGCTAAGCTTTGGTATGCGTTCGTTTCCGCTACGATTTGAACGTCGCGGCTTCTGCACACGCGATCCAGCAGCTTGTTGTTGTTTTTGTTGCTTCTCCGCGTCTGCAGGATTTGTAGTTGCAGTCTGCTGCGGCTCGACACTTGAAGTGGAAGCAGCATCGAAATTCGTTTGTGCAACAACTGCTGGAAGCTCCTGTGCTGCAATCGTGGGTTGTTGATTAATGGGTTTATTTGGCAACTGCTGTTGTGGTTGTTGTTCAGCTTGTGGTGGTGGTGCTGCTGCTGCTGCTGGCTGATGCACAATTTGAGCTTGTGGCGTACTATGCAATAGCTGTTGCAGCTGCTGCTCCAGCGGTATTTGCTGCTGCAGTGGCTGCTGTTGATTCTGCAGATATTGCTGCTGCTGTATTTGAGTGGTCGCGGCTGCATAGTTGACGTGTTGTTGGGCTTGTTGTTGCTGAGCATCGACAACATTTGCAATTGGCTGAACAATTTGTTGCTGTTGTGGCTGCTGTTGAGCAGCTGATTGCGGCTGATTATATGTAGTCGGTATTGGTTGCTGGTGCATAGCTGCCGGCACCTGCATCTGTCCTTGTATTAGCATAGCCGTTGGCTGTTGCTGCTGTTGCCCCATGATTTGAGCAGCACCAGCAACAAGCGGCTGCATTGTCGAAATTGGAATTTGATGTGGTTGCGCTAATGCATTTGGAAGGAACTGTTGCTGTTGTTGCTGTACGAACTGTTGCTGCTGATGTAACTGTTGCAAGTGATGTTGCTGGAGAATCTGCTGTTGAGTTGCAGATGGCTGTTGCATGGGTTGTTGTTGTATAGGTTGTTGTTGCATTGGTTGTTGTTGTATAGTTTGTTGTTGCATTGGTTGCTGCTGTATGGGCTGTTGTTGTTGTATGGGCTGCTGTTGCATCGGTTGACTTGGAATGGGTTGCTGATTATGCTGCGGTGGCAACTGATGCTGCTGAGCCATCGGTTGTTGCATTTGTTGTGATGTTTGGAGCTGCTGTTGCTGCTGAATTGGTTGTGGTTGCATTTGTTGTTGAATATTCTGTGGTTGCATTTGCTGTTGCTGTTGTTGTATACCATACGGTTGTTGCTGCTGCTGTGTAATTGGGACTTGATGCATTGAAAGCGACGCCTGCGCCTGTTGCTGTTGATAATATTGCTGGTGTTGTTGTTGTTGCTGCTGTTGCACCAAATCAGTTGTTGGCATATTATTTTGCATTAGTTGCTGCAGTTGCTGCTGCAATGGTATTTGCTGTACCTTTTGCTGTTCGGCTAGATGATGTTGTTGCTGTTGCTGCTGCTGCTGTATAACCGCAACAGGCTGTTGTTGTTGTTGTTGCTGTGGATGGGTAACTGCAACTGGCTGCACCTGCACCTGTTGGGGTAGCAATTGGGTTGGTGGCCCAGGCTGTGGTGGCTGTTGTAGCTGTACAACTGGCTGCTGAGCTGTCTGCTGTTGTTGATTGCCCGTGGGTGAGATTACCTGGCCGTGGCCATTCGCAATGTCCTGCATGGCGTTGGTCGGATTTTGATATGAAGCTATCTGAGGGTTCTGTATATAATGAACTGTCGTTGAATGTTGCTGCACCTGTGATATGGCCGGCGAGGCAATCACTTTCTGCTGCCCTGGCACTGACTGTGGCAGCTGTTGCTGCTGTTGTTGCAATTGACTGCCGCCGTTTTGAATGGAAGTGGTCGACCTTGTGAGCAGATTCTGTGGATCGGCACTATTTGTGGAGACGACCAGGCTTGTCTCTGAGTCAGTATTTAGCATTTCGAGCTTGAGTCGTTGATTCCATTTAACGCCATCCTCCTCGTCTTCAGACTCATCATCTTCGTCGTCCTCCTCTTCAACGTTGGTTGGCAGACTTTCGCGTTGCTTTTGCAGTGCCAGCTTTTCCAAACGTGACTTTTCGTTCTGTAGCTTAATTTGTGTTTGGCGCTGAGCACGTTCCTTAAGCAGTGACACCACCTGGACCTTTAGAAGGCGCGCAACAGCACGAGAATCATCCTCAGAAATGATATTCTCCTTCATCATGTCCTGGGCAATTTGCTCATACTCATCGTGCTGTATGTTGTACTCGAACTGAATGGCTTCGTTTTCCTTGTGGCGAGATGAGCGCTTCTTTGGGTCCATAAATCGCAGACGAAACTCAATGATGCTGATGCTGGGATCTGAGAGGAACTGTTCCGAGGCGGCGGGTTCCACACGTATCCCAATGTCCTCATCAAAAAATTCAGACTCCAGCAGCTCGTTGCATCTGGGACGATCCTCTTTTTTCAGCTCAATACAGCGCTCAATGATATCGCGCACATTGGGATCCTCTACCTTTGAGAGGGCTGCTGGTTTTATACCGGATATCACCTTCTTGTATATCTGAGCGGGGCCTTTGCACTCGCTGTAAGGATATTCGGATATGGCCATTTCCAACATGCACATGCCAAAGGCATACACATCAACCGATTCATCATAGTGCTCCTCGTACATCTCGGGTGCCATAAATTCAGGTGTACCAATCACAGATTTAGCATGGGACCGATTCTTTAAAGTTGCCAGTCCCAAGTCACCGATTTTAACACTACCAGTGGTGCCAGTTATAAAAATATTATCACATTTCAAATCACGATGAATTATAGGAAATTGACGAGTATGCAGGAAGTTGAGACCTTTTAAGATCTGACGACACCATGACTTCAATACCTTTGGGTGTATTTTTTTGAATCGTTTTAAATACCTTCAAATAAATTCGGTCAATAAGGATAAATAGCTCAATTGATTCATTATCCCACTTACGACTTTAAAGTACCAGATAACATTAACTCGGTGACTAGTACTATGTTTTTTTTGCGTCCAATTGGAAACTCCCAATATGTATAGAATCGCACAATGTTTGGATGCTGCAATTTCTTCAACATATCCGCCTCTTCCCGGAATCTAGTGCGTTCACTCTTCTTCACTTGTTTATCCTGCAATTAAAAAGAAATTTAGGAAGGTAAAATTAAAATTCGAATAGATATTGAACTTACCAACAATTCGCACCAGGCAACCGGCACACCGGTAAGTGTGTCTAGGCCGCGATAGACAGTTTTAAAGGAACCACGACCGACTTCTTTGTCGTATTTAAAGAAGCGTCCACATGGTGACATCGCAACCGGATCATCGTCTTCATCACTCTTGCGCTCTTTCGTTAGGGACGTGACCGATGAGGTAGCTGATGCGGTATGCGCTGATGATGGCTGCAATGACACCGATGTTTCAGTACCAGCAACGGTTGCGTCTCCGGAAACGCCTTCCCCTCGTTCAGACTGTTTGGACAAATCCTCGAAAACCTTTGGCTGTCTTTCACCAAGAAGCACCTCGCTGTCGTGCTTTTCCTCAACTTGGAAGCCAACGCGCTTTACACCAGTCGTCTGTTTATTGGCAGGTTTGGATGGCACATCAATTTGAGTCTTTTCAATCTTAACATTGCGCGACGCTTCGGTAATGATGTTCTCAATAATGCCGGCCACTTGATGGTTAGCTGCATCTGTGGTATTCGATCGGGTCGGTGTACGAAATTGCTCCTCCAAATGCTCCGCTTCCCGCGACAACATCTCAATGTTGTCATCGTAATCGCGAGGAAACTCCGTTTCCAGTTCCTCAAACTGTAAAGGGTTTGCATTTCTGTTGGATTGTTCGACGTTTTTGCGCACAAAGCGTATAGTCTGCACATAGTTGTCTGTCCCCTTGCCCGCTTTACTCCCCTTGCTGTGTGGCGACTTGAATGGTATTGGGCCGGTCATTGATTGAGGCCCAGTCCCAACGTGCTGCTTAAGCACAGGCTCTAGCCCCGTATCAGACGACGATTTTCTATTTTCCATCCTTTTTGGTTTGGCCTCAGCAGCTGGGGACGGGGACGGGGACACAACAGCCTTCGCTGGCATGTCTTTGTCTTTGCTCTTATCCGTGGACCCTACACCAGCGCCTCCAGAATTGGGGCTATTGACTGCATCTGACGGCTGGGCTTCACCATCCATTGTTTCCTCATTATGTTCCGCAACGGCAGTATCCGTTGCCTCCGGGCCAAGTCCTTCAACGACGGACAATTGAGTTTCTGTCACAGTCCCGTCCTTATTGCAGCTAATATTCGTTGATTCGTTTTCGTCTTCCACCTTTGGGCTCCTATTGTTGACTGTTGACCTGCCAGCTAAGGCGCTAGTTGAGAACTGACGCAGTAACCGACTCCAAATATTGTTCTTACTATAAGATAATGGTGAGGCTTCGTTGGGTTCCACTGCTGGTGCTGCTGTTTGATGTAACTGAAACTGAGTGTCGGTGTTGGTGCTACTAATGTGTACAGGAGCTGATTCCTGTTTGCGACGATATTTGCTCTTCAGTGCTGTGTTTTTTAATCTACAAGTCGGGCTAACGATTTTCCTTGGGGAGGCAGTTTTATTAGAAGCACACTGTCCCGGTTTTTGGATTTTAGCTTCTTGCACAGTTTGTTCCTCACCAGAAATATCTGAGTTATTTCTGCAAAGACAAAAAATCCAATTAATCCAATTTGTGTTCATATGTTAATGATTTAGATTTTTTTTTATATACAGCACCAATAATAGAACTATGCATCAACCATTTTTAATCAAGTATGCGCATTTGTTGTAATATTGTTCAAAGAATCTGTCACTTCATGATGTCTATGCTACATTGTTTTGCAGCAGGAGCTCTCACCTTTGAGGTTGCGTGGTACTGGAAGTAGTACCATCTTCGCTGATGGTGCTTTCCTTCCGAATACTGTTTGTGGGTACGACCTCTCTATGTCGTACAAAGTCGCAAAGGGTTTGTCCAATTTTGTAAAATTTTCAACAACCAATGGCCAGGTGGAATCTGCACAATAGAAAAAAAAATCACAAAACTTGAACACGTACCTAGATGCATGCAATTTGTTTGTAAAATAGCCCTATTGTGGATAATTGATTATATTTTTCATTTTGTTTCAGCAATAACAAAAGCCGATTAATAATCGATTTTACTCTCGTTACAGGCTCAATTCCGATGCAAGAAAACATTGTTTATTCAAGTTGTGCATTTTTGTTATGTTATGCATCGAACGTTTTTTATTACTATTGATATTTCACTGCGCCTGTGCTCTAATAACATACATACGTATGTATGTAAACGGTATACATATGTCTACATACATTTATATAAATACATAGCTCATACATATCTATGCACTGTTTGTATGTGCCTGTGTCTGAACATATGTATGTACTTTGTGCTGTTTGATTGCAAAACAGCCGTCATGCAGCCCAGCCGTCGGTTTTTGTTTCTTGGGGTGTATCTTAATTATGAGTCATAAATCCCAATTGCACCAAACTACGCCTACTTCTGCTGACTTCTGTTTCTTTTCTTTTTTTTTTTTTTTTTTTATCCGATCGCTCAGTGACACACGTTTATACGTGAGTACTTGACGGTGTACTCACCTACACATGCAAATAAATATTTAAGTGCATGAGTACGTGCAGACATATGTCAAATTGAGTAGTTGTACAATTAATATCCTTGTGCACTATCAAATTGCATTATTTATCCTGCTAGTTTTCACAACATACAAATTACTCGAGTCGCACTAATTATGATGTCATAGACGTGGAAAAGCACCAAAGCTAGTTGCATAGAAATCTCGGATTAGATGTCTGCGCCATGGTCATACTTGAAGAGCTCGTTAGCACTGTACGATATGCGAAAGATAATTGTGCAAAATACATAAATATAGTAGCACATTCATTAAATTTCACAACAAATTTACAAAATATACCGCCACATATGTAGCCGACCCCGCACCAACAAATGTCATTTATCGATAATTTTTACTTGTCTTTGTATAGGTGTTTTTTCATTTTGTTTATGCTAATATCTGAGCTGCCTTGCTTGTTGTCGCTTGGTTGTAACTCACTATTCACACTTGCATATTTGCATGGCTTTTATATTATTTTGTTTCAGCAATACTTTTGGACTAATTTTTGTTCTGTTTGTTACACAAGAGTAGCACTAGTTAGAGATGAACGATAGTGGGCTTACTGATATTTCTCATAAGTATCCCAATGTATCGAATCAAATTAATACGATAGCTATCGATATTTTTATCCGATATTAGTTACTTGGCAAATAAACTGTTAAATCTAAATTTCGGATTGGCTTATTGGTACTTAACGCTTTTATGTTTGTTTAAGGATACTTTTAAAAATCAAGTTATTTCATAATAAACGACTACTTTTCTTAACTCATATCTAACTAATAAAAATTAAAAAATCTGTGTCTCTATTACATTTCCTTAAAGATATACACCTTAAATGTTGCAACAATAAAGCTTTCCAGTTTCCTGTAGCCACATGGATTTTACCGGCATTATCTTTGCATATATGAACCGATTTGCATTATGAGTCGCGAGATGTGGGCGTTGCTAAATTTATCATTTTGCTGGTATTTGGTTAAGATGAATTTTATCTAATCAATTATATTGTTTACTTTTCTACTCATATATTTGCACGTTTAACTTAAAGCGTAAGCATTTCTGTTCATGCGTATTAAGACACACCAGTTGTTCAATAAAGACATTTTAAAAATTTGTAAATTTCATAATTGTTTTGTAAACCTTTTGTACCATAAATAAATGCACTTTCTAATTATGTTCAACGAGGTATTTAATTAATTTAAAAATATATCTATTTCGCGGTTCTTTTGTCCCGTCTCGTGTGCTTATGTGTGTGGGTAGGTATGTAGTTTACTTTGAAAGATTAATTACCCACCTTGGCGCATAGTAAGAAGAAAAGTACATATTTGCAAACCGTTCATTCTTATCTCGATATGATTTTGTGTGAACAGTAATCTGCGGTCATCTAAGAGATTCAGTTAAGAATTGCGGTTTTACGTGCTTGCAACCGAACCCGACGGCGTATTTTTTTTCCCGTTCTTGCCATTTTTATTCGCAATTTTATTTAGACGGTAATCCAATCGCACAGTTGCTCCAAAAAGTTGCTAAATATGAAAAGTATATGTTTTTAAATTTATTGTATGAATATTTTTCGAACTTTTTCTACTAGCGGAGGGCTTTCTTTATTTTCCTGTGTAATGCTGTGGGATATGTTCTGAAGACTAAATAGGTTACTGGGTCAGACTTCGTATGAATGTCGAATAAATCGAATAGCTATTTTATTTACTAGCTGCTTCTTTTAAAGTTTAAATCTGACTTAGTTTTGTGGCATATCAGCTGAACAATTCATAAAGTTTTAAATTATCGGAATGTGGCTCTTACTTGATCTTACTTTCACTTATTATAATAAAATATTTACAGTCTTTATAGAATTAAAATGTTACTGAATCATTTATTTGCATTTTAACCATCTGAGATAAAGCCTCAAAGCATTTGCTTTGCAATTTGGCCAATAAATGATTGGTTAGGGCAGAAAAATCTTGGAAGGCAACGAATATGAATATGAATATGAGTACGAATATGAGTATGGATACGAACTTGAGTACATATTTGGGCACTTCGGATGCGACTGCATTGCCCTATCCTGGAATGGACGACTATGGATGCCCTCACATGAATTGTACGGCAATGGAGTTTGTTCAGTTCGTACTCGGCCCACAAACCCTGCCGCTGCATAAGGCCTTATTGGTGAGTTTAGATAAATGCAGTAGATAAAGACATATAAACTTATAAACTATTTATAGATAAGCATAATTTTTAGTGGCATATTCATAACTGGCGTACTGGGAAACGTCCTGGTCTGCATGGTAATAATTCGGCATGCGGCAATGCACACGGCAACGAATTATTACCTGTTCAGTTTGGCCGTGTCCGATTTGCTGTACTTACTTTTAGGTTGGTAAGCTCATAAATTACCTAACTGCATTTAACATTGATTTTAATGATGACACTAGGATTGCCGGCGGAGGTATTCCTATACTGGCATCAGTATCCATATTTATTTGGTCTGCCGTTTTGCAAGTTGCGAGCATTTGTGTCGGAAGCGTAAGTATGTTGCTCTGGGCGCAGGTCAAATTTTAATTAGAGCACAATACAACAGGTGCACATATGTATCGGTGTTCACAATTGTTGCCTTCTCGATGGAACGATTTCTGGCCATATGCCATCCCCTGCACGTGTGTGCAATGTCCGGCTTTCAGCGGGCACTGAGGATCATAACGGCCCTTTGGATTGTAAGTTTCCTAAGTGCCATACCATTCGGTGTCAAGACTGAAATTCAATATTTGAATTTTCCAAACGGTATGGTTTAAGTACATTGTATATTGGAATCCATAACGATTGCTGAACACTTACAGATGGATCTCGTATACTGGAATCCGCATTCTGTTCAATCGAATTGGAGTTTCCCGAAGAATTCCCCTTGTTCGAAGTCTCCTTTTGCATATTTTTCATTATACCCATGATACTCATTATATTGTTATATGGTCGCATGGGCGCTCAGATTCGTTCAAGAGCCACCGACAAATTGGGTAAGCTTGACAAAATTTCAAGCCGGAACGCATTCGGGAATAAATACAATTCTCTTGCAGGAGTTCAGCAGGGTTCCAGGAATCGCGAATCGCGTAGCTCGCAGAAGAAAAAGCGAGCTGTTATACGAATGTTGGGTAAGGAATGCACATTCCTATTTCTCAATTTATATTACTTAAAAGCTATACCTTTAAATAGCCGCCGTGGTAATCACATTTTTCGTCTGCTGGTTTCCATTTCATCTGCAAAGATTGTGGTTTCTGTACGCCAAGAACATTGCCAACTATCAGGATGTGAATGAATGGCTGTTCTCCATAGCGGGATTCGCGTACTATGTCTCTTGGTGAGCATTTGCAGCTATTTTAAACTAATATTAATCTAAGTTTAATAATTGATTCATTGTTTCTCACCAGCACAATTAATCCGATTGTGTACAATGTCATGTCACAGCGCTATCGGGTTGCCTTCAAGGAGATACTCTGTGGCAAAAAGGCTGGGGCCTATTACAACAGCGGATTTGCCAGAGATCAATCGAGTTTCATTAGGGATGAATCCAGTTTTCGAAGGGGCAGCTCAGCTACTCCCAATCTGCGTGGAAGCACTCGCTATAGCCGCGTATCTGCTGTGAGTACAGAGCAATAATCCATTCGACCTAAGCATATTATTTCCTCATTTTTCTTTTAGAACGGAATGGCGGACTGCTCTTTACTAAACACAACAACAAAAATTGTTATTGTTCTTGGCAACAACTCGCCCCAAAGAGATGTGGACCGAAACATACCAGAAGAAACTGAGGCCAAAAAACAGGAAAACTGAATGTATTTCTGTTTTTTTTTTTATAATAATAATTACTAATTACTCAAAATAAAACCGAGCTAGCGAATGTACGAAAATAAACATTTTCTATTTCCATTAACATGTTCATTTGCAGAAATAATTGCTTGAGCTTTGCCTTAATTATGGGCAAAGACTTTAATATATCATCTCAGAAAGTCGCAACCGAAATTTCTTATTAGTGCATTTATTTATTTCTTGAGCATAACAGTATTATTTCAAGAAACATATTTTACGGTTAAGTGTGTTGGATTATTTGAATAACAATAAATGGAATCAAAAACAAAACCAAAAAATACCGTAGTGAAAGTTTTATTATAATTGGGGCTGAATGGGCATTAAAATAGTTTTTATTTGGCTTAAAGCTTCAAAAATGCCTGCTTGATTCGCTCAGATGCAAACAGTTATCGAATAGCAGATACCCTGTAAATTGGCTAAATTTAGACGAACTTGAAATATATAAATCAAATAAAGAATTTGTTAATGGCAATTATTCAATTCAATTATCTAGAAGAAGACTGTATTGTAATGCTGGTTGAGAGAAACCCCGAAACTGGTTTGAAGACACAGTTGCGAGACTTGCCGCGAGATGAAACCAGAATAGATGCCTGACGACTTTTGAATACCGTGCATTAAAATGGGGGATTATAATTTGGGTAAGAGCTGTTGCTTTCCTGTATCATGCTTGAGCAACAAATTGAATATACCCGTTTCGCCTGATCAGTTAGGATGTAATGAACTTGAATCTGAGAAGTTTGGCGGAGAAGGTAACTTGATTGCCTTTTCGCTGATGATACGATACAAAGCAAAAGAGAAGAGGCTGTTGCCTCGAATGCATTCAAGCTATTTTGTTAAAGTGAACAATCCGGTTTCCTTGCATGCTCCGTGGCTTTGTTCTGCAGTTAGTCGCAGCATTTGACCCAGAGACGACGCAGCTCTTCAAACGCGGATCGCCTTCAGACGCCGATAGATACCGCAATAGAGAGATCAATCGGACGCACAACCAGTTCGGCACAAAAGAAGCTCGTGTGTGCGTGTGTGTGTGTGTGTTAAATTTAAGAAAATTGGAATTTGTTTATTTCGAGTAAAAGTAAAGTAAAAGTTAAAGAAGAACCGACTGCAGAATTAAATGCTGATCGACAGTCGCAGCAGTAAGACGAACGCGCCGCGCCACATTTTCGATGCTCGACTTTTCATACAGACCAGCGCCAACTGTGTGGCATAGTAGAAGCAACTCCATGTCAGCCATTGTCAATGTGATAGTTCTCCTGGGCTGCATGCAGCTGATTCGAGTGGAAAGTAAAAAACACGATGTGACACTCGAGCTGAGCGCCGCGTCTCGCAGCGCGCGTCTAATGCAATTCCTAAGGGAGCCCCAGCCAAAATTCAATCCCCATCGACGAGCAGGTCCTGTGCAGATACCACGTGTGCGGACAGGTGCCGACAGCCTGCACCCGCCCCCAGCCTGGCGGCCCCCGTTGCCGCCTCCGGTGCTGGCGGGACAGCAGCTGATGCGACGCGAATACAATGGTAATTGGCCCTATAATGGTGGCAATTCGGCCACAAGATTTGCCCACTCCAAGGATGCGGCTCCAGTGCTGGATGTGGACAAGAGCCAGTTTTATCGGCCCAAGGAGGCAGCTCAGTACAACTACCAGGCCAACCAGTACACGCAGAATTTCAAGGCCTCGCCGCATTACAACGAGCCGACCAAGTTTCCGGGCTATGCGCCGATTCAGCAATATGCAATACCCGTTGAGTCCACCAAATATTTGGCCAACTATGGTGACTCAGCGGGCAAACCAGCTGCCAATCAATTGGGTCAAGCGCCAGCTGCAAATGGCTATGCTGTCTACGAGGATGCCGATTCGGCTGCCAAGAGTGCGGCTCAATTTGGTGGCAGCTATCAGCAGAGCGCAGCAATAGCTACGCAAAAGCTGTCCAAAGAAGCCGAGAGCTATTTGCATTTCATGAGCACCAACGATTATTTCCTGCCCAAGCGTGAACCCAACTACAAACAGCAGGACGCCGATCGCGACCAAATAAGCTATCAGCAACAGAAGCTGTTGCAGCAGCAACAGCAGCAGCAGCAACATCTGCAACAACAGCAGCAACATCTGCAACAGCAACAGCAGCAACATCTGCAACAGCAGCAGCAGCAACAGCTCCTGGATAGCAGTGGGTCCTCCAGTTTCAACAAGCCTTTGCGAGTGTCGGATCTGTTTTATCAGCAGGATCCGGCTCCTGCCAATTCGGCTGTGGTGCGTGGCAGTTATCAGGCCGGGCAGAATGCCTTTGTCGTCAAGTCGGATGGCAACAAGTCCGTGAAGCATATTGTGTCCACTTCGTTGACACCTCGAACAACTCAGGTGCCACCAGCCTCGACCTACTCGCATATTTGGCACAATGCCCACAAGACCGAAACACCAGAGCCCCTGCGCTTCGAGTTTACGGAACGCGATGCCATCCGCGGATCGGCCAGCTATACCAATGCGCCGCAAGGACACAAGCTCTACTATGAAACACACACATCCTCACCTCACGTACCCTCGGTCAGCGTGACGCCCAGCATCTCCGAGGGTCCAAAGTCAGTTAAGGAAGTTGTCAGCGAGTCCAAGGAAAGCCATGAATATGTTCACAAGGTAAGAAATCAATATGTTTCTCCATCGGTTACTTTCATTCTTGTCAAAACTCGCCAGTTAATCAATGAGTTCGGACATCAGGTTTATCAGATAAGCATTTGAGCACAATATCTGAGTGCGAAGAACTCAGCAACTTTCCACTATTAACGAATTCCAAACGCTCCATTATAAGTGTCGGCAGTCGATTAACTTTCTTCTATATTATTAACTGCCTAGGCAATTTGATATCAATCAAAGTTTAGCGACATTAAGATCAAAATCTGTTTTACGTTGGCCGAATGTCAAACACTTTTGTTGGACTCATTTTCTGTATACTTTCACTAAATTACAAGCTACTTAAAGTGTGAATATATGCAGATTTAAAAAAAAATATATATATAAGTACTATTTTATTGTATATTTTACAAATATACATATAAACGGATAAACATATACAAGCACATGCATAAACAAAGTACGAGATTGCTAAGCGACTTCTTGATTGGCCTGAATTTTAAAGGCTTACTTGATTTCATGAGAATCGCATAGTAAGGCGACCTACAGCAAGAAGTAAACTTGATCTGTATATGGTATAAATAAAAATGTATACCGCCATGCACGCATTCATACATATGTAACAAAAATACATTATATGCATAAACATTTTCTTGATGTATTCCAGCGACCCCAAGAGCAAGAGCCTGCACCAATACAACCAGTCGAGTCTCCTCCAAAGGACAACGAAGCTTATTGTGAAAAAATTTGCGCAAATGTCTATGATGAGAACGATGAAATTGTGTGTGGATCTGATGGATATATGTACACGGGAGAGTCACAGCTAGAATGTTATTCATCCTGCCTTAATATTGGTAAGCACGCTGAGACCTCGTTAAGCCAATTTATTTATATAATATTTTTTTTTATCTTCTTTCAGAGGTGTCGATAAAGAGTAAAGGATCATGTGCTTAAGTTCGAGCTTTATATGTAATCTATTTATTTACTTGCTTAGTTGTAATATTTATTTTAGATTAAGGTTATTTATTTTTAATCTAAGCAAAATAAAGCATGTCATTTAAACTTATTATTTCTTTGGCTGGCGTTGCTCAAATGGATATAGCATATATAACATGATCTTATAAACTCTGACACAAATGGATATATTTGTGTACATACTTATTCAAATGATTTGCACTGTTAGTTTTACTCTTCCATGATGGTTGAAATATGAAAATTTAAATAGCGGAAGCACTTGGTTTAAAAACCAAACATTTTTCGTTTTAAATATCCCGCTCGTGGTGGTTAATCGATATCGATTAATTTTGTGCATATATTTGAAAAGAATTTGTAGTTACATTTATACACGAGCTCAACTACGAAGCGCCTTGTCGTGACTTCGACCTATCGATAACACTCGAATGGTGTTGCTAGAGTATACTGAATACATATGCGAACAGCTGATCGTTTGTATTTGCCTACATTCGGGAAATGCGTTTTAAGTGTGTTATTTTGAAGAATACTTGTGCTATTTTTCAAATCATTCGGGTGTTCACGAGACAAAATTTCTTTAATTACTGGAATACCATTATTGTTGATAAGGCGAAATACTATACAGAATTGACTGTACGAGTATCGTTTTGATTCAATACCCCAAAAGTATCGATTGGTTTGGTAACAAAATATCGACCTATCGGGGCGATAACAACATTGACGAAAACAAAGCAATTCGCGTACATATATAATTTTTGGCAGTATTTATTATCATTTCGCCAAAAGCCGTCGCAAACGCGCCTCAAACAATCTATATACACAACCAATTTTCGTTTGCCTGCTGCGTTAGTGTGGAATTTCTTTTGCATGTTGGAGCGAACACAGCAAAGGAAAATCTCTACACTGAGGGAACAACGCAACGCCCTGCGACCTCGAGACGCAGCCAGTGCAATACATTGAAATGCAAAATTACGGCGTTGGAGCTGCTGCTGCTGCAGCTCCAACGGTCAAACGCCGTACGGACAGCTATGAGGCTGCACAAAACCATCCACATACGCCCAGCAGCGGCGAGAACTCCCGTTGCGAGAGTGATGAGGAGTATGTAAACACCAGGATCTTGCGGCGACGCATGGAGCTGCAGTCGACGCCTGTAGTGACTGTGGCACCAACATCGGCTACAGCAACAGCCCCAACAACAGCACAGGGTCATGTGGAGCAGCCGGAGTTTCCGGCGGCCACATCCTCGGCCTCATCGTACAACGAGGAGCGCATGCGACGCAAGCTACAATTTTTCTTCATGAATCCCATAGAAAAGTGGCAGGCCCGACGAAAGTTTCCCTATAAATTTGTGGTGCAGGTAATGTCCACTTACACATATACACAAATACATAAACATATCTCCCAGCAGCTCATCTGGTTGTGCTCTGTCACGTGATACAAATTTCAATTCCCATG